CTATAGGGAGTTAAAAGAACTCCTTGTAATATTGGTATGAAAAACAGCACGTGTATTAGTTACTGTAGTTATAAGGGAGACTTATAAGAGGGACTTCTGGTCACCGAACAGACTTGGACATCCTCCTACATGGGGTCATCCAGGGATGCCCAAAATTCATAGGAAAGCACATGTTGGTCTTAGGTTCATCTGTCTAAAGGAATGCTGTTCAAGAACTGGGCTGGCTTTTTTTAGATGTATTTTTGGCACAATCTAATCTGGCCTTTCTATTCTTAAGGCTTATAAATGGATTGCACCCTGTGGTGAACCCTCTGTATTTGCTCCTGTGAAGCCTATTTATGGTAGACATGATTAATGATATGTCTACCTCCTGGAGACTGTTCATTTGGCTGGAATGGTGTGAAGGGGTTTTTCTTTAACTTGGAAAGTATCCTACAATCATCACCATTGTTATCTTCTGAGGACATCCAGGCCTTTTTGTGTTGCAGAGCTCACCAGTGCATTTTTCTTTTTTTTATCAGAAGGTACTAAATTGTTGATTTGGCTACTCCTAATGTTCCTGCCATCTTTGTATTGGTTTTTGCAGCTCACGGGTGGCCTGTTTCACTTGCATTGAAAGCTCTTTTGACCACATGTTGTGGGTTTACAGCAACGGCTTCCAAATGGGACTGCCACACCTGAAATCAACTCCAGTTCTTTTACCTTCTTAATTGATTACGAAATAAAGAAGGAATAGCTCACACCTGTCCATAAAACATCTTGTTAATTTAATTGTCCAATTAAGTTTGGTCCCTTGAAAAAGAGGAGGCTGCATATTAAAGAGCAGAAATTCCTAAACTCCTACTCCAATTTGGATGTGTTACAGATGAAATAACAAAAAAGTGTGTGTCCAAACATTTCTGGACCTAGCTTTATATGCATTAACTAGCGTTAGAGCAAATGCTCTACAATTCACTGCACTAACCAGATATTTGCAATATAAGATGCAATGGTGATTGACCTCAATAAAACACTGGAGAAGATTATTAAAGCTTCTAATACTGCATGGAACCATTCTGTATAGATTACAGACAGCAAGAATAAATATGACCCAAACTCTTGAACTCTTTTGGAAATGCTGAAGTATTCCAGCATTGATGCACCTACATCTAACTTAGGATTTGAATCGTGAGAATAAGACATTCATGGCTTTTATAGTCTCTCTCATCTCTAGTTTACATGATAGCTGGAATGAATAGCTAACATGTTAGTAAGGTATGGGAATTGACGATTGCATCTACATTTTTTCAGAGCACGTCTTCTAAGATCACAGGATGAACCTATTGTACTTGAAGCGAGTTTGTATAAATGTTCATCAGTGTCACACAGCATGCACACAATTGGAAAACCGGTTTTACTGTAATGAAAATACACCCAGGTCAAAGCTGATGGATTTGGATACCATGCCTCGAAGTTGTTGAAAAAGAAATGTCTTCAGAAATCATAATTAAGTGAATAAAATAAAGGAATTGGATTAAATGTATCAGTGTGCATTTGTAGATGTGAGTCTCTATAGACTTAATTTGCAAACGTATACATTCAGAAAAAAATAGTTTTACTATAAATATGGGTTATTTTCTTATATTATTTTTATTGATCATATCAGATTGTACAGTCATATTTATATATAATATTTTTTATCGTGGTTGCGTAACCTTTAGCATCAGGGATTCCACTGAAGTGGGCAAAATTTATTTTTATCACAGTGAGTGGTTCGTTTCGTCCGAATAATGCCCATAAAAAATATTGAGGAAAATGAGTTAGATGAAGCAAAATGGGTGGGAAAATGGGGTACTGCAAAATATGTACATAATCTAAATATCAGTACACTGATAGGAGCATTTTGCAATCATTTGGTTTACCGATTAAATGAGAAAAAGTAATCAATAGTGAAAAAAAAAAAAGAGGAGGAACAGTGAAAACAAACTCTATTACATATTATTAAATATAAAATATACTTTACTGCTCCTTTTTTTCTCACTTGATTTGTGAATTCAATTTAAATTTTCTGGCTGTCCCTGTTATCAATCATCGGTTTGTTTTTTTTGGCTCCACAAAAACGGCCGAATACCGAATCAAACAAACTTGGTCAGCCATCGCACTAGTCATTTGTTTGTTTATACATCCATCATAAAGGGATTTGTCCGAACAGTCGATTGAGCTAAATTCTGACAAATTGCAATTCAACTAAAAGCAAAAACACAAGTCTAAGCTTGATACACATTACGATGTAGACTCATGTGAAAAAAAGTTAGTCTCCCTGCTTGCATTGCTAGATGAGCGGTTCCTAAATACTGTTCTGGGACTCAAAACTGAGCCCCTTGCTATTTCAGTAGATCCCCCAATAGTTGGATCAAGCAAAACATATTGATCAAGTCCTAGCGAACAGTTTAAAATAAATGGTTTACAATAGCAGTATTTGCTTTCTAAGCGCAGTGGAGACCCACTGACACTGGGAGGAGTCTAATGAATATATTTACAGAATTAATTTACTACATAATATTCTAGTTGAAAAATGGCTGAGCCAATTGTAAACTAATCTCATGTGTGAAATTGGGATCCCTGTAAAAATGGCTAATAATAATTAAGCTCTCCACCAATGACTACCGCAAGCCAATTAATGAAATACAAGAGTTTAATCTATATCACCTACCCCCTTGCAGTTTCTTTTCAACCTTTTTAATGACCAAGAAATTTTTGTTGTTTAATAAAATAACAAAGAAACGCTCATTTCAATAAAAATTATCTGCAGTTGTTTTTGTTTTGTTTTTTTAATAAATACCAGAGAGATGGGATGCAGCAAATCTAATCGACTAAACCTTCTTAAGTGTTTAAGGGATGAAAATTACAATGTACTATGGCTTTATTAAAGCTAAAATGTTTTTATATTTAGGAATTAAAATCTGTAGAAAGGTAGAAAGTATCATGCGAATAAATTTTATGGATCTCTTGAAAGAAACTAATAAGAATTTGAAAGAATGGAGAAAATTAGAAGTATCTTGGGGAGGAAGAATAAATATTCTGAAATCATATGTTTTAACAAAATGGATCTACATGTTTAGAATGCTTCCATTAGAAATCCCGAATGCATGGCTGACAATGATCAATAAGGCCTTTTCTGATTTTGTATGGCGAGGGAAAAAAACCTAGAGTTAAAAATGGAGTACTAGTAAGAGGAATAAAGAAGGGAGGTCTAGGATATCCAAATATAAGAAAATATTATGAAGCAGGAATTATTATGCATGTTATGGCTAGTCAAATAAAACAAAATAAAGAGGAAGTATGGTGGTGGTCAGAACTAGATTCTAGTCAATTAAGAGACACCTTAGAATTATTCTTGAGTACAAAAAAATGTAATTTTTCCAGATCGTACATCTTAGGACAGATTATTCCTATATGGCAAAAAATAAGGAAAAAAATTGATCTGGTAAATAAGATATTTGACTTTCAAAACTTAGAAATAATAGAATTAAATATGGAGAGTATCTCCTTAAAACTATGGAAAGAAAAAGGAATAAATATTTTAGAGGATCTGATTAAAGAAAATAAAATAAAATCTTATAAAATGCTGGTTGAGGAGTTTAGGATCTCTGATAAAGATATATATACTTATTTTAGAGTAAAACACTACTTGGAGAAAGTTGAGTTAGTAAAAGAGGGTAAGATGTACGATATTCTAAAAACAATCTTATACCAGAATAAGACAAAGCAATTGTTCTCTAGATGTGTTAGAATGTTGGATCTAATGGATGATTCCGCCCCGCCCAGTGCTATTAAAAAATGGAATACTGAATTCAAAACAAATATAGAATTATCTGAATGGCTATCTACGGCACAAAAAATTAATAAATATGTCCACTCCTTTGTATTGATAGAAACACATTTTAAGTTGGCTAACCTATGGTATATGACGCCAACAAAAATAGCTAAATTTGATGTATCTAGGGACACTAAGTGTTGGAAATGTAGAGAGAAAAAAGGAAACTATATCCATATGTGGTGGTCATGTAAGCAAGTGATTATTGTATGGCAGTGGGCTCAATTTATCATTCATACACTGTGTGATGTCAAAATGTCTCTAAAACCTAAAGTAATGTTATTACATTATAAATGGCCGAAATTGAATAAAATAAATCAATTTTTAATTATCCATTGTCTAATGGCTTGTAAAATAATAATAGCAAGAAATTGGAATGGAGATACCCTTTTTAGCATCAAATTAATAACAACCCAGTTGGTTTACCAACTTAAAATGGAGAAGGATTATTGCAAGCTCCTGAATGATGATTTGAGCCTATGGGAAAATTGGGAGAAAAAATTATTACAATTGTAAAAGTAATATCATCTGAAAAAGATAGAAAAGTTGGAAGTCAGTAGAAGTCTCGTGGGGTGGTGGATAGTTTTTTGGTTTTCGTCCTTTTTATGTTCATTTTTATGTGGATGAATGCTTTTTAATATTTTTTTGTACAATGTATTTATGGTGAAAAATTTGATAATAAAAAGAGAATAAAAAAAAAAAGAAAATTACAATGTACATTGTGCTGGCTTTGCAACCAATTATTTGATTAGGATAAATATGTAATGAACATTCTGAAGAACACATGCAGAGTACTCCCAGTGTCAGTGGGTCCATATTGCATTGGGAATGGCAAAGCCACTACACTGAATTATTAGTTGTGGGTAGTCATCTGGGGTTTAATAAATGAGATGTCTCTAATCCAACTAGTCGGGAACCAACGTTTGATGATTCGAAATAAAGACAAATTTCTACAATACTCATGTGTATACATTTTAATTATAATTTAATTATGCGCAAAAGTACAATATAATTAATTCATAACAAATTACATAAATGCTAAATATATATGTATATATCATGTATATAAAATATTAGCAATAAAATACAAAGCAAGCAATTATTGTAAAAACAAATATTACACAATAAGGAATTAAAAAGGAACATAACATTTTTCATATGGTATAGTAAAAAAATCCAAGTATGTATTATTTGATGCATAGTATATTTGAGATAAATTTGAATGTTAAAAAAACGGTCTATAAAGAGTTCTGAACTATAGCACTCAAATGTGTTTAAACTGAAATCCGATTGGCAAAATATAGATCAAATTATTTAGTTAGGACGAACTCTGCAATGTTACAGCTTGATAAAGTTAGCCTAAAATATGCCATTAGGACTTCGATTCAATTACAAGTTTAGTGCATTAACCAACATGCTGTCAGAAAGAGCAGTCGATTAGTGTAATTTTTTTTTCCACAACCTCCAGTAGAAAAAAAAAAATTAAAAAAAATTAACCTTAATATTGCAAGTGAAAAGCATAATTCATGAATTGGAAAAAGTAAAAATGTGAAACCCTTCAAGACCGAGAAAAAGTTCAGATTTGACAAACATGGTCTCAAAAAAGTTTAGATTTGACAAACATGGTCTCAAAAAAGGGGTTGACGTGGTATCTTTCATGGCACCAAGAATTCTACTAGAATCAATACTGGATTGAATTCAGTGCATACATTCACTTTTCAATGTTCAAAATAAGAGCTGCACATCATCTATTTTATGGACTCACGCATACTTTAAACACATGCGCATAAATGTTTTGTTCACTTGTAGAAGCACCTGAAAGGAGCTAAATGGCGTATAAAAATGCTTTCATTAAATAGAACGTTACTTTATTTTTTTTATTTAAAATGAACGCGCAGAGAAAGGCTTGTTTCATAGATTATTAATAGTACTTTTAGATTTTATTTAATGGCAAACACAAATTCCAGACATGACTTAATTTTAGCATTGGCCTTTGCCCTTGGTGTTAATTCTGGACAAGTACTTGCCCCAACCATCATATATTTTCCTCTACAAAACATATATTCAATTGTTGAAAAATATGTTTTAGCTTTAGTACTAGAGGGAAACAACGACACATATCTCTTCTCTTCCAAACAACTTATGGATTTAAATCTACGGTAGGCTCTCTCTCTCAGAATCTGCACAATTTTAATAGGAACTTAATGAATTCTATGTCAATGTACTGGAATTGGTGCTTTACAAGAGACCTAAAAAGCAGCATATAAAACGTTTTTTTACGTACCATCATCTTCCAACGTTACTCCACTTGGTTAACCAGATATTATAGATTGATACACTCTGATTGAACAAGACTCTCCAGAAATATCAAATAATGGATCCTCATTTCTTATCCCAAATATATATGGACTAGGTACAAGTTTATCTACAGCCTCACTGAATCCGCCATAGATAATAGTGATAGATATAGATAATAGTGACAAAGGCTGAAGAAGCATGGTAGTGAAATGATGCACCGGGCAGACTTAAAGGTAAATACATTTTCTAAGGAGTTCCCTCTCTCAACCTGGCCACCATTATACAAGTGGATATATAAATATCTCACAAGTGACAATTTCATTACAATTCTGAGGCAAAGCTCCAAAATGGATGAATTAGCCCAGACATTTTCTTTGTATCTTTCTGGCTGCTTTTCACAAATATAACTCTTTGTAAATGTCTCCAATAGTGCCCAAACTTGTATTGTACAATATATGCCTAATATTTTACAGTTCATCAAAATGGAATACTAATTAGTCAAAAGAAAATTGAAAACCATCCATGTGGACCACCTGAATTCAGAGACGTTGGAGAATCCTCTGAAGATATAACTATATATTAAACAACCAAGTTAGAATGCAAGAAAAAAACAAAAAAACAGCCAATCGAGATATAACCAACTCTATAAAACATGGATCATCTGTTGAAACTTCCTCTTTCATACTGTGATAAATTACTTTAATAAGAAATTAATCAAGAGGAAACCAGAACAACTTGGAAATCCCCAAACAATTGAAAATAAATCACAGTGAAAAGGGAAGAAAATATTTAATTGTACGGGTGGGACAGTGCTTGCCTCCTTTCCGATCTTTAGTAAAATCTATATTTTCCTGCACCTGCAAAGAAAATAAAGAATTTTATGTCTGACAAAGAAGCTCATATTATGCACATTTATATACATTTATATGTATAAGTCTGATACCTCTCACGAGTTTGCATACAACATATTCCCCACTGGGAACCCATCGATAGATGACGATAGACAAATGTATGGTAAGCCTGAACAAGCTGAATTCCATTAGTAAGAAAATTTAGTATTTGTAGTACAGAGGAAGGCACGTGGTCCATATCCTATTCCAAGCCCCAACAAAGCCAAAGCTGATCAGTAATTAGCTCTTGCACCCAGAGCCCAAGTGTCTCTAGTTGTGTTACAAAGTTCAAGAGGAGTTTCATCAAGGGAAGATGATTTGCTGGAACTAGAGGATGACATTTTCCCAATGGGTCTAGAAGAATGTGAAAGATGGCAGTAATCTGGGAATATCTCTCAGCAGGCTAAGAAATTGGAGTGATAGGCACCAAGGTCAACTTTTGTGTTATAGTCTACAATAACCCCCAAAGGAATCACTGCAAAGGGCGAGAACACATAATTAGTTCCCGGAGGCCAAGTTTGAAAGAAAGCATCTACACCTAGATCTGGACACCAGCTGAAAAAAAAGTTTGAATTGGCAATTTAGCCAGGAGGCAAAAAATATGTATTTATCTGCTGGAAAATGGATCTAATTTTTAACTGCAGTAATTGCAAAGGAACCCTGAGTTCCATTCCATGATTGTGTAGGAAAGACCTGGAAAACATTCTGCCTGTCCATAACATAGTATCTAAATCTAGATAGAGTTGCCAAAAATACTTCTGCCAACTGTTTGGATTTCATGTCCCCTAGACGATTTATGTGATGAGCTGCTTATATATTGTCTATTTTCAGCTTTGTCTATAAGGATGCATTCGAAGTATATAATTAGTTGACTTCTCAAAGATACCAGTGGTTTCAGTAACTTTGGTAGATATCAAGTTGCTGAAGAGCGACTAAATCAAAAGGCAAATAAATTGCTATTTCACTCCATTCCAAACAAACTGAAGATGCTTCTAGGAATTTATAAACTGTAAGCTAAGCATTCTTGAGGTTAATCTTGATTAACCAATCATTATGAATTAATAAATCAAAGAGGAAATTAATCTCATCCACTTTGAAATTGTTGTATTTTAGGATAGGCAATTTACCTCAGATGTATGACAGGTCTGAACCCTGCATCACTTTTTTTTTTTTTTAAATCAGGAAAACATTGCTTAAACCCAGACTCTGCTGCAAATAAAGTGTTATTTAACTTATTTTCTATTACCCGATTCCAGCGCTGCCTCTGGCTACTCCTCCGACATCAGCCAATGGGGGGAACCCCCAGTAGACCTTACCCATAGGAAAGCATTGACTCAATACTTTCCTATGAGGGATTTAAAGATGCTGGATGTCCTCTTCCAAAGCAGGAGTTTGTCCAGCATCATTTCATGGAGTCAAACTCCTTGGAACTGCAGTAAGTGCCTCTAGTGGCTATCGGGTGACAGTCACTAGAGGCAGTATTACCTCTCCCTGAAACTGCAAAGTTTGCAGCTACAAGCCTAAAATGACAGACACTGCATTTAGATAACATTAAATAAGATGAACTGGTCTGGGTACCTATAGCGTTCCTTTAAGTAACTTATCAGAAATTTGTTTTCTGTAAAAAATAAATAATAATAAAAAAAAAATGGTTAGCGTTTGGCAGAGAGGTTTGACATTCATAAGTAAGAAATTTTATTTGATATCCTAGAATCATGTTCAATACCCAAGAATTTCATGTTAAAATATAGGAGATTTTGACACCCAAGGTTTCCCAAGAAAAATAGAGAGGGAACACTTGCCTAATGAAAGTATTATTATTATAGATTTTGACAAAGGCTTATTAACAAAATAATTTAACAAAGTCTGAAAATTTTACTTACTGAGAAAAAAAAATAAAAAAAATAATCACATTCAGTTTGTAACTTGGGTTGAGATTTAGAAGCCATAATCAAAGGGGAAATACATTAAAACAAAGGTTTAACTGGAAAAAATACATATTAAAAATGTATAAAAAAAAACTAAAATCTAATGTAAACTAATAGAGTCAAAAAAGAAAACAAAAAAACAACAACCCAGTAAAACTGCAGGAAACTGTGGGAAAATGGGTAGGGAAAAAGCATATATGCAGGAGAAATGGGAATGTTAATTCTGGTCAGAAACACCTCTGACAAACAATTCAGCTGTTCATTGCAGCTGACAAAATCCCACAGGCCTCGAAAAATGGGCGGGCAGAGAGATGGAGAATGGCGCTCACTCATTACAGACGTTAAGGGAAGGAAGAGGCAACGTTAAGGGAAGGAAGAGGCAACGTTAAAGGACCACTTCAGCTTAATGAATATATATCCAAATCTAAACAAAGTATTATAGGAAAATATATATCATACAATCACAATGAATAATGCTCAGAGGAGCAGCAAAGAAAGAAGAGTTTTCAGTGGATGACCTATGCTTTGTAGGCTTGGTTATGTTCCGATTGGCTGTTCATTATACTTATATCTCGCAAATTAAGAAATCTGTATAATGCAAGCTTCCTCTCTGACATGAATAGTTTGGCAATTACTTCTCTTCTCCCCACCACAGAGTATCTGTTCAAAGGGCTTTTATTTAAAGAATTTTTTTTATTTAAAATAAATAATGTGCTCTATCAATGTTGGCAGCAGATAAACGATATGTTCAGGTCACTTACTGTATATACTTGAGTATAAGTCGACCCGAATATAAGTCGAGACCCCTAATTTTACCCCCAAAAACTGGGAAAACTTATTGACTCGAGTATAAGATTATGGTGGAAAATGCAGCAGCTATTGGTAAATTTCTAAATAAAATTCGATCCCAAAAAAATTATATTAATTGAATATTTATTTACAATGTGTGTATATAATGAATGCAGTGTGTGTATGAGTGCAATGTGCGAATGAATGCAGTGTGTGTGTATGAATGCAGTGTGTGTGTGTGTGTGTGATGCAGAGCCTTGGTGGAGGGTGGGCATTTTTATAATTTTTTTTTAAATTAAATATTATTAAATGTTTTATTTATATTTTTTTTCATCCCCCCTCCCTGCTTGTTAGCTGGTCAGGGAGGGGGCTCTCATTCCCTGGTGGTCCAGTGGATGGGCTGTGTAGGAGGGGGGCTGGCAGCGAGCTGTAACTTACCTTTCCTGCAGCTCCGGTCAGCTCCCCTGTAAGTCTCGCGCTCTGACCCCGCGGCTCTCTCAAGACTTACACTGGAGCTGACCGGATCGGAGGAGAGAGAAGGTAGCTGACAGAGCTGCTGTAAAGGTAAGTAACAGCTCGCTGCCAGCCCCCAACAGGACCGCCGGGCTTGTAATGAGTCCGGCGGTCCTGGTCTGTATTATGGCAATGTAAGTTGCCATAATACAGACATTGACTCGAGTATAAGTCGAGTGGGGGTTTTTCAGCCCAAATAATGTGCTGAAAAACTTGACTTATACTCAAGTATATATGGTAGTTTTAGTCATGACGAGTAAACATGAGGAATTTAGAACTTCGTTTCATCTGGTCGACGCATATTTGATAGATTGGCGTGCCTTAATGGATCCCCTAGCTACACTGCCATCAACATGGTCAAGATGGAATAACCTGCTATACCTGTGGCAGTAAAATTTTAAAAGATTTTGGGAATCTTGAATTCACAGTTCGTGATAAAGTTACTATATTTACACAGCTGGAAAAACTATAATAAAACAAAGAAAACCAGCAAATTAAGGAGCAAAGAACAACTTAACAGTATAAGCAACACTTTGCTGTATAAATAAAACATAAATCAGAAACAAAGCTGAACCAAATTGCAGTTATTATAAATATTTCCCACATTAGTATACCCAATGCATACCTGCGGAGAAAAAAAACAAAACAAGATTACAGAGGAAAAACATCTAAATATTATCACAAATGCTACTAAAATAGCACAACCTAATGCATTACATTCATTTTCAAACCATTAAAAAGTTAGCAAAAAATTGTAATACTTTCAAAGACGTACAAAATATATTTTTTCACATTTTAATTAAAACGCACCGGCCATGTACGTCTGACATGGTGGCAATTTGCAGTTAATGAAATTGTATCTACAGACTGTGCTGGCCAAAAAGCTAGCAAATATCTTGCTTACGTTATTTCTAGACTGACGTTTCAAATTCTTATTCCACTATCCTACTGGCATAGTAGTATAAATTACATAAGGCAATTACATTGGGGGCACATAGGCATTTGTGCAACATCAAAATTCTAAGCGAGACATCTTACCACGGTGACTATGCAGCCATGAGCTATGATCAGATGCCATGTACTCTAGCAGGAATGGATGCAGGAAATATTGCCTACCTTAGTTAAGCAATCTTAAAGAGGCACTCTAAACACCATAAGTACCGCAGCTTTTGTAGACTCTTTGTTTGTTAAATGTTTTTCTTGGATCATCATGGGGAAATCTAACCTGCAGTGAGTTGCTGTAAGCAACAAGGTATAAGTTGATCTAGAAATGCTATTCACCATAAGCTTTTCCAGGACACAACCAAAAGCCTTAAAGGGAAACTATAGTGCCAGGAAAATAAATTTGTTTAAACCCCTTCAGTCATTTACCTGGGTCCAGCGCCGAAGTCCCTCGGCACTCGCTCAGTGTTGCCCACGTTCCTCCCACGCTGACATGTATTATTCAATGCTTTCCTATGGGGAAAATCTGACGCTGGAAGTTCTCATGCAAAGCGTGAGGACATCCAGAGTCAGATAACGGCCCAAAAGTCTGTTTCAATTCCGAAAGTCTGGTAGACAGCCACTAAAGGCAGTTTATAAAAAGGGTGATGGGAGTTTGCACCCAGACCACTTCAATGAGTGGACATGGTCTGGGAGCCTACAGTGTCCCTTTAATGTACCATAACTATAAGAAATTCTGGGGTATACGGTGCTTGTAGTGTCCCTTCAAGGTACACATATTTACTCAAATGAATAAAAAATTTAATTTGGCCAGTGTCACAATGATGTTGAATTTACTTATTAAAACACTGTTCTTGCAATCTAAAAAAGCTATAGGATCCAAGTTGCTTGAGGTTGATAATGTTAAGGTGACTGTCAAGAAAACAACATCCAAAGAAACTGCATATTGGAAAGATTCTGCCACATAACCTTAGAGTAATGTATATCTGTACTTTCTACAGCGTTGAATGACAAGGAAATAACTGGTCATCATCTTTTACAAAACTTAGACTATTTCAAAATAAACTGGGTAGCAAACCGCTTTAAAATATTTATTGTTCAATACAGCAGGAAACCGGAGAATTGATCTAACTTGCTGTGCCTTGTGTGATTAAAACCCTGCATGGGGTGAGAAGCCTAGTAATAAATGGCCAGTGGCAAGGGATAATTAGATGGGTATGCTATTGGTTCAAACTTTGCCAACTATTGCATATCATAGCATTGAACCATCTAAACTAAAGCACTTACTTTTTTTAAACATTCACATTACAAATGTGCGCTTTAAAAAGGGAAAAATTATATTGAAGTGGTGATAATACAAATGCAGTGTTATTAAAATGTTGCACATAAAAATGCATTAAAAAGATGTCACTAAGTTACAGTTAGAGGGTTATGGCAGTTTTTTAGAATTACTGTGGGTTTTGGATGGAGTGTCAACTCCAAATTATAGTTGTTACAGTTCACGATACCTATAAGGAAGATAACCCCTAACCATAATTCTTTTTAATCCCAAACTAGACATATGCGAAAAATTTTCGTCCATAAACAAATCGATTTGTCGATTATATCAGCCCTTGAGTGATTCTCTTCATAATTCACTTATTTTCCAGACAGATCCATTCATTTGGGTGTTGATTAAAAGGCTTTTGATCTGAAGGAATAGATTATTTATGGATGAGAAAAAAAATAAAAAATCTGCACGTCTACTAAACACCACCTAAATGTAAGGACCCCTCTAGTCCAACACTATGTCTCCCTAAATGTACTACACTACTATATCTCACAAGGCCTTTTAATGGCTTCTTTTGTTGTGCAAGTTTAACGATGCAGCATCATGTATCCCTATATGTAGTGACGACCTTTTAGCTATATTCTGATGAAGTAATTCAAATTATAGGATGCAATCTGCGGAAAACATTTAAGGCAAACGAGCAGTCTTAAAAGCTAAACATAAAGAAAACTAATACTGATAATCAATGGCGTTCATTCTCGGCTTATTTAACAAAAAATATGCATTTGACTCAAATAATTATTATGCATGCACATAGACGCTACGCATTCACAAATATGTACAGATAGCAGTGAGGTTTTACTCTATCATGCATTATTTGTCAATCCCTTTGGAGTGTTCTACATCTACTGCCCAACTGAGACAGCCTGTACGCTTCCCATCTCTTTATATTTGCTGTATGAAAATTAAATGTAAGTTTCGTATTCACATGGATGAGCTGGATTGATGCTCAGGGATATTGAATCTGAAGAGATGAAAGCAGATGTACATTCTCTAAATCACTGTAGCCATTTTTTTTTGTTGTTGTTGCTGAAAACGTGTTATGAATTTCTCATGGTCAGCTAAAACATTTCTTCACTCAAACCGTTGTGTGTTAGAGAAAAATGCAATAAATTCTGCTAGTGTCTTTCACTTGGTTAAACGAATAGTTTAAATTAGTTTTTCCTTTCCGCACATCTGCTCCTTTTTGCGGTTACAGTTCACAATTTTTTATGTTCAAGGCAACTTTGGTAGGTTATCTATAAATCCTTTTGGTGAAAAGTTGTATGATGTATTAACATAGGAAGTTCATTCCTGGTTTTAAAATAAAAAATTAGCTACTTTGGCCTTTGGACAAGTACAAAGCTGCACCAACAATGGCTACTAAAACAGACAATAAAGTGACTAGCAAATGTTGAAACCAGATGCAATTTCCAATCTGTTCTTCCAGTCTTCTGTTGGACTGTAAAAGTTGATTCAGCTGAAAAATAGAAACAAAATTATACAAACATGCAAACGCAAACAAAAACACACACTGTAATTACAAAAAGTTAGCTCACTATGCCAAAGCAAAAATTAAACAAATAGAACTGGCATAAATAATCAGAAGAATTAAAATATTTTATGATTTCTTATGCAGAATTTGAAGACTTGAGACGTCCTTATGCAAAGCAAAGCGTGAGGAAGTCCAACGTAATTTCACAGAGTAAAAAAATTGTTTCAGGGTTAAGAGGACAGGGGCACTGCACCCAGACCATTTCAAGGAGATGCGTATAGTGTCTCGTTAACAAAAAGTATGGAATAACTTGTACCTTAAAATTTAAATCACTGTCACCAGGTAAAGACTTCAAATTTTCCTTCAACGATAATGTGGTAGGCTTGCTGGTTTCAAGTACATGGCATCTTAGTCTATGAGAAGAAGATAAAATGATGACTTTGATATGGATTCTTGGGTTCAGTTGCTTGTGTAACCACATGTCAAATTTACGTTTGTACAGGGAAAATCAATACATTTACCCTTCTAATCAAAAACATGTAAGAGCACAAACAGTAAAAAAAAAGTGTACGAGACAGCAAAAAAGTAATGTGTATAATTGTGTATCTTTTGTATGTTCATTTGCACTTCGTTAAAGGAACTCTTTAATGTTATGAACACAAAGCTGTATTTCTAACACTACAGTGTCCCTCTGCCCCTGCTGCATTTAAAATGCTAAAAAAAAAAAAAAAGGTGTCAGCACGAGAGGGATCTAGATGCATATGTGCGCAGAGTTTTATGCGCACATTAGGTCTTCCCCAAATAGCATTAAGCGCCTCTTGTGGATTTCTGTGAGACAACCACTAAAGACAGTCTTAATCCTGCAATGTAAACATTGCAGTTTCTCTAAAATTGCAATGTTTTACATTGCAGGGTTAAGGGGACAGGAACACTGCATCCATTTCACTTCAATGAGATGAAGTGGTTTTGGTCTCTATAGTGTCCCTTTAAATGGTCCATGCGTGGAATGAAACATCGACTAGCACTATTGGTATTGATTTCTAATAGTGCTGTACACCGCCGTGATGTAAAATAAATGAAAGCATCACTGCTTCTACTAAAAAAACTGTTGTGTTCTGCTTTGCGTGTAATATATATATATATATATATATATATACACACACACACACACATACACATACAGACATATAAATACAGGAGATACAAAACAGGGGGTATCAAAGAGAAGCACAAACATGTATTTAAATTTATTCATTTATCACAATAACAGCGAATGGTGGTGGGTGAGAAACAATGTTCTGGTCTGTTGCACTTGATCGGTTTCATTATAAAAAGGTCAAACTGAAGAAAACTTCAGGCCATGTTAATGGAATCCCTGTTTAGAGAACATTCTATTTCCTGCTGTAGTCATTGGCAGAGGACTATGGGAGAGTTTTCCCTGTAGGCCTTCATAGCAGTTTAAGTATTTAAATGATTTCTCATTTTGTGCAATGACCCATTATAACTAAATATGGATACAACTACTTGACATTTCACTGGCATAAAAAGCAGATAACATGAAAGAGGCTTATAGCCTTTTTTCTTGTAAGTCAATGTAAATCTCTACTTTGAGTGATCTTATTTTGTCAGCAGAGGTTTTTTTTTTTTTTTTTTTTTTATTATTCGAAATTGTACATGTCCACTAGGATGAAGCTGCAAATTCTGCGAGATACAAAAGGAAAAAAAAAGATTACTTCTTTGCAAATTATTTCATACAGAAAAGCAGGATTACCAAACAACTAATCATGCATTAATTTCCATTAAAACCAACAGCCAATAGTTATGTTTTAACATGTCCTATTGTTGAAAGTAAATGAGCTACAGGTTGCACTAGAGAGACTTGACTTGCATTGAGCCAAGAAGAGAGAATGACAATCAAACAACCCGCCTTGTCCTTTAACTACAAGTTTATCTTTAGTAAGGTAAATTTGCTTTTTTCCCCCATTTTTATTTTTTAAATAGACACTACACTGCACAAACATCAAAAAAGTTAAATCACTGTTTTGTCTATTAACCCACCAAATGAAAACATGCATGCATTTAATTATGCATATTTTTCATGGTTGGTATTTATTAAAAACAGCTTGCATAGCTGAAAGCTGCAGATCTCTTGTCTGCGGCCTTTTCTAGCCTCCCTATTCTTCCCTAACCCAGACTTTCTGTGGATGTCCAATCACAGGCTTTTTAATGAAGATCAATGAGAAGTCTTTTTGTTTAATAACAGTTTTTATTAAGATTAAAATCTTAGGTAGTATCACGGTAAAAATGTAAATCAGTGTGTCACATTCAACAAAATAGGAAACAGATGAATAAGTCTAACGTAACACTAACTAGTATAAAAACAGAAGATGATCAAAAGCCATCACCGGTATCATCAGGCCATTGGAACCAGATTCATGCCTATGATAATTTGTCTGGTTACTACAAACTGTAAAAAAAAAGATACCCTGGAAAGAACAAAACAAAAAAAGGAACGGCCACCAAGAAACAACTAAAAAAGGTGGGATGACCATCTTTACTGCATTCATCAGCTGTAGCACCACCAATTTGTATATCTGAAGTGGTTGTTGCGTTCTCACCACAGCTCCAACAGAGGGAAGATAATGAGGGGTCATGGGCATGTATAGCCACTGTATTCTCAAACAATCCAGTGAACAATTTATAAGAGGTATCCTGTCTCCTACAGATGATCCAAGAAGGAGATTTTATGGATAGATGTAAATATCTTTAACCAGTCTTCATCAGTAAATGTCAAATTTGGATTGAACTCCCACTTATTGGTTCAGGACAGGTAAAGTAACTATTAAATGTTCATCAGTATATTGCAGATCAATTAAAGGCAGAAGGGCATCAAGCCGAGGAAGATTCCTACTCAAAATGTTTTGAACGTGGTATGTTCGTTCTCGAGGAAGATAGAGTCGCTGGGAGTAATGTATGATTTTGAGTATGGACGAAATGGTGGAGGAAGGTGGGAGGCAAATTCTGAAAAAGCTTCGGTAGGGTTCCCAACGAAAATGGAGCCATAGGAGCGAGGAAGTGGTGGAGTGGTCCATGAATCCCTATGGGGAAGTCTGGGTTATTTAATAGGGTAACCATGAAGCTCTAATCAGATGTGTAAAAAAAACAAACAAAAAACCTTAGGCCCCAAGCGTTTCCAAATCGATAAAGTGGCGTAGACACCATTATCTGTCATCATAGTGGCAGCTTTCATATTGACCCATAGCTTGCAGTCATCGGTATGGGGCCATTAAAGTACCTTTGAGAGATGGGCAGCCACAAACATTTTGTCCACCATGTTGCTTGAGGAATGTCAACTGGGAATTTGCAATATGAGGATACTTGTGGTTTAGATCTCCAGACAAAGTTGCTTAAAATAAGTTGGAGGCTCATGAAATCGGAAAAGCAAGCGTGGAAGTTTGGACATTTTTATAGCTATTAGTGCCATTTATGTAGGGTGCTCAACAAAGGTTATTAAATAGGGGAGAAATTACCAGTACATAGAGTACACAGATCTCAAGAGAGTCACACTCCCAAATAACACATCTGAGAATCATTAGTTAAGAACCTCTGATTTAGAGTTATTAATCATAAGATTGATGACAGCGCCATACAAGGAGAACTCATCCAGGATGGTCTGCAGCATGATCATCAGATCTGGATCAACAACCAACAAGTCGCTTGTGTATGCAATCACCTTATGATGCCTTCTTGCAATGTGTAGGTACCGCACACCATCCAGTTTCTGAATCAGTTTAAGAAATGGCTCATAGGCAAACCGGAAAGGAGGCAAAGGGCATGCCTGCCTGGTGCCATTTGTAATACAATACAGAACGGCTCTGACAGACCCCATTAATACACAGCCTTGCCGACAAGCATACAGGGCATCAACCCAGAGCAAAAAACTTTGAGCCTACACTAAATTCCTGCAGAGTAGCGAACATGAAACCCCGGTCCATCCAGTCAAATGGCTTCTCAGCATCATTACAAAAGTAGGATTGGGGCCTCCCCACGCCTTGCCTGGTGCATCAGAGTTATCTTGACTTCCCTTCCCAGAATAAAGCCTGCTTGGTTTGTGTGGATGACAGGTGGCAACGGAGGGGCCAGGTTTTGTGCCAGAATGTTGGCAAAGAATTTGAGTTCTACATTCAAGGTTGGAACAGGGCAGTAACTGGAGCATATCATTGGGTCCTTGCCATCCTTCAGCAGGAGAGTGATGTGAGCAGATTAAAAGTGCACAGAGGAAGAACCCCCATCCAAAATAGAGTTGAGAGCACACAACAGAGGTAAACTCAACTGAGAAAAAAAACAAAACATTTTGTAATATAGTAAATGGAACCCATGCGGTCCTGGCTAGCACCCAGCTTTAGAGGTCTTTAATGCAAACCCCAGCTCCTCCAGTGGGATTGGCTCTTTGGGAGCTGCAACGTTTTTGAGGTCTGCTGCCTCCAAGTAATAAAAAAAAACAAAAAAAACCATACATTGTCATTGAGCCGGTTCAATCCGTGGTCCCCTGGCATCAAGGTTATACAGATTGTGATAGAATGTAAGAAAGGTTCTATTCATGGCGGATTGGAGGTGGTGCATAACACATCGAGAATCCTTTACTTTTGTTATGTACAGCTGAGCTTGGTGATTGTGCAGAATACTTCCTTGCAGGTGGCTGCATTTGTTACTCTGCTCACAGAAAAGGCACTTACATTGGCAGTAGGGGTGTTTAAAGTAATAATTCACAATGTCTACTAGTTTGCCTCTAGAGAGCAGAGTTTCAATTTTATTGTCACCTGTACATTTATAGCATTTTCCAACAAAAAGTCTTTTCATGGCAGGTGAACTGAGCAATTGGCAGCCTTTTGAATTTAGCTCTAGTGTGCCAAACAACCAGGAAGTAACAGGAAAGATTGTCAGATTGAGAGCCAGGTGGTGGTAACAAGATGCCAATTTTTATTGAAATCGGTAAAACATTAAAAATAAATAAAAAAAAAAATTTAAAAAAAAGGAAGAGGAAGAGGACACATTCTTCACACATAAAACATTTCAGCAAACTAAAGTGCTCTATAGGTGTGGCTTTTCCCCTTATGTAGCAGAGAGTGAATAACACCTTGCAACAGTAGAAAAAATGCTCTTCGCGTTACAATGAGATTTTTACATCACTAAAAAAAAATAATACACCAAAAAAAAAAAAAAAAAAAAAAATCGCATATAACTTCTTCTGTACGATGGTCAATGACAATAAAGGACAGAACAATGATTGACGTCAAGATAGAAGCGTTCAGTTCCAGTATTGTAATAAATACACTGGTGTGAATGGCTACATTTTACTTTATTGGTCAGATCTGTCAAACACTTTTTTTTGTGTATTTATAGAGAAATAGCAAAGTTATCAATTCAAGGAAGTGACCGTTTTCCCTCAAAATGAGTCAGAAACAATGTCATAAAAACTTATGTTCAATTCAATAGTGTGAATTCCAGGGGAGTGACAGTTCCCCTTGAGTGCAAGAGCTTTTGATTCCCATTTGAGTCAGCCATATGTTTTTGCGGTGCTCATACAAGACAGCCTTTAAATTGTACTAGTTAAAGAGGCTCGCCTATCTGATAACTTTAACAACCCATTATAGAATGGATACAATTAATGTGTAATATTCACATTTTTGTAAAATGATTATGTTTTCAGAGATCTGAATACTTTGAAATTGGATCCAGTAGTTCACAGTTGAGTATTTCTTATCATAGCTCACTGGACAGTGCTAAGCTTCGGTAGACCATAACTAGGTGAAAAATAATTTTTTTTCTACTTTTATTACTGTATGAGTATGCCAACAGAAATCACTCTTTCTGAAGATACAATAAACAGTCTTCCCATGATTAAGTTGAATCTGTCCTCACACAAATAGTTATATTCCTTTCAATGTCATGTACTGATGGGTAAACTGGAAACAACAATGCACTTTATGGAGACTGTCTAAATATGGCAGCTATAGATTTAATTATGTGACTACTGAATGGATAAAGCTGGCAATAATCCATGGTCTGGAGAAAACACAAAATATTCAGCAATAAATTTCTGTATTTATAATGCAGAGGGATTTTCTGGATGCCATGAGTGGTTTGAAAAAGACCTGGGCACTCTGAAACTAAAGCCTGGCTGCTTGGTTAGTACAGATAGAATATACACACACACACACACACACACACACATATATATATATTAGTAGTGAAACAGCCTGACTAGTTACGCTGGCAGAGACCCAGGGCACTCCTGGCACCATAACCACTACAGAACAATATAGGAGTTATGATGTTTGAAGCATTCCATTGATAAAATTCTTGCAGCTTAACATTGTGGTCCAAGATTGAAGTTAACTTCTGTATTATCTGAACAGAAAGAAGGGCACACCTTTACATGGTGCATAAGTGCAGGTTTTTGTCAAAATGCTGAAACGGACATTCAACCATCAGTGGCAAATCAAATTACAAAAAAACGAAGAAGACAATGCAGCAGAAATGTAGGTGTAAATAAGAGTATTGAAGTTCACTGCAAACCATTCATGCAATGTAAAGTACACACCATGATAACACACAAGGAGACAGGAGAACACCCACCGAGTTGTCCTACGGTTTGGGCACAGTGTAACCTTCCATCAAAGGCAGAACTGCATGAAGGACTTGGTAGCAGGTAAATGAAAATAACTATATTGTAAATTAAATCCATATTAGTATGATCTACTTCTAAGGAAAATCAGCTGCTAATACAGTGAGGTTTGTTTTCAAAAACACCAAACTTTAGTGAATTGAAATATGAATTTTAAAATGTAGGCTAAAAGCTTGGTGATTTTTCTGTGTTTAATTTTATACTTCAGAATTATGTGACTTCAATTTAAGTTGCACTATAACATTCGAAGGAAAACACAAAAAAAAAACCAAGAAAACAACACACCCTATTTTGTTCTTGTGTTACTTTGAAAGTTTAGAACTAAAGGTCCTAAAATCACCCTTAAACTTAGAACAAAAATCCCCAATGCAGCTTGATCCTCCTAATGTGATGTCATCTACTACGAAGTCTTCTGTCCAGTCAAATGTTTCTCTTAAAGCCACACAGTACATGTGCGGTAATAAACATTATCCTTCAATTCAATGCTTTTCTATGAAAAGTACATTGCATGCACACACATCCTATGTCTAGGTATATTTTGCTTATATATTTTGCTTATTTGCTATATTCTTACGCTGGACATAAGCTAGAATATCCTAAATCCCTCGTGGCTGCAGGACTGGCATGGGAATTGCATACAATGAACAAAAAAATGCAACATCAAGGCTGTGCCCATGTGCCCCAAAATCCCTTTGTTAAGATTAAGTGATTTTCATGCTTAAAACTTTTAAGGTATTTAAAGTCAGAGGAGCATTCTGCATCCACAACTAAATTCTAGTTCATTCCTGTTTTGTGCATTGGTAAAATTAACATTTCCCCAAATGCATAACCTTTCATTCATTTACTTTTGTATCTTAATCTGCAACTAACCAATATTTTCATACTGAAAAGTTTCTGCCTAGATACCCAATTTTTATTATGTTTTTGTTATAAACATTTGGTTATGTATAATTTGAGAGAAAACTAAGCCTATGAATCTCAGAAGAGCATTAGACTGATTACATATGTAATTTATTATATTCTGCAAAAATGTTAAAAGTTTCAATGCAGCGATCTTCAGTGTAATATCATTTACAAATGAAAATGTTATATATATATATATATAATTTCACAGCCCAGTACAATACGCAGACACAACAAACATGTAGGTGATATTCCAAATTTACAAAGAAACATACTGAGACAAGTTGAGTGGATGCCTAACGGAACAAGGCTTCTAGTAAATGCCATGCAGAGCAAACATACCGATGCTCCATCACTTTACTCCTTGGCACCTCCTTCCAGAACTGCGCCAAATCCTGGGCACTGGTTCCACCAGGCTGTTCCATTTCTGCAGCCATCACTAAGAAACGATCTTGAAGCGAAGCAACAAATGCTTGTGGAAAAACAAATCAATTCATTAAGATGTACAGCATATGGAGCTCAAGCATTGAATATAATTTTCTTCTTATCATTTATGCAAAAATCATTATGAATGTTAAACACATTTGACTGGGAAATCTGTCAAACTCAAAGGATGCTGATATAACCTTAGCGCAGTCAATCAGGAGCTGGGTTCAAATGATAATGCAAGAGCAGTCTAGGAACTTAGCTGTGCGAGAAGAAATGCAAAATTTTCCTTTAATGACTTCAATCTATGCTTATTGAGTTTAAACTACAAAGTGGGAACTTGATGGGCTAAAATCAAGTGTAAGTCACATTAAAGTTAGAGGGTTGAAAGGAGTTAGAATAAAGGAAATAAAATATACGGCAAGAGGTGTAATGAAGTACATGATAAACAGATGAAACTGATGTATATACAAGCCATTTCATTTTGCTGTTGCTTGATAGGGCCATATACTCTACTTTTGCTTTAGAGGTTGTTTAAGTAAAGTGTGATTTTCCATGGTGAGACCTGTGCAGTTCTTCCCATTAAAAAAAAATACAAGAACACGTATATCCTCTGTTCCCTCTGATGTGACGTAAGATATGGGGAGGGAAGCCATTAGGTATTTTCGGTATGTGCAAAGTCACCACACAACTTCAGAATGTGTCCCCAATAACATCTGTGTTCAGAACGGAACACAAAGTGGCAGCACATGCAATTCAGAGGAATGGAAGCCTGTCAGAAAGTCCACACAGGTACTATGGTAGATGGCAACTTTTCTCAGAAAACATTAGACAGTACCATTTTACATAATGTAAAAAAACCAATATAATTGTAATTCATTTATCCATATTTTGTTGAGAGTGCTTTAAAAAGGTATATTCGAGCATCTATATCTATAAATAGTATACACATCTTTGTTACGTAGTTAATATTTAACCATTTCATTTTTAAACATTCTATTTTCTATTTAGAAATGTAAAAAAATGCATTTTGGTGTAAGTTCCCCTACTGATCAACTGGTTAAAGTTTTTTGTAAAGTTTTGTACTTGCAATACTTCTCAAAGCCCTGTTGGTATTTTTAATTGATATCTATGTAAAGTATATTAGAAGAGGCTATAGTACATGGTAGATCTTAAAGGGATACTGTAGATCCAGGAATACAAAGCGGAATTCCTGGCTCTGCCTCCTCCCACTCTCACGCACTCTCCTACCCGATAAATAAAGGGTTAAAACCCTATAGTTACTTACCTGATCCCAGTCCCGAAGCATTGAGGAAGGATGCATTGAATCAATGCTTTCCTGTGGGAAAAATCTGATGCAGAGCATGAGGACCTCCAGCATCAGATAACGGACCAAAAGTCTGTTACAATTCCGGAAGTGCCCCCAGTGGCTGTCTGGTAGACAGCCCTAAGGGCAGACTTAGTGCTGTTTAACATTGCAGCACTAAGTGCAAAAGGGACACAGCACACAGACCACTTCAATGAGCTGAAGTGGTCTGGGTGCCTACAGTGTCCCTTTAAGGTTTGCATTTCTTTACAAACTTTGTATAAGTATCAATATTAGCTGCACAACCATAAAATAATGATAATATTTAGTTTTCTGCTAAATGTACTAATTATGTGCAAGAACCCACTTACCTGCATGAAGAGATACTACTATATCCACTGTGGAGCCAGGTTCACAGCTACTGTTACTTGGTTTGACTCTGTACTTATCAGGGGCAGTTGTTCTAACCTGCAAACAGTGGAGAAGGTATTATTATTAAATAAAACACTAATAATTATTAAATAAAACACTAGAATATATGTGCCTTATATAGACCATGGGGCAGTAAGGTGTCAATGCTGTGCAACTTGGAAATAACACTGCAGCTACAAGCCCAATATAATATTTAAATATAAACATTAATATGAAGGAAAACCTAGCAGCATATATTACATCCTGGTGCACTACCCAACAGATCTGCACCAGGATCTGTGCATGCACAAATAAAATATACTTCTGAGACGCCACATCAGAAGTATATTTAACAAGGACTTTTTAAAGGCAAAAATGTGACTGCACCACATTCTGGTGAATTAAAAAGTCCTGTTTAATATACTTCAGGTGTTTTTTCACAGGGGGAATGTATAAGCTGTAGTTGATAAATTGCTTAGAGTGTCACTTTAAATGTGATGTTGCTATTGTGTTTATAAGGATTAATAGGTTTGCCCCATAAGCCTTGTTTCGAACTATTAAAATCGGCTGAAATATTGTATAAATGCTCATAAATATTAAAATATATACACAGTGATAAGTTAGAAAATAATGATACCCCTAGTCTGATTATGTTGCTTCACGGTTTGTGTGAGTGATGATTTTAAGATCATTGTTTTGCTATAGAACGGTCACATGTATTATGAAAATTTGTCTTATAATATACTAAATTCTATAATGTTGTTTATGTATACCAGGTATGTCTGTCAGTATCTGGATTATTATTTTTTGGAAAAAATAAATAAAATGAAAGACTACATTTAAAAAAAAAGTTTTTATTTTATTTATTTTTTCAATCAGATACAATTTATGTTTTGCAAATAAGAAAATGTATGTATGGCTCACTAGTAATCCCACTTTTGAAAGGAAGCTAAATTTTTGAGTAAAAAAAACCCCCAAAAAACACAATATTTTCCTGCCCTGATGTCATCTGTATAAATAACCTCAGAATGTTTAGTGTTTCAGTATACAACAGAGCTACACGGCATTAAAGGGATACTATAGTCACCAGAACCACTACAGCTTAATGTAGGGAATCTGGTATCTATAGCATATCCCTGGAGTCTTAGCACTGTAAACACTGCCTTTTCAGAGAGAGAGAGAAAACATAGAAACATAGAAACATAGAATGTGACGGCAGATAAGAACCATTCGGCCCATCTAGTCTGCCCAATTTTCTAAATACTTTCATTAGTCCCTAGCCTTATCTTATAGTTAGGATAGCCTTATGCCTATCCCACCCATGCTTAAACTCCTTTACTGTGTTAACCTCTACCACTTCAGCTGGAAGGCTATTCCATGCATCCACTACCCTCTCAGTAAAGTAATACTTCCTGATATTATTTTTAAACCTTTGTCCCTCTAATTTAAGACTATGTCCTCTTGTTGTGGTAGTTTTTCTTCTTTAAATATAGTCTCCTCCTTTACTGTGTTGATTCCCTTTATATATTTAAATGTTTCTATCATATCCCCCCTGTCTCGTCTTTCCTCCAAGCTATACATGTTAAGATCCTTTAACCTTTCCTGGTAAGTTTTATCCCGCAATCCATGAACCAGTTTAGTAGCCCTTCTCTGAACCCTCTCTAAGGTATCAATATCCTTCTGAAGATACGGTCTCCAGTACTGTGTACAATACTCCAAGTGAGGTCTCACCAGTGTTCTGTACAATGGCATGAGCACTTCCCTCTTTCTACTGCTAATACCTCTCCCTATACAACCAAGCATTCTGCTAGCATTTCCTGCTGCTCTATTACATTGTCTGCCTACCTTTAAGTCATCAGAAATAATCACCCCTAAATCCCTTTCCCCATATGTTGAGGTTAGGACTCTATCAAATATTCTGTACTCTGCCCTTGGGTTTTTACGTCCAAGATGCATTATCTTGCACTTATCCACATTAAATGTCAGTTGCCACAATTCTGACCATTTTTCTAGTTTACCTAAATCATTTGCCATTTGGCTTATCCCTCCTGGAACATCAACCCTGTTACATATCTTAGTATCATCAGCAAAAAGACATACCTTACCATCAAGACCTTCTGCAATATCACTAATAAAAATATTAAAAGAGAATGGGTCCAAGTACAGATCCCTGAGGTACCCCACTGGTGACAAGTCCAAGCTTCGAATATATTCCATTCACTACAACCCTCTGTTGCCTGTCACTCAGCCACTGCCTTACCCATTCAACAATATTTGAATCCAAACTTAAAGATTGCAGTTTATTGATAAGCCTTCTATGTGCAACAGTGTCAAAAGCCTTACTGAAATCTAGGTAAGCAATGTCTACTGCACCACCCTGATCTATAATTTTAGTTACCCAATCAAAAAAATCAATAAGATTTGTTTGGCATGATCTCCCTGAAGTAAACCCATGTTGTCTTTGATCTTGAAATCCATGTGTTTTTAGATGTTCATCAATCCTATCCTTTAACATGGTTTCCATCACTTTCCCCACTACTGAAGTAAGGCTTACTGGCCTATAGTTGCCCGACTCCTCCCTATTAACTTTCTTGTAAATGGGCACAACATTCGCTAACTTCCAATCTTCTGGGACTACTCCTGTTAACAATGATTGGTTAAATAAATCTGTTAATGGTTTTGCTAGTACACCACTAAGCTCTTTTAATAGCTTTGGGTGTATTCCATCAGGTCCCATTGACTTATTTGTCTTTTACTTTTGACAGTTGAAATAGAACCTCTTCCTCTGTAAACTCACGTGTAATAAATTACTCATTTATCCTTTTTCTCAACTGAGGTCCCTTTCCTTCATTTTCTACTGTAAATACAGAACAAAAATATTCATTGAGGCAGTCAGCCTGACCTTTATCTTCTTCTACATACCTTCCTTCTTTTGTTTTTAATCTAACTAATCCTTGTTTTACTTTTCTTTTCTCATTTATGTATCTAAAAAAATGTTTTATCCCCCTTTTTTACTGACTGTGCTATTTTCTCTTCTGTGTGTGATTTGGAAGCTCTTATAACTTGCTTAGCCTCTTTCTGCCTAATCTTATAGATCATTTTGTCTTCCTCACTCTGGGTTTTTTTATAATTCCTAAATGCTAACTTTTTGTTTTAACTATTTTGGCCACATCTGCGGAGTACCACAGTGGTTTCTTGAATTTTTTGCTTTTACTGACAAGCCTAATGCAATTTTCTGTTGCCTTCAATAGTGCAACTTTTAAATAATCCCATTTTTCTTGGACTCCATTTAAATTGCTCCAGTCTGATAACAGTGTTTACATTGCTGCCTAGTAACACCACTATTGGCAGTCACTCAGATTACGAACAGAGGTGTTTCCTAGTCCAGTGCTGCACACTGTGCAGCACTGGCATTCAGCATGCTCTGCATGGAGACGCTGAAAGTTCCCCATAGAGATGCATTTATTCAACTAATCTCTTTTAGGAGATACTGATGGATGCAGCCAGGTGTTTTTCCACTCATACACAAGACTGATAATCTCAGCCATGGATCCGGGGACAGCAGCGATTAGATGTGGGAGAAAAGGTAGTAACATACACGTTTTCATTATAAAGGGGCCTGTAACCTAAACAACCACTTCAGCACTATAGTGTCAGGAATACATTTGTATTGCTGAAGTGATTGTTTAGGTTACAGGCCCCCTCTTTATAATGAAAACATTTGTATTCCTGACACTAGATTGTTTCTTTAAGACTCACAGCAATATGTAGTGTGTAAAAGCATCACAGAGATCCAAAGGAATAAAACTCACAGTGACTTGTGATTTTACAATGATATAAATGCCATAAATAGGCATGAAAATTATATATAATACAGAAAAAGAATAATAAATATAACAAGTTACCTTAAATGCTACTGTGTTTTTTGTAACATTATTTAGAATAATTATGCATTTTCTTTCTCCACTTTCTTTGGATCCAAAGTGCAACTCTTCTGCAGGACTAAATTAAACAAAATTCAAGTAAAGAAAATAAATAAAATGCTTATCATAAAAAAAAAAAAAAAATTGATGATATTAGACAGATGTTGTACCGTGTTCTATTATCACTCTTCTCAGAATTTTTCAAGAGCAGAACATAAACTACTATGCTCATCCCTGCGGGAGTTCTACTAACAAATGCAAGATGCAACACCCCATTTAAAAAAAAAAAAAAAATAGAATGATAAGCAAAGTATTGCCCCACATTTGTGACTGTTAGGTTAAGATAGGACATACTGGATGTCAGCAGTTTAAGAAACTTCTAAGAAACAAATACCAAGAAAACCAACTTGTATTGTAAACTGTGCCCTTAAATCATACCTAATGTGTAATAAAGGTCCTTTAAAAACGGCCACTGCCTTCTTGTTTTTTTGCTGCTTGATATCATTCTTGTCTCCATCTGCTTGTTTAAAATGGTCTTCGGAGTAGCTCATCTACATAAATAAAAATGCAAACAAGTCATAAAAATGCTATGCGAACCAACAAATATATCAAAAGAGGACATTATAGCAATGTAAAACTAGTATGCTTCTTTGCATGCAACTAGGAACAGACAGATATAAGGAAGAAATCTTTATCTAAAGAAAGTAACAGGATTATCTAAAACATTTTGATGCATTTGGTTTATTAAAATGATGGAAGATAATTCAGCTTTAAAAGCAGATAAAGGTTATATAATTTTACTTCTTGCAATGATGCTAAAGCATAAAAATATAAATCAAAAGGTATTTTGATGTTAATCGTATTCTGTGTTAGAGAGAGACATTGGCCTAAATTCTTTGCCTTGTAATAGATGACAGGGTGTGGCGCTTAGTGAGTTGGTTTTTAAGGAAACACTCCATCCCTCTAAACCACATTAGAAGCTGAATGATGAACTCAGCACTGGCAGAGTATTCAGTAACATGGTCTCAGCGATAAAGCAGAGCTTAAAAAAAATAAATAATTTAATGAAACAGGGTGCTCCTAAAGATATATCAACATAGGTACACCCCAACATTAAAAATAAAGTGATGCATTAATTTCATTTTCCATTACATTCACAACAACAGAAACTATTCATCTGCTGGTCATAGTTAAAGGTCATGGGTAAATATGTATAGTTACAGAGGTCTTATGATTGCAGGTAAAATACAGGTAACAAGCCCAGGAACACTATCGGCATGTTGTGTAAAAAAACACTAGGAGCATTATTGGCATGTTATGTAAGAGAACCCTAGGAGCATTATTGGCATGCTGTGTAAGAGAACCCTAGGAGCGCCTATTGGCATGCTGTGTAAGAGAACCCTAGGAGCGCTATTGGCATGCTGTGTAAGAGAACCCTAGGAGCGCCTATTGGCATGCTGTGTAAGAGAACCCTAGGAGCGTTATTGGCATGCTGTGTAAGAGAACCCTAGGAGCGCCTATTGGCATGCTGTGTAAGAGAACCCTAGGAGCGTTATTGGCATGCTGTGTAAGAGAACCCTAGGAGCGTTATTGGCATGTTGTGTAAGAGAACCCTAGGAGCGTTATTGGCATGTTGTGTAAGAGAACCCTAGGAGCGTTATTGGCATGCTGTGTAAGAGAACCCTAGGAGCGCCTATTGGCATGCTGTGTAAGAGAACCCTAGGAGCGTTACTGGCATGCTGTGTAAGAGAACCCTAGGAGCGCTATTGGCATGCTGTGTAAGAGAACCCTAGGAGCGCTATTGGCATGCTGTGTAAGAGAAACCTAGGAGCGCTATTGGCATGCTGTGTAAGAGAACCCTTGGAGCGCTATTGGCATGCTGTGTAAGAGAACCCTAGGAGCGCTATTGGCATGCTGTGTAAGAGAACCCTAGGAGCGCCTATTGGCATGCTGTGTAAGAGAACCCGAGGAGCACCTATTGGCATGCTGTGTAAGAGAACCCTAGGAGCGTTATTGGCATGTTGTATAAGAGAACCCTAGGAGCGTTATTGGCATGTTGTATAAGAGACCCCTAGGAGCATTACTGGGATGTGTAAAAGAACTCTAGGAATGCTACAGTCCAGAGACTAAGAGTCCTAGGAGTGCTGCTACCTAGAAGGAAAGTAAACCCTGGGAGTGCTGCTACCTAGAGGGAAAGCGAACCCTAGGAGTGCTCCTAACAATGTGTGATATAGAAAGAGTTACGTACACAAGATCTTGATAACATCTTATTAAAGTGTAGGATAAGTCATAATTTTTATTATGAATCCTATATTGTTAACACGAAGTCATGAACATTAAAACTAAACTAGCTAGAGTAACAGTTTGCAAATTTATAACTTGTGTAAAACATAGTTTACGAACATTAAAAGCCATGTTGGTGCGATAACTTATTATAACAGCTGCACTATGTCTACTGCCTGTTCAAATTTTTGAAATACTCCACACCAAGCAAGGATAATATAAGAACAAATGTGTTTTTTTTTTACATTTATATTATAGAACAGGGATAGGCAACCTTTGGCACTCCAGATGTTGCGGACCACATCTCCATTGATGCTTTGCCAGCATTATGGCTGCAAAAATATTACGGGAGATGTAGTCCACAACATCTGGAGGGCCAACAGGTTGCCTACCCCTGTTCTAGAACCTACTTGAAAATTACTGAAAAGCTAACTATCTTTCCTGATTATATAACTGCATATACAAATAACATACACATTTACAATAGTGGAAACAAACACACAAGGATAGTAAAAATAATTCAATGATTTGCAAGATTTTATTTGTAAAAACAGCCTGGTACTAAAGAACTATTGATTCTCCACAACTGGAGAAAAGATGAAAGATTTAAACAGATGTTTTCTTAGATTGTAGTTAATTATATAAAAAAACAAACAAAAAAAAAAACATATGGATTCATTCGACACATTTAAAATTGAGTGGCCAGATTACATAACATTTTAAAAGATGAAAGCAAGATCTGGATTTTGTGCAATTAAAATCAAGATGCCAAACTGCCTTTGTTAAGCAGCCATTCCTTATAATACTAATTAAACATACAATTATAAACAAGAAATCTGTCTCATAATGAGAAGCCAACGTTTATTTGAAAAATACTAAAAGCAACCCTCCCCCGTGATTAATTTAACTTTAATTTCATTTTTATTTTTTATTTTATTTTTACAAAAAGGCTAAACAAATCCAGATAACATTGGAGAATGTTTTTAAAAGCAATATGGTTGAAATGCACATTGAGAAAAAAAACCAAAAAAAAAAATGGAGAACGAGCAAATTGATACATATGGGTATACACAAAAAGTATGACTATACAATTACACATTCACAGTCATAACTACATATGTAGTTACAAGTATGTGTGACAGAGACCATAAAACACTTGGAAGAACAATGGAAATAAACAGCAATTTTTATACAGTATATCAAATATACAAAACAAAATCTCCCTTCTAAAAAAAAAACAAAAAAAAAAAAACCCCTCAGTTTATCCAAACTCAAAGAGCAGTCTGTCACATGTAGTCTTGATATTTCAGATATTTTCTAAAAAATATGAATTTTTAAACAAACTCCACGAGCATGTCGAAATACAATACAAAAATGTTACACCTACTGATGGATAAAAGCCACCTGCCATTCTACACCAAATCAATGTACAGTTCTGTTACAGACTTTAAGGACATCTGAATACATTGTATTGCTTAAACTGCTCCAAAATTAGAATGGATCTGTGTCTTAGAGAGTACCTGAATTGTTCAATGTTGCAATAATGGTAAAAATGGTATAACAATAGTATAGGGACATTAAACTGGTGAAAGAGAAATAAACGAAATGTAAGTCTAGTAGATAGGATACATAAAATCTCCAAAACTGTTGTCAAAATTACAAGTGTAATACCAGGTGACCTAAACCACTCAAAAGTGTCACTCAAAGTGAGCACTGATCTGTAGATCACGTTCAGTCACAGTAATCATCTCATGCTCTGGGGAGATTCAAAGAACCCCCAATAACAGGGAAACTTACAGGGTCTGAGAAGACACAGGTCAGGTCTCCCTGTGTGCCTGACTGCTGACCGTGATCAGCACTTTGCTGTGCAACCACTGTGTGTATGGCAGGGACAGTATGAAGGAGATCTCTCTCTCTCTCATGCTGGGATCATAGTACATATGACTCAGACATCTGTACTGTGTATGCTTTGAAATCCCTCTGCTGATGTCCTGTGGGTTAAGGTTAGGTTTGTGTGTGGGGATTTAGGGTTAAAGGTAACCGAAGAGCAGGGGTTGGCAACATTTGCACTCCAGATGTTGTGGACTACATCGACCGTGATGCTTTGCCAGCATTATGGCTGTAATAGCATTATGGGAGATGTAACCCACAACACCTGCAGTGCTAAAGGTTGCCTATTCCTGATTAAAAGCTTAAACTGCCCTTAATATGCCACAGACAATAACTGCCATGATTCGTTGCCAAGCAGAGCATGTATAAGAGTGATAGGATTTAAACGTCACTGTGTCTTTAATTAAAATGGCCAGTTCTGACAATGTGGATTTTAGTTATCATTCTCAAACAGACTTTGTCTGGCTGATAAACATGAGTTCAAATTTGAAGGCATATTTAGGGCAGATATTTCTCGTCTGGCCCTTAAAAAAATTATTCTAACAATTAAACATGAATGTGCTCTATTTAATACGTGACCCATAAATACCAAAATAGATGAAAATGGTATTTTCAAAATCAGGAAAAAATATTTTTCAGGTGTGCTTCTGTAGCTGCCGTAGTTTTATACACATTATAATGATAAAATGGCTACACAATTGGGTATTTCTCCACATGCTTTTTTTACCCGCTTATATTTTAGTAGTACTTAAAGGGACACTATAGGCACCCAGACCACTTCCGCTCATTGCTGCAATGATAAATATTGCAGTCCAGAGAAACTGCAATGTTTACAGGCAGCACTAAGTCTGCCTCCAGTGGCAGAGGGAGCTTTGTGTTCCTGGCACTATAGTATTTCTTTAACAGCAGGATAAGTATTCTTGTAGGGTACGGGTTGGCAAACTGTGGCACACCAGATGTTGTGTACTTCATATCTCATAGTGCTCTTACAACCATAATGTTGGCAAAGCATTGTGAAAGAGGTAGTCGAAAACATCTAAGTGTTGAAGCTGGTCTGCCCTGATGTAGATAGAGTAGCGCAAGAAAGCCCTATATGTTCTTAAAACAAAAATAAATAGTAAATTATATGTGGGTAAAATAAAAGACAAAGAGGAACATATGGTTGAACAAGCACATGGCAAAACGTGCAAATTGTTTGGGTCTTCTATGCATCACAAAGCCAAAGCCAAAGCCAAAGCCAAAAAATTAACACGGCGATCATTTAGCTGGATAAGGAGCACAAGGTGCTTGCAGGCCTCTTCGTTTTGTTTCAACTATTCTACATTTCATCAAGAAATGTTTTTACAGTTTTAGAAAGATGCGTTTTATAAATATACTCTAGACTGGTCTTACATGTTCATATCTTATGATCTCCAAAAGATGATATTTAAAGTATGTTTTATAGAAGTTGTAAGAAACATTTTTATTCCCCTTTGCCAGATAAACGATGGAATATATGATGGAAAACTTGAAGATTCAGTTTCCTTTTAAATGTCTGATAGAAGAAGAATCCTGTGGCTCTTTGAAAGCACTATACATTGTCATACTGGTCCAATAAACCGGATCATCAAGTGAAACTGGTAGGGTTTACTCCACACTAGAAAATGTAAAATTAGAAACAGACTTCTGTAAAAGAATCATTGCCACGTGGAACGCTGTTAATTACACAAAAAAAGATTTTGAGTGGCAAAGGATTGCAGCAGGAAAATCAAGCAGTTTATAAACACTAAAAAGGTGATGCAGATAATGAGAGCAGAAGATCATTTTATGTTGCGTTAGGTTATGAATATTTGGCATTGTCAATACTTTGAAATCAATTTCAAAAGGTTTTCTTGCATTTGTTTATTCTGTGTTGATATCTTCGCCTTTAGTCATTACTGTTGTAAGTCATCTTCACATGTTAATCTTGTGACCAAGTTCCCACTGTGCAGTTCCACTCGCTTCCTCTTCTTGCAAACCATCAGACATAACAGTTACTGGCTGAGTATTTGTTGAAAGCAACAGAGTGGTTGGGGGGGGAGGAATAGAAAAAAAGTCAGTCAGTCAAAACTGTGAAGCTTTGCATTGTGACTACTCTAAAATAAGGTTAATAACGCATTTTGTGTTTTGTTTTGAACTTACAATTTGGTCCTAATCTGACTTATTAAAAAAGAAAAAGTAAATGAATGCTGAGCAAAGGAGAAGATGGCAGCGCAGTGGAGTTCATGGTTAGGCATAGCAGCATACGTTAAGAGAGATACAACTGGTTAATCAGAGGTCCGCTTCTTTCATCTTTGTCTTCACAGAGCTTCTTTGTACACGCGTGAACGACTTAGTACACAACCAAACATAAACCAGTAGAGTCATATATTATCCAGTTCTTTAAGAAAGTCATAAACAGAATCAAAAAAAAAAATCACGAGGGGTAGAATTAGTCTTTGATTATTATTTGTGATCTCTGAAGCCCCGGTAGATAGCAATCCAATGGTTAGTAAGAATATATCACTCCGTTCACATTAGTTTATTAGCTTAAAGTAATAGAGGTAGCAAAAAGTGCATATAGATTAGTCACTAAACACTCAAATTAAACAAATTACAAATAATATTTTAATAATTGGGGAGAAAACAAAACAAAAACAAACTTATTTCCCTTAAGACATTACAGACATGATATGGACTGGTGTACAAAAAAGTGTTTTCTCTCTCTTTCGCATCTCTAAATTGACTCATTTTGTAAGAATAAATGTATTTAAACTCAAACTTAAACGTTCCCTGGATGTATGGAAACAAGAAACTAATTGACTCTCCTAACCACTCCATGTATTTCCGATGTACTATCTTAATCTCTCTATTAAACTGTAATGGTTTACCTTGATGTCATTTATAAGCTCAATAAAGCAATACAGTTTACAATAACATGTATAAGGATTTGCTTTTCTTTACAGACTAATGATTTCTGCTTATCGTAGCCTGCTACTGCCACTGCCCTTAAAGTGACTATTACACAAGGAAAGATTTATCCAGACTGCAATGTTTATGTTGATGATCAATTATGTTCCAATAGATAATGTAACAGTTAAATAAGAAAGAACACCGTAATCAATCACCACGCAAAGTCCTGTGGATAATGATGCTGTAATATATTATTATTTGTATATAAATAAATGTGATATGCTCCAGCCTTTGGGTCCTGCAGGACACCAGAGGACTGGCATAGATAATTTGGTTGGGGTAGACAAATGCCTAGGGATTTGCTGCAGGAAAACAGAAACAAAAACAAGCATCTTCCGTAATATCAAAAATTGTATTTTCAACTTTTGACATTCGAGCCTCCTATCTGTTCTCTGTACATGTGTTTTATAGATTGACAATTGATACCCATTAGTATACACGCACTGCATCAAACAACGTGAACACCTGCTCTTTTATATCCAATTGATGTAAACTGTTAAATCCACTTCAACTTAGCAATATGTAGTTGAAAAGACTAACTATAGTACAAATTGTTTATCTTTAAAAAAAAAATGTATCTTACCAGGAATGATACATCATTAACTATGTTCTACTTAATGGCTCTGTGTGCAAAGGTAAATGATTGAATGGACTTTGAACAGGGCATGGAAGGATGATGACTGCATTTTACATCCTGCAGTGAAACACCTACCACCCTCAGGCCTCACTTCACATTCAACTCAGTGAAAGACTGCATTTTACATCCTGCAGTGAAACACCTACCACCCTCAGGTACTGACTGAAGCTTGGAAGATACTCCACATCATGTATTCCTGGCTTGCTAACATATTCTCATGTGTTACTATAGATTTGCTACCAGTTATACCTGTAGTTGCCACTGTAATTTTCTGTGCATTCAGTTTGTACTATAGTCATTTAAAGTTTCTGACAAATATTTCATGTAGACAGTTAATATTTTGGGTGATAGAATTTGGTTGCTAAACTTTATCAATAGTATATAACACATGGCTACTTTACCCCCCTCCCCTCCCCTCTCACTCTCCATTTCTCCTCCCCAGTTGTAAATACCTCGATATAACGGTTCTATCTCACTCTCTGTTCTTCAGGCCTTACTTCACATTCAACTCAGTGAAAGACTGCATTTTTTCTCAGCAGCCATCCCTCCCCGGATCCCCCTAAATATATAGCATGCTCCTCCAACTGTTTGAGATCCTCACTCAATTACCTCTTCATTCCCTTTGTATTTTACCAATAGCTGCTTCTCTCGGTTAACTCTTTCAGCCATCACCTCCAAACTTCCACTGCTACCTCTTGTCTCAAATCCCCATGGTATCCTTTAGATTGTAAGCTCACGGACCATCTAGCCAAGCACTTTGTATAAAAGAGCTTCAATGGCTAGTTATCAGCTTACAGACAGGGCTCTCGCTACCTCTTGTATTTGTCTGTGTATATTGTACGTTTCTCCACTAATTGTACAGCGCTGCAGAATCTTTTGGCGCTTTATAAATACCAGTAATAATAATAATAATAATAATAATAATAATAATAAAAATGAGCCAAGATAACAATTTTTATGCAAAGTCAAAGCAACATAATGCACTTGTTTTTCCACTAGGGCTGCTGGGTAGTTTCCCTCATGCAACATCAAAGTTCCAACATTCAAATGACATCAAGCTGGTGAGTAATAAAATGATTTGCTGAATAATGAAACCGAGGTAGCAGTGAATTTACAGTTAAAGGACCACTCTAGGCACCCAGACCACTTCAGCTTTATGAAGTGGTCTGGGTGCCAGGTACCTTTAGGATTAACCCTTTTTTTTTTATAAACATAGCAGTTTCAGAGAAACTGCTATGTTTATACTGAGGGTTAATCCAGCCTCCAGTGGCTGTCTCATTGACAGCCGCTAGAGGCGCTTGCGTGCTTCTCACTGTGATTTTCACAGAGAGAAGACGCCAGCGTCCATAGGAAAGCATTGTAAATGCTTTCCTATGCGACCGGCTGAATGCGCGCGGCTCCTGCCGCGCATGCGCATTTAGCCGATGACGTCGTGAGCAAGGAGGAGAGGAGGAGTACAGCTCCCCGCCCGGCGCTGGAGAAAGGTAAGTGTTTAACCCCTTCCTCTCTCCAGAGCCCGGCGTTTTCCTGGCACTATAGTGGTCCTTTAAGGTAAATTGCATCCAGTACATGAGTGATGTTAACACACCCATGAAAGATAGACAAGACATTATACCTTGATACAAATGGGGTATAGAAGCAGAGGACCTAACAAAATTCAGCTTCATCAAATATACTGTACTGTAAAAACACTGTCTCATTATGTCTGATTGATTCTAATGTGAACATGTAAATTAAGTTGAATTGATTAGGCTTTTAATCTGGTGTGTGCACGTGCACATGCACAAACAGGATACTGGAACCTCAAATAAATATTTGATTTTGAACAACTCATCCTCTCTAATCAATTTACGCACACAGAAAATGAAAACATTTATTACAAAAATAAATTCTATTTTTATTGACTCTGGGAGTTGTTATAGTGTTACTTACATGCTGCCCCACACGCCATAACCAGAGGCTCTGTGGGTATTACACTATTGTAATACCGATTCCCTATTGCCACCACTCTCTGTATTGCATGGTTGTCCTTACCAATACAGGGTTCTCTTGCTCTTCCTTGTCACTCAATCCTCTGGTTAGACCCTCCGTCCCACCAACCTAAAAGTCTAATGCTGAGGATTGACAGGTGGGACAGGGACTATTTTAAAGTGCATTAAATTCAAATTTATACACGTGCTTGAATTTCTGCTAGCACAATGTCTAGTTGCAATTTAATTATCTTTGATTTCATTCCAAATTGTGATAGGAATGACAGATGCACTTTAAAATATTTTTTGGCCCCAGCTCATAATAACTTTGTCACTTATGTGAATCACAGAGTTTGGAATTCTCTGAGCAACTGCCATTCAGGGTGTGATGAACAGAAACCAAAAAAAAATTGATATTTCTGTTTACATCTGAAGGTTTGGATGCATGTTGGTTAACAACCAGTACCATTCTATTTTTAAATAATATAGTGTATTACCATAATTCACTTGTGCATACCAAACAAATGAGCTTAAAGAGATAGCAGAAAACAACATAGTGTATCACATTATTAACAGAAATGCTTGTGCCCTGTCACAGATAAAAGACCAGATTACACTCATTTTGTTTACCTTTTTATGTTTGACTGCACTATCCTCACTTACAATCGAATCAACTGTGTCTCTTGTATCGGACTCATTTTCATCTTTGCTTTCCAATTCATCCTCACTGGCAATTGGTCCATTTTCACACATTGGGGTTTGAAAGTCATCGTCGGGTAATGGTGGATAGCTATACCTGAAAGGATCCTAAATTATAAGAAAAAGAAGGACATAAAAGCATCATTTAGGACCTTAATGAACAACAAATGTATGGCCCAGTTGGTGTTAATGGGACTCTGCTATCCATAAAACGTGAACAACAAGGGACTAATTCGGTAAGTATCCATTTTATCTATGTTGTCAGACAGCAAATGTATATACAGCAAATGTATAGAATAAAAGATCTACTAATCTGAAAATCAAATGTGTATCACTGAGTTAGTGGCTTTTGACAGCAACTGCAAGGACAACCTAGTGCATATGTAAATTAGACTGACAAACACCCTTTTGGTGCATGCACTTAATTTGTGATGTTTGCTTAAAGGAACACTCCAAGCACCATAACTACTACAGTCTTACCTGGGGTCTACCTGGCGTTGCTCCCTGCAGCCTCCTCTCAGGTGAAAGCCCTCTGCCCAAGTGAAGACCTGTAGTGCAGGGCTTAGTTTGTCAGGAAATTATCAGCTTTCGCTCGCAGTCAATGAACAGGCTATGCACAGCAAAACTCCTAGCAGGAGCTTCCAGCTCACCGAGAGGCTAAACAAAGGCATGGAGTAACCCCAGGTATGAAGTCAAACTGTCAGACTACTTGCACTGGTGGGGGAACCACCTGGCACCATAGCCACTGCATAACACGTTAGTGGTTATGATGCTTGTAATGCTCATTTAGGTAACATGCAACATATTTGTCAACACCCCAACCCTTACCAGTCAACTCATCTCAATTAAATACCTCCAAATGCTATATTCTATAATTGAGTGCAGTATATGGGATCTGATTTTATTTTAACTTACCGTTCCACCCATATGAGGCGGCAAGTACTCAACACTGATATAATCTTGGATTTCATTCCTGTTCACAAATTTCAGCATGTTAATGGCTTCTGGACCAAGCCAGCCTTTGACAATTTTAAAAGCAGCTAAAAAAAAAATATAAATAAATAAAAAAGTCAAATTAAAAAGGCACAAAACTAGTGTGATGTATATAAATCTATTCAGGATCAATAACACAATAGGGTCATTAAAACAACAAGTGGGAATTGGCATAAGCATGGCAGTGAAAGGGTTAAAAAAAAAATCTATTCTACTAATTAGGGACAAAATTCAAACATCTACAATATATTTATAGTAGTTTGCATTACAGGGCCATAAAACACAAATCAAATCTGGATGTGTACAGCTGTTTAAGGTCTTTTCAATCCCCATTATTCAGTCAATGTTTTAACCCCTTCATAAAAAAAGGGCTTAGGCATGTCAATTTATCAAGACAGCCTTGACATCTTTCATTGGGATAATTGAAAATGATTTATGTTTACAGCTTGCTCACATTAAATTGGTTCAAGTCGGCAAGCCTGTCAGACTCAATGCACCAAAGCAAAGGATGCAGAGTTATGACTCTTAACTCTAAAACATCGGGCATACCTATCTAGTACATGAAAGAAATAAAACTAACAAATGTATGGACACAGATGTAACAAGGTCATTATTGAATGCATTTCAAAAAGGTAGGAGACAGGATGGATTATCTTGCCATATGTCATTCCGCATCAACTACAAGCCCTTGGTGACAATACAGTACATTTATGAAAGTAGAGGGGCGTATTTATGTGATTGTGAAACAATGTATTACGAGTAATAACACTATCGAGAAGAGTCCAGATTGAAGATACCAGTTACAGGATATTTCTAGATTTCTACATTTAAGTTTGTTTTTCACATGTTTAAAATACTTATTTGTTAAATATATGAATACGTAAAAAATAATAAAAATGCAGAGAAGTGACAGTTACTCTTTAACAAACTGGAAGAAAACAAACTAGACTGTGCAGCAGTGATGGGTCTACCACGTATCTTACTCAGGCTCAAAATCTTTATTCCACATGTAACATTGGCTAAACATCAAATACAAGGAACTAATTTGATATCGACCAAAATAGCCATGCAGCAAAAATATTCCAACTAGTCCCAGTTTTTTTTAATCATGCAATTACTGAGTGGACCATGATGGCTGAGGCAAACTCGAGAGATCAAAGGATCTTCTCACCATAGCAATACTCCTATAGAATGGAAGCTCGTTTGAGCAAAGTCCTCTTAAGCCATCGTTCCTTAAAGTTTTCTTGTAATTGTCCTATTTATAGTTAAATCCCCCCTCTCATAATATTATAAATACATTATATGATACATTAAGCAACACCTGCTCGAAGAAGCAATAAAAAGTGCTCTGCATCCACCAGATGCGGAACACATATCCCGTCCACTAACCTCCACCCCACTGTAAAATGTGAACTTATCCCTTTTCTCACACCCTAAGCCCCTAAACACACATGAATAGGCCGCAAGCAGCCCACTTCCCACATTCACTACATGACAAACTGCTTCTATAGACACATCGTACACCACATACAGCCCACACCATACACATTAACAGCATCATTTTAGTCACAGTCCGGTCTTGTTTACAACCATTTTGGTATTTTGTCCTCAGTCTGTGAAAATTCAGCATTTATTAAACAAAAACCTAAACTCAACATAGTATTGCATGTTGCAAACCACAAGGTATAGGGATAGGTTCTGAATGAAAATATTGTACTTACCATTCATTATCCATGGCATCTCAAAGATTACAATCTTGGCTGAAATAAGGAAACATTGAATATTTAAGGTCAGTTATAAAAGGAATTAGATTAACTAAAATATATATTCTCTTTTTAGCATGCATATTTCGGATAATTCTACCAATATACATATTTTATGCACGTAAATGTTTCCAATATGCCTTGAAGAGAGATATTCAAGACCTTATAGATATACTCTCTATAAATCTTTTCATGTGTACATGATTTAAAGGAACATGCTTCACTTGACAATTTATTTTTTAAACCAGCAATCCCTTTTAAACAAATAAACAAACCAAAATAACTCCCGAACTGAATACAAGGGAATGCTACAAACTCCCGAACTGCATACAAAGTAGCACTCCAAACTCCCGAACTGGAACCTCACGAATAGCTGCTAGCAGACGAACAGGAAAAGCACCCAAGAGGCTTACACTCCTGGCAATCAGTCTCTAACAGCATACAGTAAATCCCCCCCAAAGACGAGACAGAGCTCCGTGTTGAGGGTCAAGCAGCTACCTGCCCAGTATTTATGCCGGTCTCCCACCCGGTGGACACTCCCCTAGGGGACTCTAACACAGACAGACATGCATCACATCCCCACAATGCATCCTAATTTCCCTCCCTCCATCCTGGAGATAATTGGGAAGTAATCCAATTATCTCCCAGGACAGAGGCAAAACTCTATTATACACGTGGGGACACAAAGACAGTAAAATACATTAAAACATACAGTGTTATATTTAATACATAAAATCCATACATGTCACATATCCCCAGATAGCTGGGATCTGAGCGCACATAACTACCGAATAGCGCTCAGATCCTATACACACACAGTTCAATTGCCATGGAGCCAAAGTCTAAATTGCACGAATAGGCTCCATGGCATAGCTATCTGGGTTAAAACATTAACTGAAGTAAAGTACCGATCAATCCAGACTTCGGCTAAACAGCCACGAATAGAAGCAGGGAAGGCTGGAGGCTCAGCGGTGCCTGCACGTAAAAAAAGTGTCCGCTTTTAGTGCACTGATTCCAGGCTGAGCACCGCTGGCTGTCCGGGGAGCTCCATAACACCGCCACCTAGTGTACCCGCGGCCACCCAATAACAGTCAATTAAGCTGCGGTTAACCGCAGCTACTGGGTGATCAATTGACAGCACACGCTAGCTACAGGGAGGTGAATTGAAGGCACATGCCAGCTTCCCGGTGGTCGCGCCTTCGGTATTTTGTTCAGTAGATAAAAAATAAAGTATGTTAAAAGTCCGGTCCATAGTCTAAAGGGAGCAGGCGGGCAACCATGCTCCTCCAATGCAATGTGGCAAAATTGCTCTCGTCACAGTGGGGAGGGTAAAAAAAACATGGGGAGGGTAAAAAAAACATAGGGAGGGGGGGTAAAAAGAACAGGGGAGGGGAGTAAAAAAAAAAATGGGGAGTGGGTAGTAGTAAGAACATAGGGAGTAAAAACATAGGGAGGGAGGGTAGTAGTAAAAGAATATGGGGCAGTAAGGAGAACATAGGGAGGAGGGAGTAAAAAAATAGGGAGGGAGAGGAAAGGAAAAAAAACATGGGGGGGAGTGGCGGAGTAAGAAGGACACAGGGAGGGGAGTAAGAAGAACATGGGTGGAGGAGTAAGAAGAACATGGGGGGAGGAGTAAGAAGAACATGGGGCAGTAAGAAGAAACAGGTGGGAGAGCAGTAAGGAGAACATGGGGGGAGGAGTAAGAAGAACATGGGGGCAGTAAGAACATAGGGAGGGGGGAGTAGGCTTTGAATGTGTGTGTGGGGGGCCTCCATGTCCATTTTGCTTGGGGCCCCCAAATTCCTTCAAACGGCCCTGCTCAAATCCCCATCGTATCCTTTAGATTGTAAACTCACGGGATATCTAGCTAAGCACGTTGTATAAAAGAGCTCCAATGGCTAGTTATCAGCTTACAGGCAGGGCTCTCTTGACCTCGTGTTGGTCTGTGTATATTGTACGTACTCCACTAATTGTACAGCGCTGTGGATTCTGTTGGCGCTTTATAAATACCAGTAATAAATCAAATAAATTTCAGTTCTTTCAATAAACATATTAACCAAAAAAAATTAAAAATACGTTAATATATTTGATAACAGAATTACTTTATTTTCAAACAGTCCACACTTCAGCAAGTTTAAACAGATTGGCGTTAATTGAAATTTATTAATTGAAAACTAAAGTGCACATTTTAGGCAAAAAAAAAAAAAAAGGCCAATCTGATTATTTTGCAAGTTGAATACAATTTAATAAATAAACCTGTATGTGCTTCTAGATTCATTTTAGTTGCATGGATTGAATATAAGGTAGATGACAATGCATAAATGTTTGTCGGGATAGCCTTATGCACCTTATACAAGGGCATTTGGTAACGTGATGAACGAGTTAAAGCTTGAGAACTAGGAATCTGAAGGCTGAGTATGGGTTTGGGGGTGAAGGCAGGTGAAAAATAGAGAACAGAGGCAGATAGACAAGATGGGGCAATGTACTGAGCAATATAGTACTTTAAGGAATTAGTAGGAAAGCACACCACATTCTAAGAATTACCTTGCTAAGAAATGCTATTCCAACAAGAAATCAGGAGCAAGGGGTTATTAAATTTTATAAATCTGCCTTGCTTGGAAGTCTGAGCCTTTTGAAGCATGTGACGTTTAAATATTTGCCACTTCTGCTTTAGGGTTTCATGCTGCTAAGAGATATTTCATGTGAACACTGTTGAGATAACTTTAACGTTTAAGCATTACTGCCCTCTTAACCTAATCTTATGTAAAAGAGGATATTTACAGCTGCATGAAAAATTTAAACATTGTGGAACATTTTTTTCTTTCTCTCTAGTATGACAGATATTGTATTTTGCAGAATACAAGTGAGCAGTTCGTTCATTTTCATCTGTGGATTATCTGGTCCATCAAACATGCTTTATTTCCTGTTAGTATATGTTTTATTGCTAATTAGGTCTTGCTTATATATAGATGTACCATGGTTATTTCACACAGGACAAGGCAACTACAATTCTACTTACAAAGGTATCTGGGGTAGTAAATCTTAAAACAGTTGATGACAAAACGCACAAAATCCATATCCTAAAAATAAAGAGAAACAAACATATTTTGTTATACAAGCTACATTAGCATATTTACAAATGTAAAACTATTTCTGTAAAACCAGGTTAACCTTTCCCACTGCTCCAACTCCATTACTGACTCCTGTACCCACACCCCTTTCTATTTGTTTGACAGAATGTTAAAAATCCTATGGTGGTGATCATGGCCCTATATTCCGCTCCATCTGCTAAGGTATTTAGTTCCGGCTTCACCTCAAGGAACTTTCGTATAACTAATGGCACGAGGCAAGGGTGTCCCTTGTCACCCTTGATCTTCATCTTATGTTTGGAACCTCTAGTAAGAACGATCAAGCTTGATGCGGCGTTACCCGGCATAGATACTCCGGCTGGAGAAAAAAAAGTTGGCACTCTTTGCCGATGATGTGATCCTCTTTCTAGCCAACCCATCTGAATCCATACCTCACCTATTACGCACACTGACCACATATGGAGATATCTCCTATTATAAAAATAACGTTAATAAAACCCAGATACTCCCCATAAGACTTGATAAGCAATTCGTGAACGAACTGAAAAATACCTACCAATTTGCATGGCAAACTAACGCAATTTCATACCTAGGTATCAAATTAACGCACTCTAAATCCCTAACTATAAAGGAAAGTCACATTGCGGTCCTGTCCAATATTTCTAAACAGATGGATTCTTGGAGCAATCTCTATACATCATGGTTTGGTAGAATAAATTCTATCAAGATGATGATTCTGCCACATATAATCTACCTGTTTAGGTCATTACCTATCGCCTTACCTAATTCGCTCCTTCAACGGTTCCAAAGGGCAATTAACGCTCATATTTGGAAGAAAAAACCCCCAAGAATCTCTTTCCGCTCCTTATGGTGCCCATTCAAGAAAGGAGGCCTTAACGTTCCTAACATCATGCTCTACTACAAAGCAACCCTGATGTCGCAAAGCCTCAATGTCATGATGGGCACACACAAACCAGTATGGGTAGACCTAGAATCCGCTTGTGGGGGTTCACACTCCCTCTATGATGCCCTATGGTCATCCACCCCCTTAGCAATACGCTCCACGCTTCCAACATCACAATATCTTACAAAATCATGGTCTTCGTGGAATACAGCATTGTGGCCAAAAGCAGAGTTATTGTACCTCGCACCATTGTCGGCCCTCTCTACCTTCTCTCCCGACCTCCAAACGTCTAAATGGTCATCCTTAGGTGTCACACATGTACACAAACTGTTTGGTACAGATGGCATCCATCCTTTCCCAACACTGCAAGAACGGTATAAACTGCCATCGAGAGATATTTTCATGTATTTACGTGTTAAACATATTTTAATATCACGATCGATTGAGTTCACTGACCCGCTGTCACTTAGTAATATAGGTGCACAATGTTACCATGCCAAATTGATTCGTCCTTCTTGCAAACTTCTTTCCCTATGTTATATGACGTTGTCTGACAATCACGGATCCTCCAAACTACCTTATATGCAGCAGTGGGAGACATCGTTAGGGGTAACCCCAACATTCATAGAATGGGAACAAGCCATCACTTACACTAAACAATCTTCGAAATGTGTCACACTCTGGGAAGCCTACTTTAAAATGTTAATGAGATGGTACTTAGTCCCGAGCAGGATTCACAAAATATATCCCAAATCTCCCTCAACATGCTGGCGCTGCAACTCTGGTTTAGGATCTATAGAACATATATTTTGGCACTGTCCTAACCTGCAACACTTTTGGAAGGCCATACAAACAACCATCCATGCAATCTGTAAGATTACTTTCCCACTAGCTCCAGAAATCTATTTGCTCCACATTATCCCAAACCTACGTGATATACCATCCAGAGACGCAGTATTAAACATACTGGTGGCAGCAAAAATTAGCATTGCATCCCATTGGAAAGACACCACGACGGAATGTCTTGTTATTTCCACAGTTTTGAATTTTTTCTTTCATTTTATGCTTTCATACCTGCTCTCCTGTTACTGTGTACTTGGTTAGTGTACCATGTAGATATCTACTGATGTAGAAGTGGAGTGCGGTCAGTTCAGCCATGGCTAAAATATTGTGACAACGGTCTAGCTTTCAAGGCTATCTCAATAGTTTTGTTTATACCTGAGGATCACTATATGTATTTAATGCATCAGACGGCTTATTCCTTCACGAAGATGTATATTTGTATAAAGTCATGTATAACGTGCACTGAGACAATAATGCTACTGCACATGTTATCACCATATATTTTGTACGATACTGTATTGTGTTGTATGTAAAATTTGACGCTTCTATTGTTACCTCTTTATAAAACAATAAAGATTATTTAAAAAAAAAAAAAAAAAATCCTATGGTGTATGGATATCTGATACTTAAAGGGTTACTCCAAGCATCATACCCACTGCAGCCCACTGTAATGGTTATAATGTCAGCCTGGTTAACCAGTAACAAAGCAAGCAGTTTAGTAATAGTTTGCCCTATTCCCAAAGGGCTCCTGGTGTTCACCTCCGTTTTAGCATCACGGATGTGAAGCTTGACTCTAAGCCCAAATAGCATTGAAGAAAAAAAGAAAAAAAGAAAAAAAAATGGGAAAAGCAAAGGTCAGGAGCTAATCTAGTCACCACATGCAGAGGTCAGGAGCTAATCTAGTCACCACATGCAGAGGTCAGGAGCTAATCTAGTCACCATTTATTGGCTGACAGCTTCGGCTGACCACTCTCAGCCAATGAATGCAATTCTGTGTCTGAAGATTTGAGCAGAATTGACATTAGCAAGCAACTCGTTCCGAGCTGGCTAATGATACCCCAGTGACGCTACCAAAGGTGGACGTGTTTAGATCCGTATTTCCAGAGTATGCTGCAAACACAGACTTTAGGCACTATGACCACTTCAAATCACTGTAGTGGTTATGGAGCTTGGAGAAACACTAACAGTAGCTTATCTTATTGACCACATGTTCTACTTGTACAGTATACATGCACTTTACGAATACTAATTTACTATATATAGTAAATGCAGCCTCCCTACCCAGTTTCACATACATACACATTATATATATATATATATATATATGTGTGTATGTATGTATGTGAAACTGGGTAGGGAGGCTGCATTTACTATATATAGTAAATTAGTATTCGTAAAGTGCATACATATATATATATATATATCACTCACCTGAACATGCATAAATGGGGTGCTGCTGGGGGCCAAATCTTGTGTAATATATGTGTGTTGTACCCCACACAAGATGTACTTAACAAGCTATCAGCAATAATTTGTATTTCAAGATATACTACATTCTATTCCATATTATTAATAGGACACGTTGTTGCAGCTATATGATAAATCAGGGCACACACAAAAAAAAAAAAAAAAAATCTCTACATGAAATAGGTCCTTGAGGCAAGGAATAATATATTACTTCAAACTTCAAATTCAAAAAAGTCGCAGGGGAAAATATCACAATTTTACTTTGTAAATGAAAAACCCAGGAGAATTGTAGATGCAAATCCATATTATCTCAAGAACAACCTTTTTTAATGAACCCAATTGCAATGAAAGCCATGTTTTATCTCTTTTGCATTTGATATCAGACAGCTCATTATTATGCAGTAGATATTATTGGCTTCAGGAAGCTGCAGACTGTTGGAGATTACACAAATAGCCCTTTGTTGAAGTTTGCCAGAACATATTAAAAAGAGGTAATAGAAAATGAACCACTTTGAACTCTGTAAATCTACTTAGAAAAAGAACAAATAGTAATTTTTTCTCGTGAAAAACTTGACAGCAGAGTTTTCACAGTTAGTTATTCAACATTTAAGAAGTAATTCCCCTTAAGGGATACAATGGGCAAATGAAAGGGTCAATCTATAAAAATTGCAAAATCACACAAAAGATATCCATCTCAATTTTGATGTGTTCAGCTCTATAACATGCATTCAGTTGTTTTCATGTCTCTGAGACGGTTGTGTGATTGGCTTGAAAGCATTAGTGATGGAAGATATTGCCTAATATTGCTCCTGATAGAGGACTGAACTTCAAACGATTCTTACATGCATCTGCTTGGAGAAAACCCCACAATTCAACGGAGTTTGCCATGGCAAAAATGGCCTAGCATAAACGTAAAAATAGTTATTACATCATATGCTTGCCAGATTATATATTTTGCTTTAAATTCTTATCTTATGATTAATTATATCAGCTGCTGACAACAGAGATAGAAAAATACAAATATGATGGTTGGAACTCATGTTTATAAAAAGAAAAAAGAAAAAAAAAATCACAATTTTATGTACGGTAAGTTATATTGTTTCACCTGCCGATATGCCTCTACAGTTTGACAAAATTGCAGTCTGTGCAATTTATATATCCTTTTTACCCCAGGTTAAAAAAAACTACTTACCAATATGGGAATAGATGGTAAAGTGCAAATCTCATCTCCATATACTCGGAAAGGTAAAATAAGTTCAAGACTGTTTGTTACATGGATTAATACAGGTTATTTGGCATACTGTTTGTCATCAACCAATTGTTAAATGTTCAATGTGAGTTAGCATTAGACAAGAACAGCATATAAATTGATTCACGATATACTGAGAACTTACAATATTGCTAAGTCCACACTCAGTCATGTCAAACACCACTGTTAGATATTTTCCAGGTTCTCTTTTGGCATACCGCTCCAACCAGAATGCCACACATTTCTTCTTGTCCTCAAATGTTTTAGCATCACGGATGTGAAGCTTGACTCTAAGCCAAACTAGGATTGAAAAATAGAAAAACAAACCCGGGAAAAGTTAACACATTCCTTGGCAATGGAGTCACGCAAATGTCAAAGATGCCTAAAATATTTAACATTTCATAAAATGCAGAAGGGGTAAAAAAAAAATAAAAAAAAAATAAAAAAAAATAAAAATAAAAAAAAAGTATTATATAGTCTGGCATTTTCTATTACTCTGTATATTGTCTTGTAGTAAAGTAAAATTTGTAAGTGAGAGAACATTTTATTCATACAAGAAATTAGCTTTGCCCATACAAAACACACAATGGCAAGCTAAGTGTATTGCACCATACATTTTACCTATTTGATGATGAAAAGGCTGTACAATGTAAAAGTTCTAGAGTGGGTCGCAAGCCATTGCAAGCTATAGGCACCCAGATCATTTTAACTCATTGAAGTGGTCTGGGTGCACTGCCACTATCCCTTCAACCCTGCAATCTAAAACATTGCAGTTTTAGAGAAATTGCCTACCAGACAGTCACTAGGTGGGTCCTGCTGCTTCACATAGTTTGACTTTGTGAAACGACGGTGGACGTCCTCACGCCTTCCAGGAGGACGTCCAACATTTTCAGAATCCCCATAGGAAATCACAAAGGATATTCACTGCATTCCTATGTGGATGGCTTAATGCACAAGCCGGTGTCCCCACGCAAGTGCATTACGTTATCCTGATCGCAGACGTCGAAGCAGAAGGAGCCTGACCCAGCATAAATGAAATCGGGTGCTGGAATAAGGTAAATGTTTAAAGGGTTATTTAACCCTTTATTTCGTCCTGGGAGAGGAGCAGAGTGTTTCTATAATGTCAGGAATACAGGTTTGCAATCCCAACACTATAGTGCTCCTTTAATGTTGCAATTTGCAACCAATGGTATGCAGAGCAGGCTGAGCAACAAGTTAGTAATAGAAGATAGTCTGCTGTTCCTCTCCCTGGTTCCTCTTTTTATTCCCGCCCTTGACACAAACAGAATGTGAGACTAAAGTAAGTCAAACTTACATAGTTTATTCCCTTCTTTGTCGTATCCGTGCAGAAAAGTAGCACCAATTTCAAAACACCACCTTGGAAGACTGGTTTCACTCAGATCTGAAGATAAAAGGATGGAACGTCATGAATAGGCAATTTGACAACATGTACACACTCCGACTCTACATCAAGCATGACTAAATCTCAAAAAGTCAGGTTTCTATTTTTGATGTTTTATACCGTATTCATCCAAGAAGAAAACAAAAAAACTATTGTTATAGCAAGCAAATTTCGACCCATAATTAATCGGCTCAGTGTTTTGTGTTTCAACTCCAGATTCTCTAGTACCTTTTCAAACTAAAGGATGGAAATCAGCCTCCTCTTCTTAAAGGAACACTATAGTCACCTAAATTACTTCCGTTAAATAAAGCAGTTTTAGTGTATAGATCATTCCCTTGCAATTTCACTGCTCAATTAACTGCCATTTAGGAGTTAAATCACTTTGTTTCTGTTTATGCAGCCCTAGCCACACCTCCCCTGGCTATGATTGACAGAGCCTGCATGAAAAAAACAAAAAACAAAACAAAAAAAAAAAAAACTGGTTTCACTTTCAAACAGATGTAATTTACCTTAAATAATTGTATCTCAATCTCTAAATTGAACTTCAGTCACATACAGGAGGCTCTTGCAGGGTCTAGCAAGCCATTAACATAGCAGGGGATAAGAAAATCTTAATTAAACAGAACTTGCAATAAAGAAAGCCTAAATATGGCTCTCTTTACAGGAAGTGTTTATAGAAGGCAGTGAAAGTCACATGCAGGGAGGTGTGACTAGGGTTCATAAACAAAGGGATTTAACTCCTAAATGGCAGAAGATTGAGCAGTGAGGCTGCAGGGGCATGTTCTATACACCAAAACTGCTTCATTAAGCTAAAGTTGTTCAGGTGACTATAGTGTCCCTTTAATCAAGTGTAGACAACTTTTGGCATTACAGATGTTGTGAACAGCACCTCCAATGCGTCTAAAGACATAAGCCTGGAAAAGCATCATGAGAGATGTAATCCATAAAAATCAGGATTGCAAAAGGTTGCCTGTTCTAAGGTCAATAAAAAGAGACCTTTTTTACAACTGGAAATGAATGAAAGCTAAATGTACCGTTCATTTTCACATAGGAGAACTTTTCTAAGTAGTTGCTAGACTTGTTTTTCCTTCTAGCTGCTTAAATGACCCTTCCTGTATGTGGGATTGTTAATGAATGCCAGGCCAACAGAGATACTGTAGCAAACTCGCCCCTTTAACGGAGTTTGCCATGTATTCTTGGAGGGGGCCCGCCTCCTACCCAGTGATTATGGTCCCAGGAAGATGTGGCCCTTTAAGTACAATATTTGGGCATATTGGATTTGTATGGTGCGGCTAGGCGAAAATTTTGGGGCATGGCGAAAATTTGGGACAATGCCCCTTTAAATCTGTGTCCCCAGACCTATTTGGGACAAGGCCCCTTTAAAACTGTGTCCCCAGACTTGTTTGGGACACTGCCCCTTTAAGATGGTGTCCCCAATGTCCCCAGACTTTGGAAATAACTTTTAAATGGCTTTTCCCCTTATGGTTCGGTAATTGGGGCTTACCGAGCCATTCACTGCACAGGCGGACCACCCAGAGCTGGAAGTGTGCAGGCAATTTACCTCCCAGGCTGGGAGCCTGCTGTAGGTAAATTGCCGAACGCTGGAGGGCCGCTGTTCGTGCAAACGAACATGTGGCGGCGGCCATCTTTTTTTATTCAATGCGGTCAGCGGTGTGTGTAGCCAAATTCATGGAACTGAAATCGGCTACACAGTTCCGCGAACACCGCTGAGCCTTACCTTCTCCCACAATGATTTTGCAGCCGCAGAGACTAAGTCCCATTCGGCGATGGGACTTAGTCGTTTTTTCAGCCTGAAATAGACCGACCGCACAGCCCAAATCTATGGAACTGTTTTGGGCATGAAAATGTGCTTGCGGTCGGTCAAAAAGGCACCTCCGGCTAACTTTTTAACCCCTGGATGGAATTGGCTGAATTTTGGATATGTTTATAATTAAAGTGTGCTGAGTTCGAGTTATGTTTGTGGCATGTATATTTTTGAAGTTATTAATATTTTGTAAAAACTATTTCTCTGCCTGTGATAAATAAGTTAGTCTATTGTGTTGAGATAATTGTATCACAGGCAGAGGGGAGGAGATGTGTGGGAGGTAACATGTATCCGATTGGTGAATGTACTAATTCTTGTGGGTGTCTCCCTTGCATGGGAGCATTGCATGTGAAATTAAATCTCAGTTAAGTTCTGCTCCTGATACTGTGTGTCGCCCAGTTATTGGGAAAGGTGATGGGATATTATTGGATTGTCTTGCTGATTGTGCTTGCTACGCTGTTGGATTATTCTATTACTGTGGATGTTTCTCCTGGGGTTACTACTTGTTCCTGAGCCACACCTGGACTACCAGCGGAAATAGTCTGTGAGAGACTAGCGTTCCGCTACAGATACAGTATAATTTAATGTGCAATACAACTTTATTTCCACCAAAGTGAACACTTACAAACAGTAGACTAACATGAAAAGGGACAGCCTATGCACAACAATTTACTGTTATGGTGAAACAGAATTTGGGTGCACCTCCTCTGGTTTCTAACAAATCATTTTTTAAGTGCTTTAATAAAAATAGGGCTCCCTTGGCAAGTAAAACCCATCCCTCTTTTACCACTGAGATAATTAGAATAGGCTGTGACAATTGGTTAAGTCCCTCCATTGTCCAAAGGGTATAGGATATACAATGACCACAAGGCAGAAGGGACTAGCAGGAAGGGGTGGCAGAGTTGCAACATTTGCACCTATTAGTTTAACTAGTCAGCATAAGGTTATAATAGATGGTCATTATAGGTAGCATAAATTATGAAGACATCTGATAACTTGGTTATTTGGAGTCTTCATTTACTCTGGATAACAGAACTAAAATCAACCTTCCTTATGCACAAGAATCTGGGAAATATGTTAAAACATAAAAACAAAATTATAAAGAGTTTATAAAAAAAAATTTCCGCAGGATAACAAAAATAAAATAAATCAATGCAGAATCATTTGCAGAAGTTAAGAAAACAGAAATCCAAGACTTACAAATAGAATTCTGAGTGGGGTTCTGTGTGAGAGGCAATAGTGGATAAAGGTCATTATTCCTTGTAAACATTTTCAGAAATGAACTTATCAAGTGCCAAGAGTGCTTAAGCACGTTACTTAATGTTCTCAAAGGATGCTTTTGGTGAAAGGATATTTAGAGGTCAGGGCATGACTGTAATACCGTAAAAAAAGGCATATCTTGCTTGTTACATGTGACAGGTCTTTTGAATCAAAATACGATTTTTCAAAATAAAAATCAGTAGGGAATTTTGCTTGCTCATAAGTATGCCCGACGTCAAAAAGGCTGGAACTTCAAACATCCTATCTACTAATCAACCCTATTATTTTTCACTTTGAAAGATGACATTGAATTCTTATTATGCAGAGGAGTCTTTGCAGCTAGTATGAGTGCTTAAAGGGAAACTCCAAGCTAAATGTTGACCCTTCTAGACATACACTATGGAATTATAGCATGTCAAACATGTAAAATAAATTAAGAAACAAAATATATAAAATTCCTCACCTCTAATTCATCCTTTAATGCACATCTGCAGCTTATCTTAGGACCAGGAAGTGGTAAGAAATCACAGCCAATCCTGCCCTCATTTTTCTCAAAATCAGCACACTATGTGTGTGCATATATTTATACACGCACACACTCATCTAGTGCACTCACTCATTCACTAAACAGAAATGTTAAAGATCACATAATGGAATACACACAGAGACCTCTGCTTTGCAGTTATTAATTTGCTAAAAATTCAAAATGGCAATGAAGAGAGAATGCCCAAATGGTAATAGAATAACAGCTTGTTTTTTCCCACCTCTAGAATACAGATGTATTCCAAAAGCGGTTATTGTGGTTTTGGTGCTGCAGGCAACATTCCCTATTTCTGTATCAAATGGTTTGACACAAACTAAGGGTACTCCATGCACCCATAACTCCACCCTTGCTAGAAAGATTGCAAAGGTCGAATTTGCTTTTCTGCATTAGCATAATCAATTTCAGAACAATTTGCATGACAATGATTGCCTGGGAACATCAAATATAAATATGAAATGAGCACCTATAAAACTGTGGTCTCCGTACATTTATATTAGAAATATTAGTTTGAATTAAAATCATATGTTAACATGAACTAAACATAATTGTTGGCAGTTAATTGCTATTAAATTGAGCATAAAAAAATAAAAATAATTATATATATATATATATATTTTTTTTTTTTTTTTCGCTGTAACAGGTCTACCTGTATTAAGTAACATTATGTACATGTAATTGTTAAAATCAATATTCTAAAAAAAGAAATATTCTGTCAAAAAACAAACAAACCAACAAAAAAAAAAAAAAAATATCTTTTTTTGAACAAAACAAAATGTGTCCTTTCTTTGATAGAGCAGATTTCGGAAGCTAGAAAGGATATCTTAATTTCTAGATTTCCCCAGTGCACAATGACTGATTTAGCAAAATGGGATTTCCTGTTCCCTGCTGTGTAAGTGAGAAACCAGATCACCTGAGTGAAACAAAATATGTGGGGGAAAAAAAGTGATTTACTAAAAAGAACCTATATGATTAGAAGGGAGGAAAAAAGAAAAATCACATTCCCGAGCAAAGTAAATTGACATTTAGTCAGACTTCATGCAGAAACTTTAATTCCATCAAAGCAAAACCAAGAAACTAAAAAGCATGTAATTTGTAGACATTATAAAGACTTAAAAGATCATACCATTTACTGCAATATCTTTTCTCCACTTTAGACTTTCATCAATCATCTTCAAAGCATCCTCTATTACATTGTGCCTCCAGAGAAGATAACTCTCCAGCAAGGTATCATCTTTCTGAAGTCTTTCCATGTCACGGGGATCATATTTGTCTGAACTATCTAGAATGAATAAAAAAAATAATAATTAAACAAATATATACACACACACACACAAAGCCACAACTCATTTTAATTTGTGAACTTGTCAGACATATTACTTCAACTGCCTCAATAGAACATGTCACAATAAACAAAATGTTTATTTGGCATATTCACTATACCACTAAGTACAGTATAATTTAACATCTGGAAAGAACAATGCTTTATATTTCAGGCACTGAAACACTGGCAGCAGGGAACGGGCAAAAACAATTGGATCAAAACATTGCACGAAGAATTCTCATCAGCCTCATGTTTAAGACGTTAAGGAAAAGGTCAAGAAACACTGTTCACTGGAAAGATGTGATCAGTTATCTGTAAACTGTGAATCGACCATATGGAAAAGCATTCTGATAAGAGCACGTCTGATATGATTAGGCAACTCCTATTCTGAGATGTGTGAAATCAGGTGAAGATACTCATTGATCACACAGTATGGCTGCCAAGTTCCTAATTATCAACAACCTACCATATCAATTTGAAAAATTATAACCCCCACTCCCCTCCCCCCCAAAAAAAACCCACCTGTTTTTACCGTACATTAAGATGCCAAGTGATATTAAATTTATAATAATTTAAAAGAGAGAGTTCTGTTGTCATATGGAAGGGTCACTGAAAAAAAACATAAAAATGATATACTATGGATAGATCACACAAGGCACCTAGCATTTATTGCAACTTCTTTCATTCCGGCAGTGCTGCCACAAGATACTATGTGTCAGTCAAGGTGGTCTTAAACATGTATATGGTACACAGGCAACACCGTGCTTCAGAAAAAGGTATAGATAAACCTCTCCCTGGTTGTGGAATGGTCACATGACCTAATCACATGATGAAGGTCATGTGAACAGAAACAGTAAAAATGTATGTATAAAAATCATGTAGTAAGTACAAAGGAATAACACAACAAAAGAGTTTCTGGAAATATAAAAAGGAACATGTATATGCATGTGATCTAGTAACCCACCACATTACTCATGTATTGAATTATTATTTCAGTTTTCAATATGATAGGATTGTCATTACCCATCTCAAGGGTTATAGCATTTGTAGGCAATCATTGCCAAGTGGTTGTCCTATCGTAGATCTTGGCCACCTATAGATTAATTTGGGGTTGATTTAGTACAGGCATGTCCAAGCTTGGCCTTAGAGCTGTTGTGGCACTTTATTGCCCAATAGCAATCTAAACCTCTGCAGGAACAATATAAGATCTCCAAGACTGTGTGCTTTTGATTTTGAGGCAGAGTTTGTTTGTATTGTCAATAAGCTGAAATCACAGACAATCGTTATTCTGTATTGATTGCATTTAAAGTATGACTCCACAAGCAAGTGTGCTCTAGCAAGTGTTTTTTGTTTTTGTTTTATATTCTTTTGTGTATTTACATTAATCTATAGGTGGCCAAGATCTACGATAGGACAACCACTTGGCAATGATTGCCTACAAATGCTATAACCCTTCTCAACACATTTGCTCATGTACAAAAAAAAAAAATTGGTTAATACAAAATGCCTATGAGGATTTTGTTTTGATAGGCATTATTGCTGCAGTGTGAGACTGGGAGCTTATAAAGCCAGGATAAGTTCTCTCAAGGTGAGCTTTCATAATCACCAGGCAAATCCTCTGAACTGGATCCAGTATATAGCTTCATATAGAAACATAGGGAGGCAGATTAGTGATTGGAAAGTACACAAAGGAGTAATCTCAGGCATATTGATTTTCACGGAGAACAGTTTTAGGAACCTTCTCAGACACATACAGAGATAGATCTACTCCAAGGCATGTTAATTGAAAATGCTGAAGAAAAAGGCGAAACTGCATAATTTTTTCAAGACAATAGTACTTTAATTTGAGAGAGAAAAAAAAAAAAAATTCCCTAAGAGCCAGGTGTGCAAAGAACACATGATTTTTTTTTTTTTTAAACAGCCAATTTGCTTCTGGTTCATAAAGAGTGTCACGGTATAATTTAATGAACTATGCTCTGCTAGTGTACTGTACTAAAGTAAGTGACCCCCTAGTTCAGATCACACAGGGTTTTGAATTTAATGACATATTAAGAACTCAACTGGAAAATTCGGCTTAATCCGATTGAAAAATTAATTAAACAGTGCTGTACTTCAGAAAAAGTTTTACACTCTGGTGAAACTGTAATGAGAGAAATTTAATCAAAGGCTTTACCAAAACATGAATTTTTAATACAAATTACAATGTTGTGACCTAATGCACAAAAGCAGCAGCTGCAACTCTGAACAAGAGGAAGGCTCATAATGCCTAACCAGACTATCCTTTCCAAAAGATTATTTTCAATTATTTCAATATTAAAATGTTAGTGACTCATTCAAATTAGCAAACATACATAGACCAGTTTTTCAAGTTCAGTGAATTAAGTAAGCTCATGCAAATGAGTATGGATTTACATTTCTAATGCGTATCATAGCTTTTAGTTTTAACTTCTAGAAATGTTCTTTAAACTTGAAGAAAATGCCACCATAGATACAATTAAAGAAAGCCTGTCGTGAAGTTTGAAACAGCACAATTCTAGAACACATCATCCGCTATCTTTGCATCTGAGGTCTTCAATTGCTAACTAGTGATGTCGCGAACCGTTCGCGAACTTGCCGCAAACCGTTCGCGGCAAACTCCGGTCAGCTGACACATCCCTGCCAATCTCCGGCAGACCCTCCCTCCCAGACCCTCCCACCTCCTGGACAGCATCCATGTTGAAGCTGCCTTTAACATGGATGCTGTCCAGGAAGTAGGAGGGTCTGCCGGAAATTGGCAGGGATGTGTCAGCTGACCGGAGTTCGCTGCAAGTTCGCGACATCACTATTGCTAACCTTTGGCTCTACAGCTGTTGGGACTACAATTCCCACGATGACCACATTCTGGCTAAAATCTGTCACGCTCTCTCTCTGGAGAGATATTACACAGGAGGTCTAGTATGACAGCTACAAAGCAATTAAGCTGTTTTACTGTTCCCTCACAGTGGATGTAATGAAAGAAGATGTGAAAATATAGAAAGAAAAAAAAAAAAAAAATTGATGTGTCTTGTGAAACAGAGAAAAAGAATAACCAGCAATGTTTTGGCTTGGGCCTAATATTTATTAACGCCTTGCAATATTTATCTTGTAAATCAAATTTTTTTTAAATAAAACAAATTCTGGACATAAGGCATTTTAACAAATCAGGACTAATAAGTGAATCTATTCTAAATTCGGTTTAATTTTTATATTTTGCATTAGTTGTGTAGATATCATTACAAGCAAAACGGAAAAGTTTGACATGCAAACATATAGATTATCTGAAGATAGACTTATACGTACTTTAAAAATTAAACGAAAAAATAAAAAATAAAGATGAATATGGATGGGTTCAACAAAGAAAATGCATTACAATAAACTGTAAAAAAGAAAAAAGAAAAAAAAAATAGCCCTTTGTAAGGTATGCATTACATTTTGGAAACTGTTGGGTCATGAAGGAGTTTATGGGAATAAATTCTTAAAAATACGTGGGGTGCAATGTTTAAACACATAATGTGAGCATAAAAGGAAAAATAGTTCCCAAAGATCAGGGGTGTCAAGGTTAGCCAACTTGCCAACTTGGAAAAAAGTAAGCATGGCAGATGCTTGTGAACTTCCCTTCCACTTTACAGCTACATTGAGGATTTTAAAGCGCACATATGCCAACCTTGCAAATATTCTTGAGTCAAACGCTTTCTTGTCTCCTGAATTAACTTTTCCTTTTCCTGTAAATGAAAGAAAAATTGTAATTATTACAAAATATGTCTGAAAGTGAACAAGGGCACTTGTTTTGGAAAGTATTTTATAGTCCAAAAATCACTTACATCATCAGTTGCGCTTTATTTAAAAAAATAAAAAAAAATATATGGGTTTGATTACAAAATATTTGCTTCTATGTAGCTGATAAGGGTAAGCATATAAAAGCACAGGATTTCCTATTACTTAAGCAGAAATAAATATATAAAGTTTTTTGTTTTTTTTTACCTTGAAGCATTAAGATTATGAAGATATAAGTGAAAGAACTGGGACAGGAATATTAATAGGGTAATTTAATAAAGTCCAAAGGTTCTGTACCGAATGAGGCAAAACCATGCATACAAGCCCCTCAAACTGCAAAATTCGGACACTATTAAAGCTAAGTGTGGATTTTGTTAATCAGGCTAAGAATGACCCTGAATTAGGTCTACATATCAGTTGGACCAAACGCTGGAAAGAATAAATCTGGACTTTTTTTTGAAAATCACTCCTTTTGTATTTTCAATAGTAGCGTTGGGTTATTGTGGATTTTATTTTCACCTTTTCTGGTTAGGGGCAGGGGAGTGGCCAGTGAACTTTACACCACAATTATCTAATTTAAACCTCCCATCCATTGCACACAGGTCCAGTAGCCAGGACCCCTATCCCCATGGCATGCAGCCTTCCTTGTGACGTAGCTATACATCCCACCTGCAAAATAGCAGGTGGGGGGCATGCAGGAGGTTTTAAACCTCCCGTATAGTAATACAGGGGTCTTGCTAATAACCATAGACATTGTTTGGCATGAATTTTGCAATTTGATTTGCTAAGATTTTGGTCTGTGAATAAAACAGAATATATCTTAGTCTATCAAATCATCCATATAATCCATTTGATAACTGCACTTGCATCTCAACAGAAACAAACACAAAGAGAATATTGGGGTGTATCTGGTTTGTAAATTACACTCAAATGACAGTGTTTGGGCAAATCCACTGCTTTATTGTATCAATCTGGAATCCTTTAACTACTAATCAAGAGAAAAACTATTTCCTAAAATTCATGTCAACACTTAGCTTGGGTTTTTTTTAAATCACTGGCTTCAAGGAGTGTTTACATCAAGGCAAAACTGGAATAATAATTGCTCAAACTTCTACATTAAAAAACAAACAAAAAAAAAAAAAACACACAACAAAAAATTTATAACACACAAACGATAAAGACTCGGTGGGGGATTTATGCAAGTTTAAAATACACGGAATCCATGGACTTCTTATTTTCCATACAATCAATATATATATATATATATATATATATATATATATATATATATATATATATATATATATATATATATATATACACACACACACACACACTCTATATTTAGTAAATTTTTCTGATGATTCTGGGGCAAAGAGTTACATATAAAGCAATAAGAAAATGTTATGTTGCTGATGGTTAGAAAAATTACATGACTTTGATTTCCAAATTTCTTCAATTTAGCCTTAATTCCTTACAAAGCATTTAAAATAAGTCAAAAATACTTCTCCACCAGAACTGTCATAAAGAATTACTACTAAGTCCTGCATTGAAGGCTTGTGGTACAATCTGTAACAATCTTAAAATGCAAACGAACAAAGAACAGTAGGAAATGTTTGTTTTTTTAAATATATTTCAGTATTTAAACAATGCATGGACTTTCCTGGTAACTCGTGAAATGCATTTCAATTGTTTTCTTGAACAAATATTAGTTTTTATTTCTTTTTTACGTAGAAGAAACAATTGCTCAGAGCAGTGGACAATGCATACTAAGGTAGGACACAATGACATGTAGAAGGTAAAAAAGGAGTTGTAGTTCAGCAACATCTGGAGGGCCGGTGTTTGGGGAAGCCTGCTCTACACCTACAGAATAGCACGCTTTCTAACAGTCACAATTTTGGCATGACAGCTCTGTTTTTTTGGTCCTGTCCCTGCTTTCTTAACTAGTGTCCTGGTTTTGGGGACACCAGGGAGTGGTCCCATAAAAAGTGTATCATGAGTGCATCATCAGATGTGCTTGCGTTACACTCAGGGCATTAGGACCCTGTAGAGAGAACTTAAGAAGTGCTCCCTGCATGGATGGCCCTCAGTGGGATGGCTGCTTGATTGACATGCAGGATGACGTGCATTCATGCCAAGCTCACCTGGCAGGAATTCGATTGACCCTTTAAAACCCTATCCCACCGGTGTTCCACTTCTTGGGACTCCAATGTTGTGGGATATAGAATTTTGATGTCTGATATGTCAGTCTAGTGGCTTGTTTTTGGAGAGGGATCCGACGACCCACAGGATTTAGGGTGCCACATATTAGGCATCATCTCCCTTTGGGTTTTCATGCTGTAGCACCTATGCTGACACATATACCAAGACATCAGAGAGATGGAGGAATGTATGCATCCATTTGGTTCTGCATTAAACATTTTCCAAAATGTAAGACCCAGTAGTGCCATATTGGAAAACATTCTATTTTATGGTATTGTCCAAGTCTGACCTAGACGACAATCATTCAGAAAATATTCATACTTTGCGACAGGCTGTTCTGTGAATGTTTTTTTTCAATGTTTTGTTCCCAGGAGGATACACTGACAGTTAGTGCTTTAGAGTGACCTTGAGCTGTCACAACGTGGCATTTCACTATGTGATCATCACTGTATAGCCAGCCAGCTTTTCATCCAGGACGGAAGCACTTTCTTCCTCAATACGTGCCTTACGCTTTCCATATCACTGACACTTTGACCATTATGTAAATTAAACATTTACCTAGTGCGGAATGATTTTTAGGGTCGGCGGCAGTCAGTTTCACACTTACTGTTGGTATATTGTGCAACAAGTACATTGCTGTAATTAATGAGCACTCTAGGGGCTTTGTAAATGTGATAAATTAAGGGTTCTATAAAGAAAAGTGAAGCACAAGCTAATCAAAGAGGGCTGAAATATAGATCTTTTTATTTTAATACACTAATTGTTCAGTACTTATGCAATAAAATAGAATAGATTTTATGAGAGCTGTAAGAACAAGTACAGTGCTTTTTACTGTTGGTTTTGTTATGGATGACCAGAAACAAGTGAGGTTTGATATTTTTTGGCATATAGCAGGTATTCGTAAAACGTAACCTTTTAAAAACACCACAGAAGACACAGAGAACCGGCTGAAACTGGCAAACGGATGTAGGCATGCATTAATCCCCATGGTAACTGGATTAACTGCAAACCTGCAGGCGTTATGCTGCAGTTTTATAGAAAACACAATAACTAGAGGTCATTTCATTTAAAAATGTGAACCAAGAGATCCAGGAAACATTGCCAACCACTTTAAATCTGCCATTTGCCCCCATTCCCTGAGATTCACAGAATAGGAAATAAGTACACGAGGAAGTTATGTACATTTAACTACCATGCTATAAACAAGCTTTAAAAAGAAATAAATGGTAATTTTCAGAAAAGATTAAAATATAAAAGGTTGTTCTGCATTCTTTGACAATCCTAGGTTATATGATGAATAGATGAACTAGTGCCCAACCTCGCAAATAAACATGCTTTCATTGCAAAAAAATAAAAATAAATATATATATATATAAAAAAGAAGTTGTAGGTTTAACCTTTAGCTTTATTTATACAGCTACAGAAACAAACAAAGCAAATTCCTTCACATAGGGAAACAAAAAACACAGAACATGTACATTAACCATTATAGAAGAAACAAACGGAAAAATAACATTTTTCAAAATCACATTTTCATTAGTTTGACAGTTGGGATCCTGTGATTTAATTCATTTTGATTTGAGGAATCTCACAATTCTTTGTCAGTAGGATGTTTGAAAAATCTACACCATCTATTTCAAAACCAGTCCTTAAGGTGTACATTGAAGACAGGTTTTGAAATAAATGGTGTAGATAATACAGTATGGTTACACGTAGCACCACATCACAAAAAAAAATAAAAAATTAACCCGAGTAACACAAGTGGGGGCTATTCAAGTAAACGGCGGACCTAGGGTCCCCTTTGGCCCCCACCCATGAGCAGAGGGTGGGGACCCTAAATGAAAAGGTGTGGGGAGGACGGGACCCTAATCACCCCCCTAACCAAAGTTAAAAATAGTGAGGGAGAATGAGAAAACTAAATCCCTGTAAATAAATAACTTACCATTTGAAGTTTTCTTTTTTCTAAAATCTTTTTTCAGCCCGCCAAAAAGGCCAAATAAAAATCCATAATACCCACCGAACTTTGAAAATAAAAGCCTTCCCACGCCCTGCAATTAGGCTCAGAGCACTGATTGGTTGGTTTGAAATCCAACCAGTGTGCTGTGACAGGTAAATGTAGAGACTTAGCTGTCAGAGCACTCTGATTGGTTGGCTTAAACCAACCAGAGTGCTCTGAGCCCAATTGCAGGGTGTGGGAAGGCTTTATACGACTTTCCCCACCCTGAGGAGCTCAGTCTGTATGGTGCTCTCGTTGGGTGAAGAGGGATTACTTTTTAACGTCTTTTTTTTGTCTGATTTTTATTTTATTTTCAAAGTTCGACGGGTATTATGGATTTTTATTTGGCCTTTTCTGGGGCTGAAAAAAGAAGACATTAAATGGTAAGTTATTTTTTATTTACAGTGATTTAGTTTTCTCCTGCTCCCTCACTATTTTTAGGGTGAGGGGGGTAGGTAGGAATTTATTTTTTTTTGGGTGGGGGGATGACTAAGGGCATGGGGACCCCTAGTCAGCTGGGGGGGGGATATTTACACTTAGCCCCCACTCGTCACCAATGGAGGGGACCGGGGAGGACAATAGGCCCCCCCCTCTTATTGTAATTTAGGGTCCCCACCCACTGCTCAGGGTTGGGGGCGGATTATAGGTCCCCCCTTTTGTAATTTAGGGCACCCACCTGCCGCTCATGGGTGGGTGCCAAAGGGGACCCTATGTCCTCCGTTTACTATTATAGCCCCACCCGCGCTAGTTAATAGATGATCCACCATGGTGCTATTTGTTAGAGGGGGAAGGGGGGCTTTTTTCTTTTTTACAGCAGTGAGCAGTCACAAGCTGCTCACTGTTTAGTGGACATGCCCCTACTCGCGAAATAGCAAGTAGGGGCATTCAGGAGATTTTAATCTCCCTTATGCTATGATAGGGGTCATATTGACCCCCATGGAGTGAGGGAGAACATGGGGGCTTAGGAAGTGGTGGGGGGCACTGGGCCCTGCCACTTCTATTTTTACATATTACAAGGAGGGAGCTGCGAGCCAGTAGCTACCTCCTTGTAATAAACCAAACGAACAAACAAAGAGGTCTTCGTTCATTCGTTTGAAATTTCTATTTATTTCTTTGACTTTCTGACGAATGAATGGATGAAATTCCCATTCGCATGTCCAAGTTTTTAACTGGGCGTGCGCAGGAATTTCACAGCGCTATCTAGTGTGGGCAGATGACATGTCCCACAGGGACTTCATCTACCCACACAAAGTTGGCGGCGCCCAGGACCTAGGTCCGGGCAGAAAATAAAGATTAAAAAATAGGTAAGCTGGGGGACTTAGGGGTATTTGGGGTATCTAGGGGGACAATTAGATGTAGTAGAGACGGGAGGGGGGGTTATATAAAAAAAAAAAAAAAAAAAAAAAAAAAAAAAAAAAAAAAAAAAAAAAAAACACACACACACACACACTTGATTTGGCCATGACAGTGCTGCTTTAAGTATAAAATAGAAGGACCAATGGCTCCTGACACAGCCAATTGTCAAATGGTTCATAGACTGCTTTACAGATTACAGTATGACAGCAGCAGGTGACTCCTTGTACTATAAGCACTACAACACACTTTACAGATTATGGTGCTTAAAGCATCCCTTTAAATTCTAAACTAGTGACTTTTAACAGATTTAAAATTTTAGCAACTGCTTCACAATAAGAGTAAACAAATATTATGTTATGGCCTTTGCTCTATGAAAATCCATAAGGGTACAAAAAACAATTGCAAATACCGCAATTTTAAATCTCAACATTTTGAATAAAATATACAAAGAGTAAGGAAAATGCATGCATTTTCATAATGACTTTCCCCTCCTATGGATATTTTGAATAATGCAGAGAGAAAAAACAAAAAAACAAAAACAAACAGAAAACAGATCATATGCTTTTTGCTTGTGTGCAAATCTATGCTTTACAAATATAGTAGAAAACCAAGGCCAAATAAAATTATGATGCAAAGATAATTTCTATGCAAATAAGGTCATGAGTGACTACATTTAAAAGACTGGAATTTGTGATGAAATACAAGTCAAACAAAAAAAGTATTCAGAATGAATATGAATGTATGAGTGCAAATGAGTCATGAAACAGTTCCAGAAGCCCACCTTGTGGCGGAACCAGCCTCCTGCCATGTGACTATGGCCCCTGGGATGTATTGCCTGCTCTCCTGTACTGCTGAGGATTGCTACCAACTAGGTGGATTTGGCTATGGAGCTTGTGTAGTGCCCTCTGTTGGTAGCAACAGTAAAATGCACTACCTGAATAGCAAGACTGGTAATTTGTATATTCGGGTAGATTTGCATATCGCTAATTCTGCATGCAGGAGAGACATTTTGTGTTAATTATGGTCTTCCCCACCCATTTATAAATATGTAATAATAAGTCACTGTATGTTGCCTTCTATGATTTGACTGTTTGTAATTTTATTGAGTTTTCACAGCAATGTAATGCCCATATGGGCTAATCCCAAGTAAAATAAAGTTTTAGACAGTTCTACTTCACCCTCAATTTGGAGTGCCGTCTCTTATTGGGGGAATCTGCTACAAAGGATTGCTATGCTTGTCATACTCCCTTAGCTAATCACTACTAAGCTCTTTTAAAGAGCTTGTTCCTGCTTCACTCTTGGAGGAGAGGTTCACCCACTGGAACCTTGTCGTAGGTCCAGGCTGGGTAGGAGACGGCGAGACCCCAACCAAGCTGCGGCGGTTTGTGGGGTCTACGGTGGTTGTGGTGTCTGGCAGAGCGCTTGGAGCATCCTTCAACAGAGGTGCCCAGTCGGGGTGCCAGGTGATCCGTTACACACCTCTTCTGTGGACATTAGCAAAGATGTAAATTAGGAGAATAGAAGGGAAGCGCTAAATAGGATTTTTCTAAGACTGGTGTTATACCCATAGAGTTAGAGTAACGTAGTTGCCTCTGAGATAAGTTTAGTGTGTATATGTATACACAATAAAGATTCCAGCAAAGATCCAAAATGTTGCTTAAGCCAAGAAGGACTGCTCACTAACAGCTACTTGAGTGCCCAGACATCTTTCTTTTATACTGAAGCTCAGCTTTTTTCCTATGTTTAATCTTTCCAATACAAATTGCACGAACAGAAGCTGTCTATTTCTCTTCCACAGCGCCAGAAGAAAACAATATTTCCACAGCAGTGGAGCAAACATTAATAAAAAAAAATTAATACATCAAATATATTATTTATAAAAAAATTAAATGACCATCCTGCAAGCAACTAGACCTGCAAAGATTAGTTTTAAAGGAAAACCAGGAAATCAGAGTTAGGCTAAAAGAAATTACACAGTCTTTTGTCAAAAATAAGTCCAACTTAAAAAAAAAAAATAATTCAAAATAAATTCACGTATTTGACCTGATTTACAAAGTGCTTAATATGTGTAGGATTTGTTATTTTGATAGTTACATGTCACAAAATACAAAGAATAAAGCCAATATGTGCTATTCTTGTTCAAAACCCAATATTGTGTTCAGCTACATCTCCAGAGTACACCACCACCCCATTGTATGCCTTTGCCACTATCCTGTAAGGCTGCAATGTCATATAGCAATTTGACAGTTCAAATAACCCTGCAGATACACCAGCATATTATTTTACATACATGTTGCATATTTGCTGGGTATTTTGAACATTTAATATATGTGTCACTGTGATATAATGCCCCAAATTATGCCCAGTTACATCTCCTGCATCACTATACAGCAAGTCAGAGATCCCCTGCATCACTGTACAGCAGGTCAGAGATACTCTGCATCACTGTACAGCAGATGTTATACACAGTATCACTATACAGCAGGTGTTATACGCAGTATTAGTATACAGCAGGTGTTATACGCAGTATCACTATACAGCAGGTGTTATACGCAGTATCACTATACAGCAGGTGTTATACGCAGTATCACTATACAGTAAGTGTTATACGCAGTATCACTATACAGTAAGTGTTATACGCAGTATCACTATACAGTAAGTGTTATACGCAGTATCACTATACAGCAGGTGTTATACACAGTATCACTATACAGTAAGTGTTATACACAGTATCACTATACAGCAGGTGTTATACACAGTATCACTATACAGTAAGTGTTATACACAGTATCACTATACAGCAGGTGTTATACACAGTATCACTATACAGCAGGTGTTATACACAGTATCACTATACAGCAGGTGTTATACACAGTATCACTATACAGCAGTATCACTATACAGTGTGTTATACACAGTATCACTATACAGTAGTGTTATACACAGTATCACTATACAGCAGGTGTTATACACAGTATCACTATACAGTAGGTGTTATACACAGTATCACTATACAGTAAGTGTTATACACAGTATCACTATACAGCAGGTGTTATACACAGTATCACTATACAGTAAGTGTTATACACAGTATCACTATACAGTAGGTGTTATACACAGTATCACTATACAGCAGGTGTTATACACAGTATCACTATACAGTAAGTGTTATACACAGTGTTAGTATACAGTAAGTGTTATACACAGTATCACTATACAGTAGGTGTTATACACAGTATCACTATACAGCAGGTGTTATACACAGTATCACTATACAGTAAGTGTTATACACAGTGTTAGTATAGACAATCACAGTGAGTTACACAGAATTACTGCCATTGATTAGAGTCCATCCCCCTGTCTCCCCCCCCTTCTTGGTCTCCAGGTCTCACTGAGCTCACATTCCTCCCCCCCATCCCTCTCACTATAGTTACTATGAGTGCTGTTACCGGTCCCAGCGGGCACATTGCTCACCTCAGCCATGGCCAGCTCACACCGCCTCTCACTCACTCTCTCACAGCAGCCCTGCCGCTAAGTCCTTCCGGGCTCGCTGACATCACCGGCCACGTCACTCATCAGCTCCTCCCCCCCCCCCTTCCTAGACAGGGGAGGGCATCACGTGACTGTGGGGACCGACCTCGTGTCCGGGTCTGCGCGGGGCGCTGGGATATGCGTGACGTCACTCGGGAGGCTGCTCGCACAGTAACGGTCGGGGAGAGCCAGCGCTGAGGTGAGAGTGGAGAGCCTCTGTCAGTACCCACCATGCAGTGCGCTGAGAGTGGAGATCCTCTGTCAGTACCCACCATGCAGTGCGGTGAGAGTGGAGAGCCTCTGTCAGTACCCACCATGCAGTGCGGTGAGAGTGGAGAGCCTCTGTCAGTACCCACCATGCAGTGCGGCGCTCATGGCGGGAGATTTGGTTTCGGTTACTGACGTTCACATCTCCTGTTTATCTTCCTCATTAATTAACACAATATCCCCCCCCTCCCTTAGTTCCGGGAATGTCTGTCATGATAACAGAGGGGGTTTGTCAAATCCTGGTCCTAAATGGGGTTATATGCCTTCACAAACCTGTTGGCCTTATGAATAATAAAATAATAATATTAATCATCATATAATTATTATTTTACTTAACCCTTTCAGGATGGAGTCAATAGTGCACGTTCTGATCAAAACGTAAACAAAAACTGGAATTTGTTACCGGCCCCAGCGGGCACTTTGCTCACCTCAGCCATGGCCAACTCACAGTGATCAAAATACAGATCACAGTATTTCACTGTGATCTGATTTTTTTTTTTTTTTAACCCCTTAGGGTTAACTTTTATATATATTTTTTTTAATCCTCAGGGGTTAAATCTATTTAACTTTAAATATTTTAAAATATTTATTTAGCTAGGGTGGGTAGGAGTTAGTGGGGAAATTGGGGGATTTACGAATAGGCTGGTTAGGGGTTAAAACAAATAATAAATGTGAAAAAAAACTTTTGTAAAGTTTTTAAACAAAGTTTTAAAATAGTAAAATAAGTTGTTAAAAGCTAAGTAAAACTTTTGACACTTGGTACAGAATAGCAAAAAAATGATACCACACTAAGGTTTCAAATATGCCTTTTGAAACACCCTGGGGTGTCTTCTTTAGGAAAAGGTATGCCTTTGTGAAGTAATTGGAAAACACAACCTATTAAAAAAATTCCAAAGTGGGGCATGGACCCAGCTTCAAAATTCTAACTTAAATGGCTGTCTCTCAAATGTGCCCCTTCAACGTTGTCATATACCTGGTAAAGGTACATACGGGGGTATTGCTGTACTTAGATGACATAGCGGAGCAACATATGATGTATTATACTGCTGTCGCACATATAAGGTTTGAAAAATATATATTACAAACTCATTGAGAGTGTCAAAAAGGCATAAAAAATTTCTTTATGGGGTAGCTGGCATAATTAACTTAAAAAAACCCCTCCAAAGTGGGGTATGGACACAGCGTAAAAATGTTATGTTTGAAAAAACTTAAATGGCTGTGTCTCAAATGTGCCCCTTCAATGTCCGCATATACCTGGCAAAGGTACATATGGAGGTATTGCTGTGCTCAGGCAACATAGCTGAGCAAGATAGGAATTATTATATAGTCGTAGCACACATTATGTTTGCAAAATATACAGTGCAAACTCACTGTGTGTCAAAAAAACAGAAAAAATGTTTATTACCACTACACTTGGTACAAGCTAGCGGAAAGATTATTTCACGCTAAGGTTCAAAATAAGTCTTTTGAAATACCCTAGGGTGTCTTCTTTAAGAAATGGCAAGCCTTTATGGGGTAGCTGGAATAATTAACCTCCAAAGTGGGGTATGTACACAGAGTAAAAATTTAAAGTTTAAAAAAACGTAAATGGCTGTGTCTCAAATGTGCCCCTTCAATGTCCACATATACCTAGCAAAGGTACATATGGGGGTATTCCTGTGCTCAGACGACGTAGCTGAGCAAGATAAGAAGTATTATATAGCCTTAGCACACATAAGGTTTGCATAATACACAGTACAAACTCACTGTGTGTGTGTCAAAAAAGCAGAAAAAATGCTTATTACCACTACACTTGGTACTAGCTAGCGGAAATATGATCCCACGCTAAAGTTCAAAATATGCCTTTTGAAATACCCTGGGATCCCTTCTTTAAGAAATAGTATGCTTTTATGGGATAGTTGGAATATATAGCCTGCTAAAAAAAACTCCAAAGTGGGGTAACAACACAGTGTAAAAATTCAAAGTTTGAAAAAACCTGCAATGGCTGTGTCTAAAATGTGCCCCTTCAACGTCTACATATACCTGGCAAAGGTACATACGGGGGTATTGCTGTACTCAGATAACATAGCTGAGCAACATATAAAGTATTATAAAGCCGTAGCACACATAAGGTTTGCAAAATATACAGTACAAACTCACTGTATGTCAAAAAGGCAGAAAAAAAATGCTTATTACCACTACATTTGATACAAGCTAACGGAAAAATTATCGCACGCTAAGGTTCCAAATTTGCCTTTTGAAAAACCCTCGGGCGTCTTCTTTAAGAAATAGTATGCCTTTTTGGGGTAGTTAGAAAAAGCAGCCTGCTAACATATTTAAAAATAGAATACGGACCCATTAAAACTCTCCATGTAAATTCACACTTAAAAACCTGAACTTGTCACGTCTCTTTCACAGCACTGTAATTTCACAAAATAGTGTCTAGATCATGAACTGGGCTTATTGTTTTACTGAGTAGAGGTAAATGAGCATACTTATCAAATGTAAGATACCCAGTGAAAATGCAACATGTATGTAAAAAAATTTAATTTTTTTTTTTCTCACCACAAAATTTGAAGTAAATTGGTGAAAAAATGGTGGCAAGTTAAGGTATAATATATGCCTAATAACATACTCTGGAGTGTCTGCTTTCTCAAATGGAAGGCCTTTGTGGGGTTATTTGAACAGTCAAATAGCTATAATGCCACAAAATCAGACATATGACCATCTGTGAAAATTCCAACTATAGAAACTGAAATAGCATGGTCTCCTATATGGCATTGTAGCTTCACAGAATAGGGGCAAAGGTATACAATGGGGTTATTGTTGTACTCAGCAGATGTACCTGAACACGATATGGGCTTCTGTACAGGGATAGCACACACTAGGTTTACAAAATACACATTACAAAAACCTTGTATGTGTATATGCCAAAATAGAGAAAAAAACACAATTTTACTCCAATATTTAGCAGAGATTGGCGGTGAAATGGCTACGCAAAAAGTGTCAAACTAACCTTAGGTAAATAGCCTGTGATGTCTACTTTATATAAATATATACTTTTGTGTGGCAATTTTGTTTCCTGTAATGGGTATTAAACTTCCAAGACAGACATACCTTGTACTTAGACCTTGTAGTTTGTGACCTGTAACTTTCAAAATAAACTGAAATCCTACACATATTATGCACTTTGTAAATCAAAACACATAAATGAATTGATTTGAATTACTTTTCCTAAGCTGGACATATTATGCACACATTATTATTGTCAAAACTTGGGGGGAAAAAGCACAGTTTTTTTGTTTTTTTTCCACATTATTTTGCAATTTTTTTTTTTTTAATAAATGAGAATTTATATATGTATATGTCACATCAAATTAAAGCCCTTTTTGTTGTCTAAAAACTGTATATAATACAAAATGGTACATATAAACAAAATGGTACAATAAATGAGAGAGATGCAAATTGCAGTTGAACACAAACCGCAAAAAATGCTTGTGTCCTTAAGGGTATGTCCAGCTTCTGAAGCTGTGTCCTTAAGGGGTTAAGGACCAGCCTCTTTTTACACTTTTGTGGTGTTTGTGTTTAGCTGTAATTTTCCGCTCTCTCATTTACTGTTCCCATACAAATTTATATATTTTTTTCAGGACAAAAAGGGCTTTTTTTATATTTATATAATCTCATAATTTATATATATATATATATATATATATATATATATATATATATATATATATATATATATATATATATATATATATATATAAAATTTTAAAAAAATACAAAATTTTGTCCTGAGTTTAAAAATACCCAGTGTTTACATGCTTTTTTGCAAGTTATAGGGCTATAAGTACAAGTAGGATATTACGGTTTCAAAACATACATTATCAATAGTGACATTGTAACACTATTATCTGTCATAAATCTCTGAATAACACCCCACATGTACATATTTTTTTTTAAAGTAGACAACCTAGGGTATTCAATATGGGGTATGCCCAGTCATTTTTAGTAGCTACATAGTCACAAACACTGGCCAAAGTTAGCATTCATATTTGTTTGTGTGTGAAAAGAGTAAAAAACTAAATTGAACGCAAATTTTGGCCAGTGTTTGTGACTAAGTAGCTACTTAAAAAGACTGGACATACCCCATTTGCAATACCTTGGGTTGTCTTCTTTTGCAAATGGTATGCCATCATGGGGATAATTCTCCTTCCTGGGCTACCATATGCCCTCAAAGGCAACATAACCAACCTGGCAATTTTCAATGTAAAAATATTTGACCCTGTAAGTTTCAAAAACGCTATAAAACCTGTACATGGGGGGGTACTGTTATACTCGGGAGACTTTGCTGAACACAATTATATCATCAGTAAAAGTGCTGTTTGTGTGTGAAAAATGAGAAAAAAGTCACTTTCACTGACAATATCATAGCTGTGATATGTTTTACTGTTTTGAATCACTAATATTTGTGTTCAGCGAAGTCTCCCGAGTAAAACAGTACCCCCCCATGTACAGGCTTTAGGGTGTCATAGAAAGTTACAGGGTAAAATACAGTGCTAGCAAATTAAATTCTCTGGACTTTCGGCCTGGGTTGTCAGGCAGGTCCCTCAAATTGCAATCAGTAAAATTACTTAATTATGTAAAAATATTACATAAATACAGACGTAGAATTTAAAAATATATGCATACTTATATATTTGAAGTCTACGTGTATATTTTTATAATTTCATTTTGTATATGGACATATGTATATTTCGTTTTATTTATTTATTAATTCTATTCTTTTATTAACATGTACCTTTAATTTTTGGGGGATTTTCCACTCGCAGGGAGACTGCCTGTCAGCACAGGCAGTCCCCCTGCAAGCAGACACATGGACACCTATTGTGATCGCTCTGTTGAGCGATCACATGGCCCCAGGGGTCCTAATCCACCATGGGGCGTCTCCCCACACCGGGAGCAACGCTGATCGCCGCCGGGGGAACGACGGCGATCGGGTAAGTACATCTGAACGTTGTGGCGGTTCAGGACTGTCAGCGGTCGGCAACGCAGAAATACCGATGACGGTCCTGAACCGTCACCGGTCCTTAACTCCTTAAGGACCAAACTTCTGGAATAAAAGGGAATCATGACATGTCACACATGTCATGTGTCATTAAGGGGTTGTTGGCGAAATCAAACCAAGCATTTGATATCCTGAGTATCTGCCCCTGTCCAGATTAAAAGGGTTATAGAGCGTGCACACCTCCCGAGTAATTCACACCAGACACAAGGTTCTGGTTAATGAATCAGCTGAGGAATGTTTATTTTCGGGGGTTGGACCCCCTTATAAAGCACTAATACATCAAATGCATAATTACAGATAACAGTGAAGAATACATCAACAGTTGGTTAGGTGTTAAGTGGTTTTAGTCAAAGCATGTCCTACTGATCAGAACGTCATGCCGTGGGACCTGTGTCATAAAGTTCTCCCCCAGATTCCAGTGCCATCTTGTATACTGTCGACGGGAGGGGTAACTCATAGCGGCCATTTTGAGTAGTCATTGTTATGTGAGTTTAGTTAGTTTAACGAAGTAAATAGGCATTTTACTAAATTGTCTATTATGTCCTTAACAAGGTTAAGGAGACGTGCATTTGCATATAACCAATATTTCAGTCCAACTACCTTGACATATTAAACCCTTAAGGATGCAGCTTCACAACCTGGACTTACCCATAAGAACACAAGCCATTTTTGCATTTTTTTTACTGTTTGTGTTCAAACACAATTTGCATCTCTGTCATTTATTGCACCAACTCATATTATATACTGTTTTTTTTAGAGGGCAAGAAGGGCTTTAATTTGATGTGACATATATATATATATACTAATTAATTATAAAACAAATGCTAAAAAATGGGTAAGAAAACTGTTTTGACAATAATAGCGTGTGCATAATATGTCCAGCTTAGAAAAAGTTATTCAAAATAAATGCATTTGTGTCTTGATTTATAGAGTACATAATATGTATAGAGTTTCAGCTTGTTTTGAAAGTTACAGGTCACAAAATAAAAGGACTAAAATGCAATTTTAGAAATTGGTATGTTTGTCTTGTAGGTTTAGTAGCCATCACAGAAAACAAAATTGCCACACCAAAGTATATATTTATTTAATGTAGACCTCACAGGCTATTTACCTAAGATTATTTTGACACTTTTTACGTAGCAATTTCATCGCCAATCTCTGCTAAATATTGGAGTAAAATTGTGTTTTTTCTCTGTTTTGGCATATACACATATAACAAGGTTTTCGTAAAGCTGGTGTATACTATTCCTGTACAGAAACCCATATTGTGTTCAGCTGCATCTGCCGAGTATAACGATACCCCCATTGTATGCCTTTGGCACTATTCTGTGAAGCTACAATGCCATATAAGAGACAAGGCTATTTCAGTTTCTAGAGTTAGAATTTTCATAGATGGATTTGTCGGGCCTATGTCTCATTTTGGGGTATTTATATCAGTGTGAGCATTCAAATAACCCCACAAAAGGCTTCCATTTGATAAAGCAGACACCCCAGGGTATCTTATATGGCGTATATTGTGCCTTAACTTGTCACCATTTTTTCACCAATTTATGTCAATGTTTGTGGTGAGGGGAAACTTTGAATTTTTATGCTGTGTCCAGGTCCCATTTTAGAGTATTTTAGCAGGCTATATATTCCCACTATCCCATAAAGCAGGCTTCCACAAACGCTGGCCCTCCAGATGTTGCTGAACTACAACTCCCATGATTCTATGAATGAAATAGGCTGAGAATCATGGGATAATTGGGATCTGGTCTGCCTAATGCAACACACAGGAATGAGGGAGTCCGACTCGGAGTGAATTGCTCAGAACTGAACTAAGACAGGGATACACCCAAACCTGTCCAAAGAAGTAAAGGACAGTAATACCTTCAAGGCAGTGTGTTCAGGAGCTGGTTCACTTTAATATGGCTTGATTGATGGTATAATAGTTATGTCGACTTCTAAAACAATTAATAGTAGCAGAGAGAAAATGTGTGGTGTGTATACCTTTAAATCTGCTAAAGGCAGATTCTATCTGTTACACACCAAATATTCTGCTTTATATAAAGCAACTACTTATTACAGAATAACAACATCAGAAACATCAAGAATAGTTATCTGTATGATATTATAATATATGGTGAGTATTGCTTTAAATCACTAAATGGTGCAAAAGGCAATATTCAACTTGTAATGGAGAGATATATGAAAAAATGATCTCTATATTTAAAGTCAAATTTGAAATAGATCAGTGAAAATTCCAAAAAACCACTATAAAAAAGTATTAAAATAATGTAATGTATAAATTCATTGATAATATATTCAAAGGATAAGTAAGAGAATAGTTAAAAATAGTTAAAAAATATAAAATACAATATACATAAAAAAATGAGAGCCAGTGTGTATGTGTATATATATATATATATGTGTGTGTGTATATATATATGTGTGTGTGTATATATATATGTGTGTATATATATGTGTGTATATATATATATATGTATATATATATGTGATCTAAGTATATATTATTTTTTTTTTTTACACTTTTAACTCATTTAATTTTATTTTCAGCCAGCAGGGGGACCACCTGCATTACAGGCAGCCCCCCTGCTGGCAATACAGAAGCCAGCTATCCCCGGCCATGTGATTGTGGGGTCCTCGCAAGGACCCCACTCTCACACGGCCGGGGGGCTTCGTGGAGGACAGACGTGCCGCGGGGGGCTCCCTGGGAGTCCCCCCCCACGGCGATCGCCGGCGTGGGACCGCCGGCACCGGGTAAGTACCGAAAGACCGGAGGGCGTACTATTACGCCCGGCTGCGTTTAGAGCCGCCTATAATAGGGCGTAATAGTACGCCCTCCGGTCTAAAGGGGTTAAAAGGCATAATTTGAACCTTAGCGTGGGAACATTTTTTCACTGGTTTATTACAGGTGTAGTGGTAATAAGCATTTTTATAATGTATTTTTTTTTAACTTTTTAAAAGTCTTTTTACTTTTTAAAACTTGATTTTAAACTTTTTTTGTTTACTTATTAATTTTTTTACTTTTTAAAACTTTCTTGAAATTTTTTTACACTTTTAAAATTTGTATAAACTTTTTTTTTTTTTTTACTGTTGACCCCTAACTAGCAGTTAACAGCACTAACAGTAAATTCCTCAATTTCCCATAACCCCCACCTACCCCAGCTAGCAAAATATATAATTTTAAAATATTTAAATTAAGTAATGAAATAAATTGAACCCCTGAGGGTTAAAAAAAAAAAAGGTTAACCCTCAGGGGTTTTCGGGTGCTTCCCGTCTGCCTCGAATACCGAGGCAGACCAAAGGAGCGTTAACACCGCGATCGTGGCGATCTGGGGTTAATTTTAGCACATGACAGACCGGGTCCGTCATCCGGCGTTAAGTGGTTAAGAAACGTTTGTTAATGGGACTGAAATGGTGAATGTATGCTGTTGCACAGCTGTAAAAAACAAATGACGTTATCTTGTTGATTTTGAAGTCCTATGAGTGTGTTCTTCACTTAGGAAAGCATTGGGAGGCTATTGTGCATGTGTTGCAAAATGCTGCGCGGCCAATCAGCATCTCCATGGGGAGCGTTCAGCGCCTCCATGCAGACCCAGTCTAATACACTGCCCCCTCCCCCATTCTGATACACTGCCCACAGATCCAATACATTTCGTCAAACCCAATCTAATACACTGCCCCCTCCACCCAATCTAATACACTGCCCCTTAATCTAATAAACTGCCTCTCCGCCCTCCCTCCAATTTAACACACTCCCACCACTCTAATTTAACCCCTTAACGACCTAGGACGGTTCAGGACCGCCATCAGCATTTTTGCATTGCCGACCGCTGACGGTCCTGAGCCGTCCTAACGGTCTTATGTACTTACCCGATCGGCGGTGCTCCCGGTGTGGGGAGACTGCCTGCAGCCCAGACAGTCTCCCTGCGGCGGATTAGGACCCCTGGGGCCATGTGATCGATTCAATTTCGTTTTTTACTTTTTTCACACACAAACAAATATGAACGCTAACTTTGGCCAGTGTTTGCGACTAGGTGGCTACTAAAAAATGACTGGACATACCCTGGGTTGTCTACTTTAAAAGAAATATGTACATGTGGGGTGTTATTCAGAGATCTAGACATATAATAGTGTTACAATGTCAATATTGATAAATTTGAAAAAAATTATGTTTTGAAACTGCAATATCCTACTTGTACCTGTAGCCCTATAACTTGCAAAAAAAAAAGCATGTAAACACTGGGTATTTTAAAACTCAGGACAAAATTTTGAATCTATTTAGCAGTTTTTTTTTATTCGCTTTTGTAGATGAGTAAAATATTTTTCAAGTAAAAGTAAAAAAACATGTATTTTTTTTTTAATTTTTCATCATTTTTTTTTTTAAATTAAATTACATGAGATTACATAAATAATGGTATGTAAAGAAAGCCTTTTTCGTCCTGAAAAAAACAATATATAATTTGTATAGGAACAGTAAATGAGAGCGCGGAAAATTACAGCTAAACATAAACACCACAAAAATGTAAAAAGAGGCCTGATCGCAAATGTACAACATCGCAAAAACAGTCCAGTCCTTAAGGGGTTAATACACTGCCCTTCCCCCAATTTGATGCACTGACCCTCCAATTTAATACATTACCCTCCATGCAATTGAACACACTGCTCCCCCTCCCACCATTCTAATACACTGCACCATCCCCCAATTTAATACTGTCCCCTCCCTCCCCAATTTAACACACTGCCTCCCTCCCCCTCCAAATTCATATACTGCCCCCACCTCCCACCACTCATAATACGCCGTACTCCCCCCCTAATTTAATACACTGGTTCCTTCGTCCCCCAAATTAATACACTGCCTCTTCCCTCCCTCAAATTAATACACTGCCTCCCCCCCCCCAATTTAAAACACTACACTTTAAGTGCAGGATGTTTATAAAAAGATAGCGAAAGCTGGTGTCAGGCGCAAGGACACAAGAACAGAAGAATATTGTATATTTTAAAAAAATGCAAGTTTAACCCTTTCAAAGATTGAGTATATTGTTATAATCAGGCTTACTGACCATTTGGTCTTTCAAGCTATGTATATACAGTATTACTTTAGCTACGTAATAAGAAATATAGAAGTAGAAATCAGGACATGAGACCGACACCCTGTAACATAAAAAAATATATCACTGTATGTCTAGGGGAATATTCACTAAGCATTGCATAGGTAAAACAATTTGTTTCCATTAGTGGGGAAGTCTTCTCTGCTCTCCCTTATCAGTCAATTACTCGCAACAGCTAGGAGATAAACCTTTTTTTATTTGTTTGAATAAAAATAGTTTTTTCTCCCAATCTGTACATTTAATAGAATTGTATGCCTAATCTAATGAGCATACGTTGTTTGGGGCATGACAGATGCCCTTTAACCCCTTCCCGACCGAGGACGGTTCAGGACCGTCATCGGGATTTTCCCATTGCGGACCGATGACGGTCCTGAACCGTCCTAACGGTTTCCGTTACTTACCTGATCGCCGTCGTTCCCCCGGCGGCGATCAGCGTTGCTCCCGGTGTGGGGAGACTGCCTGCAGCCCAGACAGTCTCCCCACACTGATTTAGGACCCCTGGGGCCATGTGATCGCTTAACACAGCGATCACATGGTCACAATAGGTGTCCATAGTGCTGCCTGCAGGGGGACTGTCTGTGCTGACAGGCAGTCTCCCTGCTAGTGTAAAATCAAAAAAAAAAATAAAGTTAATGTTAATAAAAAAAATTATAATAATTATATATGTGTATATATGATATATAGACATATATTATATCTATATAATATATGTCTATATATCATATATATAATGCCATACTAAGTGTATTTTTATATTAATATGTACTTATATTAGTATAAAAATACACTTATAATTAAATTACACACGTATATATATAATATATATAATAACTATATAGATTGTATATATATATTATTATAAAATATAAATAATAAGTAATTTAAATTAAATAAATTTTTTTTAAAATAATAATAAAAAATTTTAAAAAAATTATATAGCTATATGAAATTTTATTCTAACTGTATTTTAAAATTAATATATATATATTTATATCAAAATACACTTAGAATGAATTTTTATATATATCTATATATATAAAAATAAATAAAAATAATACGAAATATACATATGTCCATATACAAAATTACATAAATAATTATATAAATATACACGTAGACTTCAAATATATAAATATGCATATATATTTAAATTCTACGTGCGTATTTATGTAATATTTTTACATAATTCAGTAATTTTATTGATTGCAATTTGAGGGACCTGCCTGCCAACCCAGGCCGAAATTCCAGAGAATTTTATTTGCTAGCACTGTATTTTACCCTGTAACGTTCTACGACACCCTAAAACCTGTACATGGGGGGTACTGTTTTACTCGGGAGACTTCGCTGAACACAAATATTAGTGATTCAAAACAGTAAAACATATCACAGCGATGATATTGTCAGTGAAAGTTACTTTTTTTGCATTTTTCACACACAAACAGCACTTTTACTGATGATATAATTGTTGTGATACGTTTTCCAGTTTTTAAACACTAATATTTGTGTTCAGCGATGTCTCCCGAGTAAAACAGTACCCCCCATGTACAGGTTTTATAGCATTTTTGAAAGTTACAAGGTCAAATATATGGGTCAAATATTTTTACATTGAAAATGGCCAGGTTGGTTACGTTGCCTTTGAGAGCGTATGGTAGCCCAGGAATGAGAATTACCCCCATGATGGCATACCATTTGCAAAAGAAGACAACCCAAGGTATTGCAAATGGGGTATGTCCAGTCTTTTTTAGTAGCCACTTGGTCACAAACACTGGCCAAAATTAGCGTTCAATTTAGTTTTTTTACTTTTTTCACACACAAACAAATATGAATGCTTACTTTGGCCAGTGTTTTCGACTAAGTGGCTACTAAAAAAGACTGGACATACCCCATATTGAATACCCTGGGTTGTCTACTTTAAAAAAAATATGTACATGTGGGGTGTTATTCAGAGATTTATGACAGATAATAGTGTTACAATGTCACTATTGATAAATTTTAAAAATGCATGTTTTGAAACCGCAATATCCTACTTGTACCTATAGCCCTATAACATGCAAAAAAGCAAAAAAGCGTAAACACTGGGTATTTTTAAACTCAGGACAAAATTTTGAATCTATTTAGCAGTTTTTTTCATTCGCTTTTGTAGATGAGTAAAAGATTTTTCAAGTAAAAGTCAAAAAACATGTATTTTTTCAATTTTTCATCATATTTTTTTATTTTTTTTAAATTAAAATACATGAGATTATATAAATAATGGTATGTAAAGAAAGCCCCTTTTGTCCTGAAAAAACAATATATAATTTGTATGGGAACAGTAAATGAGAGAGCGGAAAATTACAGCCAAACACAAACACCAGAAAAGTGTAAAAATATTCCTGGTCGCAAATGTACAACATCGCAAAAACAGTCCAGTCCTTAAGGGGTTAAGTGTCTAAACTTTAGTAAACAGTCTGATTTACCCTGGGACAGCAGCACCAGAAACCCTTTGTCACTGCAACCACTGCAGGTTTCTGTAGTGGTTAGTTATGTTGCTTAAACTCTCTCTGGAGTTGTTAATTAATTTTGCGGTGCATTCAAAAGATCCCAACCACTACAGATGTTTTCACTGGTTTTGGTGCAAATAGTTTCTAGTTATATCAGTTTTTTTCAGGCTGTACATGAGCACCTAAAGCCTGTCCCTTCTGCTGCAGCTTGGTGACAACAAAGGGGTAGTGGTTCCCTTTGACTGTAGAACAGACTGAATTCTGAGTGATATCTGATGACTGAAGGCCTTTGCAGTAAACTGAACTAATTCAGGGTTACTCACTGCTGTAAATTGTCGTGAATTCTGAGAAAATGTGTTAGGAGAAAATAATACCTTCATGACATTCCTAATCAGAATAAGCCGCTAGACCAAGATGACATTTCCCCAAAGTATTTGCTTCAGCATTATGTACTCTTTATGTTAGATTACTTTTTTTTTTTTTTTTTACATTATGGCTAGGGCTTAAATTGTAGCGCAGCACTGTATTCCCTAGTGTGTCTGAAACTGGTGGAAATTTCATTGGTTGTCTCTGTATAACTAACCCTTCTCCCAATGTATCAGCAATGAGAGATATAAATTTAATGGTGGCAGCTGCTGTGACACCAACTCCCACTTATATTACACAGGCCATGACGTGTGTCCCAGTACTGCCTTGAAATTAAGGATCCTGCAATGCACAACGTCAACCTTACCATGCAATACAGTTGTTACTATAAACGCTTTATATTTTTAACAATGCATTGCGATTGGTGCTGGCAATTGACAAAAGCTGAGTGGTTTTACAAATGTCTCCAGAACCCAGCATTTGTGCATTATCATGACAGCAGCACAACAGTTTTGTTATGAGAAAAGGCTATGGAAAGCAAATAAAAACAGTACATATTACATAGTTACATAGCTGGAAAGAGACTTGCGTCCATCAAGTTCAGGTTATTTTTATTTATTATTATTTTGTTATTGTGTTAGAGCAGGGATTTATAAAGGAGAGGGCTAGGCACTTTAAAAAGTAAATGCCTTTAGGTTTGCAGGTGCCGTCCCCCATTTTTTGATATGGCCCTTTTCTAGTGGTTTGACAAAAACTCCACAGCCCATCTTTCTGTTTCTCAACCTTCTAAGAAAGTACCCCCTGCCATAAGGAAGTAATTTCAAATGATTTTAAATTTCAAATGAAACATAAAGCCACTGATATTTAAGTTAATCCCGTACTAGAGAAAAGGCCTGATTAAAGGTACTTAAAAATAGTTTTTAAAATAATGACACTATGTGAATATTGATCTGAAGGGAGGGGGTTAGAAAACTCTGCTCTACTGTATTAGCAAGTACAGTTTTATTTATAAGAAATTAAGATTTGCCAGGTTACATCATAGACTTATGCACAATTCATTTTCACCTTTGACAAACCAATCAAATTCCTGTTATTCTACGTCTGAACGCATTGATCCTTCTGGGATATGCGTGTCAGATTGTTTAGTTTAGACGTAGAATACCAGGAATTTGATTCGTTCATCGCTGGTGACATGGTTTTCTGCAGAAATCTACTCTAATGCATTACAGATTCTAATTAAAAAGTTACAGCTGGCAACATGACGTAAACGTTAGATTTAAAAAAAATTTTTTTTTTTATTGTTTAATGTCTACTATTCTGTAGGGTAATGAGGATCAGTGCAATTTAGGTTCTGCATTATAAAGATAATGGAAGAAATGATGTCGTTTCCTGAGATACACAAAAGAATATTATGTTACAATGGAGAGATCCTTACATTTGAAATATCACAAACCCTTAGAGCTTCACAGACTACAAAGACCTCTGCTTTACTCTTCTCAAGGAAGACATTTGACCCTGTATCTGGAACGTTTATTGAAAACTTTACTGGACAGCACCGCTTTCCTGCTAGTACTTCTGCCATTGAATTTGTATGTTGTGAGTGTGCTACAGACGTTAGAACTAGCATATCCATTCCTTGTGTTCTGCTGAAATTAAAAAGACAAAAACAGAAGAGAAGCTCATCTAAATTCACATTGCTTATGCTGCACAGCAATAATGACATGGAGAGTTGTTTGAACTTTAGGCTTGACATTGGAAGTGTAGACGATGCAAGACTGTGTGATGGGCCGACCGTGCTACTGAGGCATAATGAAACTCTTCATTATATATCTACATTAACTGCAGAACCTGTAATTGTTCCTGTAAATTTTATAGCTTTGCATTGGGTGGGTACGATTGAACCAGGAGAACTAGTGATCTTTGGCGTTAAAAACATAGACTTGGAAAATGCACCTAGCCCATCTATTGCAGGTGGAACACTAAAGGATACAAGCTATGTTTTGTATTCAATTGAAAATCAGAAAAGTATACCTGGTACCTGCTTTCTACCAGATGCATATAGTAGTGTTATATGTTGTCTACAAGTGTGCACATTGCAAGGCTCGGATGGAAAATTTGAGACATCAGTTATAGCAGCAAGTGGTAAACAACTGATCTTGTTCAGTAATGGTGTCCCAGAAGAGGTCTGCCAGCTTCCATTCGAAAATCCTTTCAAGCTTCAGGTAGCATCAACAAGCCGTGGAGATTTATTGTTCATTGTTTCATTCAGTTCTGGTGATGCCTGTGCAATATGGAAGGACAGCTTGAAGGTATTTGCTTGTAAAATATGTGTTTTTATTGTTTTCAGAGTTTAGCAGGATTAACTACTGTTCCCTTTCTGTTCTAATTGTAGTTATATTGTCTATGGCTCACATGTTACATTTTTATGAACCTATTTAGTCTCATGCTAAATAAACACAGATTTATGTATTTTTTCACTGCTTTTTGTCCCCCCTCTTTTGGTAACTTTTCACTTGAATGCTTAGGAAAACCAATGCTTAGTGGCTGTCCCTTAGTCATCAATCACCTGTTTTACCAATCAATCATTTCTATTTATCCGAATTACATATCAAAACGAACATACTCGGCCATTAAAAACCCCTTAAGGACACATGACGGAAATATTCCGTAATGATTCCCTTTTATTTCAGAAGTTGTGTCCTTAAGGGGTTAAGCGTTTCGGCTGGTTCTTGACTCGGCCGCTTTTCGGCTCGTAGTTCGGGGATTCGTACGATCACCTAATTGCCCCAAATTCAGACAAATTGCAGTTTGTATCAAAACAAATCTCCACATCTATTAATTACTAAATTGACAGTTCAAAGTGAATTTAAAATGTAAATACAAAATAGCTGAATTGGAACAATTCTCTAAGTCAGTTATACTTCAGGTTTGGCTACTTTGGCCAAAAATGTGAAATTCACTTTGATTCTCACTTTAGTGAATAACCCTGTTTGTGTCGTATAATACAGATCTCTTGAGGTCAATAACAAATCCAAAGGATTCCTGTATATGTTTCTCTGGCGTAAAAGGGCAGATTAATAGTTGAAGGAACACTATAGTGTCCGGAATACAAACATTTGTTCCTGACACTATAATGCTGAAGTGGCTGTTTAGGCTACTAGCCCCCTCTCTGTGCAGTAAATAGGTGATTTTACTCTTTTATCCCATGCCACGTCAGCCTCGGGTGGCTGACCCCACCTCCATTGATGAGATCAATCTTGATTATCTCATCCAAACCAATGTCTTCCCATAGGAAAGCATTGGGTGGGGCTATTGCGCATATGTGGCAAAACACCACGCTGGGCCAATCAGCATCTCCACATAGAGATACATTGAATCAAAGCACCTCTACGTGGAATGTTCAGCGTCTCCATGCAGAGTGCTGAAATGCTGAATGCTTCCTGGACTAGGAAGCACCTCTGCTGGCCGTCTGAGTGTCTGCCACTTGACGTGTTACTAGGCAGAAATGTAAACACCGTAAACCAGCAACCTTTTTGGGCTTTGGAAGTCTTAGTATTGTAACATTCAGTATACAATAGGAGAACCAAGTGAGTCTCTCATTGTAGTCAGTAAGACTGTACCTGCAGCTTAGACAATTAGTTTAACATTAAGGTAGTTAATAGCCTTTACTTGCTTTACCCATGGAAGTGCTCCCATAATCTGTCATACATTTGTAGCATAAAAGTTTGTATTATTCACTGTAAATTTTAATTTTCCACCACATTCATCATACAAAATACAGTCATGAGTTTGTTTTTGTTGAAAAAAAAAAGTGCCTTAAATGTAATAAGGAATTTCAATTATACAACTTGGAGCCAAATTTTTTACCTTTCTTAGATCAAATAGTTCTTTTTGTTTAATTTGTTTTGCATATGCCAATGTTATTCATGCATAATGTATGTAATAGACTAATATGGTTTTATATTTGCTGTGTCAAAGGTAGCTGTGACTTGGCAGCAAGTAAGGGATATTCTCGTGGATGATTTCCTAGGAGCCGGGTTTGATCAAATACTTTTGATATTTAAGGATGATCCAACTAAATCACCTGGTCCGGAAGACTTTAAAATAACAGATTGCTGTGAAATAAACTATCCAGTATGTATGAAACAATGTCACCTGGGCAGTCTCTGAATGGCTTCTTTGCATGGATTGTAACTGTCTCATCTAAAAGTGTTTGTCTGAGCACCTTCACAACTTTGTATAGTTATTCTAGTGCTGTTAGTTGTACACTGTCCCCTGGATAATGGATGACATTGCTTGAGTGAAAATTCCAGCTGATTTGCTCATCCAATCAATGTTATACTCGTGGGTTGAAATTCATATTGTTAATGTAATACTTACATGCTCTTCCTTGCTATATCCAGCAAACAAAGGCTTGGCTGCTGGAGCCTTGGGGACCCTCTGCTTAAAATGGCTTCACCAAGAACCAGGGGATGGCACCAATGAACTAGTAGCATCATAGCCACTACATGAGTATGTAATAGTTATGGTGCCTAGACTGCCCCTTTAACTTCATGTGCTTCATGCTTTCAACAAATTTAATTCTTAAAACATTTTTTCTTTTACTTTACAGCACAGCTAACAATATTTAACAATCAGTCTTTATCAAAGTATAATTACACATGAATTCACAACATACGTATAACATGTAACAACCATGATCAACCCACATCACATAAAGAACCCATCAGTTAGAAACGTGGCACCTGCAGCATTTACAGCATCCACAGCTTGCCTGTATCTTCCACACCCATAATGTATTTGTCAAAGCACCCATCTCTTATAGACATACAATTTCAAAATGCAGCACGTAGACCAAAGTATGTTGACTCTAAAGTGCTAAATATTGAGTCTCCTCTTTATCCTAGCTCAGATGATTTGCATGTTAATATATATATATATATATATATATATATATATATATATATATATATATATATATATATACACTAAATGGCACATTGAATTTGATTATTTTTAATGGGGGAAAAAAACAGAAAATGAGAGCAGCACCTGTTGAAAATTGTGTACTTGCTAAACATGCTTTTCTTTGTAAATCTATGGCCAATTACTCTCGATATTTTTTAGTTTTGCTTTTGACTTAATGTGTTTACTTGTTTGTCAATGTACTTATCTGAGGAAATGCGCAACAGCCACAACTCCATGCTTATTGTAATGATTATAGTACTAGGAAGCTGTCCTTGATATTCTCTTTTTAAATCGACTTAATTTCTTTTCTTCTCATATGCAGCGCTCTGACTCCTCACTCCTTTTCCTGGTGTCGTACACTCATACAACATGTTCCTTGCCTGGCTCAGAGCACAGTGCTTACTCAACAGTTCAAGCAATTGAAGGAGACCGATTTGCACGGCATCGAAAAGCTGAAGGTGTTCTCACAGTACAAGTGCTTGGACATCTGAAGTGGATATGATATCACCGGGAAGGAGAAGAGGAGTCTAGGTGCTGCAGGTGGAAAAGAATAAGAAAAACATTGAAGCTTTTATGTTAAGTTTTTAGGGACTGCTCATATCACAATAAGCCATATTGGTTGTGGTGCTTGGAATTTATCTCTTTAAGATTTTTCCTTTTGTATGTTATGTACTTTAAGTTTGTTTTGTTTGGGGGCTTTCTTTGCAATTAGGCTGACACAGATACCAGTAAAAAAGATGAATCAGCTGAAGATGGGTGTCAGGAGAACCAGTTTCTTACTGTTCAGGCATTGGAGGCAAGGTTACAGGTAAGATTTGTATTTATTAGATTTGAAACTGGAAGCGTACCATGGCATGTTGTGCGTGTAAAATATGTAAATGATTCACACACAAAAAATATATATATATATATTTATTAGAAAATGGCAGTAACTAATAACATTCATAGGTAACATTTTAATATTCCAGAATAAATCTTTGGTTCATAACGCAGATATTTGTGCTCCGAAATACACCTGTATGGCACAAAACAGGAATCCGTATGGATCTGAAATTACTCCATTTACACTGATCAGCCACAACATTAAAATCACTGAGATGTGAAGTAAATAACATGGTTATAACATGGTTATATCGTTACAATGACACCTGTCAATGGCTGGAATATATTAGGCAGCAAGTGAATAGTGTGTTCTTGAATTTCATATGTTGCTAACAGAAATAAATGGGCAAGTGAAAAGATCTGAGTGACTTTGACAAAAACCAAATAGTGATGGCTATACCACTGGGTCAGAGCATCTCTTAAATGGAAAGTCTTGTGGGTGTTCCTGTTATGCAGTGGTTAATACCTACCAAAAGTGGTGCAAGAAAGGACAACCAATGAACTGGCGTCAGGGTCATTGGTGCCCAAGGCTCATTGATGCCCATGGTAAACAAAGGCTAGCCCGTCTGGTCCCATCACACAGAAGAGCCACTGTAGCTCAAATTGCTGAAAAACTTAATGATGGAATCAGAGTGCCCATGATGACCTCTGCTCCTTCTTTTGCTCTGTAACCAACATTTTGTAATGTACACCATTTTTTCTGCTGTATCAATCTTTGCATCACTTTGTGTCACCTGACAGGTGTTTAGTTTCACTTTTCTATTTTCCGCCATTTAAAATTTGGTACCCCTTCCTGAAAAGGAGAAAGCCGATACATTTTACACCCTTTTTAGAAAGAAAAAAAATAAATAACAGATTAGAGACTAAACATAAGCAACCTGTTTCTAAACGTTTTGATAGGTCTCTTAAATGATTCTGTTTTACTGTTTTATTGTAATGTGTGCCTTGCCTGTGCAATGACTGAACTAGATTTTGATGTCATTTGCAAGATCTTTAATATACATTTAAAAAGAAAACAAAACATAAAAGGTTAGAACACGTTACAGGGGATTTTGAATGTTATTGATTGTTTAGTTGAGTGTATAGTTAGTTCAGTTTTTTTCGTACTCGTTTTGATAATGGTTTACTGACCTGGCGTTCTCCTTGATTGGACATCCTGCAATGTGTGACTCACATCCCTTTCTTGTCTGCAATTGTGCTAATTTAATTATGGGGAGTTTGTATAGATAACATTTTCTTCACATAAATTTGTCAGTGCTTTTGTCTGCTATGTACTATGTATCAAAAGTACAAAACATTTCTCATTTTACAAAATACAGCAAGATAAATCATTACTCTTTATTAGCGTTATTATACAAGTACAATAGCAGAAGGTAATCTGTATTTTTTTTTTTTTTTTGGGAAATATTGGGACACAATTAAGGCTTGTCCTTAAAACTCCCAAACATTTGGCAGGAATATAAACATTCCTGATGACTAACCTTTGGTAATCGTGGTATATTGCTCATGATAGCACTCTAGCCAGAAAAAGAGCTGATTGCTTTATACGAGATGTACTTCTCAGCAACTGGTGTGCCAACGGATTTGAATCAATGCTTTCTGGTGAGCACAGCAATCATGTGACCTGTTAACTTTTTTTTTTTTGTTTGACAGCTGTATCTTGCATTTTGCTTACAGGCTGGCTTGCTCTTTCTTCAAGAATTGCAGCATGATATACAAGTAAAAGATAGAGTCATCAAGACATCATGTGAGTCTCTTACAAACATGACTCAAGGCAAAGATGTCATTGTGCAATCTGCAGAAAAGGTAATATAAACAGTGATGTTTACTTTAGGGAACAGAGAATAAGAAAACCATCCGGGGGGGTAGGGGCTGATATTTTTTTGTTTGCTCCAAAAAAAACCCACAGATAATATTTAGTCAGGAATAAGTGTTGCCACTATTGTGATGATCAATCCAAAATAATCCTGCCTTCTTGTTGGTAATTACTTATTGTCCAGGTTTTCTTTAAATACTTGATCGAGTTTACTGATATTCCCAATGAAAACGGAATTGGGTTATCTTTGGGTTTTCATAATATTTGATTAATGGTTTTAAAAGTACTACCTAAGATTCTTACTTGGGATTTTTTTAAAATTATTATTATATGCATGATTTATTTATGACCGCACATCTTCTGGTCTGTGCAATGGACAGGCAGAGTATAAAAGTAATAAAATGAAAAAGAGAGCGCACAAAAAAAGATATAGAATTGTACTTATGAGAAATGGTACAGAGTACCTATAGATAATAGCTGCTAAACAAAAAAGAATTTCCCAAATTCAATGTGTAAATTTTTTTGAATTATGTTGTCAGTGCTTAGTGAATAATCCCCTTAGATATAATCAGGGGTGAATATACTTGCAAATGTATCTATGATAATTGAAAACAGCAATAACATACAGTATAGAATATAAAAGTATCAATACTGCTTATTGTGACAATAAGAATATAACAAAAATCTAAATTGTATCTCAGTCCAGTATATGTAATTTATAGCAGGGTCCAAAATGAAAGGAAGTCCACAGTATTGTTAGGGAACACAATCTTTAGCTTGAAATCCCTTAAAAAAGACAGAAAATAGATATAGTGTAATACTGTATTTAATGTCTTAAAACAAAAAGGGAATCCCCCTCCCCAACATAGGAACCCTTACAGGAAAAAAATGTGGTGTTTATTTCTAAGGACCACACTAAAAGCTTATCTGGCTGCAGTCTTTTCTCTCCTCTGCTCCAAGAGTGCCGTCCGGTTTGTAGCTGAGAGCAGCGTTCGCCTCGTGCACTGAGGCAGGCTGTGAGTTCGGTGAAATCCTCCTCTCCGCGATTGTGACTCCTGTTGGCATAGAAAACCAGAGAGCAGAGGGTCTGGTAGTTCTCATTAGATGCCTGTACAGCTTCTTGTATTCTTGATTTTAAACCGTCCCGCTGGTCCTCGGAGAAGTAAACGGCCACTTCCTCAAACTCAAATTGTTCCTGTCTGGAGACACACACTCCGTTCAGTGAGCACTCACACTCCGTTCAGTGAGAATACACCGTGCTCTCTGGTTTTCTATGCCAACCGGAGTCACAATCGCGGAGAGGAGGATTTCACCGAACTCACAGCCTGCCTCAGTGCACGAGGCGAACGCTGCTCTCAGCTACAAACCGGACGGCACTCTTGGAGCAGAGGAGAGAAAAGACTGCAGCCAGATAAGCTTTTAGTGTGGTCCTTAGAAATAACCACCACATTTTTTTCCTGTAACAATACTGTGGACTTCCTTTCATTTTGGACCCTGCTATAAATTACATATACTGGACTGAGATACAATTTAGATTTTTGTTATATTCTTATTGTCACAATCAGCAGTATTGATACTTTTATATTCTATACTGTATGTTATTGCTGTTTTCAATTATCATAGATACATTTGCAAGTATATTCACCCCTGATTATATCTAAGGGGATTATTCACTAAGCGCTGACAACATAATTTAAAAAAAAAAAAAAAGAGTATAAAAGTAGCTGATGGCTTTATAAGTTTTTTAAACAAACCTAAATTTAGCTTATAATCCAAGCATGACAAATAATGTAACTGCATGCCAAATAATATGATGTTGATGGTAGCTGGAAGCATCATGTAAAGATGATTATGGCTATTTGATTTAGCTATTAGGTCTGTTTATGTGTTTTTATATAGCATGTTAAAGAAAATACACATTTTTATGTAAGTAGAAATTATTTTCTATTTTGTTTGTTTCAGTCTTTGTACCGTGATTCAGATGATAAAAGTTCAGAAAGTCCCTTGCAAAGCAGAATTGGTTGTTCACCAGTGAATACGACAATGTTTTAATTAACAGTAGAAATAAATTAAATCTAAACTTAATCCCTTCACCGACTATCCAGAATAGTGCTCATCAAAGCTATACCTTCTCAGTGTAAAGCTCTGTTGTGATCTTGGCCTGCTTCTAGCACAGAATTGGTTCATACGGTTATGTCGTAACTGCTTCAGATTTTTTGTTTAAAAAAGGCATGCTAAAACTCACAATGTGTAAAAATGTCCTTAGTAATTAGGCTGCCTGGAGTCCCAGCGTCCTATTGTTAGTCAAACTCACGCGGTTTGTCTCTTTTTCAGAGATATAGCAAAAGCAGAAGTACCCTGAAGTTCTGCATTAAATACAGCTGCCTTGCTGCCACCACTTAAATGAGGGTAGATAAGACAGCTGCAGCTGATGATGGTTAGAGCCCCCAGACTGCATGGAGTAATCCAATGTAACCTGTTCATTACAGGGAATAATTACACATATTATGTCACTGTCTGTGCAGTACAGTATTTGAAAATACGATCTGTTTGTTGATATACATGACAAAAACAGGTTTTAAGACTTAAAACAGTATCTTGTTTACTATGCCTAATACTTGCAGTTATGGCTGTTTATGTGATGTTATCATTTGAAGTATTAATCATACATGTATCGTAATTAGCAATTGTAACATGTAGCTTTGGGGTTCCTGGTTTAAAGACTAGCGGCAATGTTACAAAGTTTTAAATGAGCCATATGTATTAGCCTGATTTCTTTCAGGTAACATATAACAGATATATACTAGTTTACAGGTTATCCATTTTTCTGTATTTTTTTTTCTCCTTTGTTCTTTTTCAGGAGGGTCTGACTTCTCTTTGGGATGACTCTGACAACTGCCCAGACTCTCCATCTTCCGATCCATGCACCTCGCTAGCGATTCCCGACTGTTTTGTTGAGAAAGTCTGGTACCGTGTGATTGACGACCTCTTGGTTGTTGGTGTGAAGCTGAGTAATTCTGTATATTCGTGAGTAAGCAATATACAAATAATAATCTTTAAATTTACACAGATATTACTTAAAATAAAATGTGTCTTGCATGACTTCATGACAAATACCTGGGCAGCTTTACTTTATATTCTGTATTAGGAAATTGGCTTCAATAGTTAGATATGATAATATTGTAGTACAATTTGGCTATTTGTTTATTGACCAAAGCATCACAATTCTGCCAGGTACATTCACTGTCTAGTTTAATAATAATTAGTGCTAGAAGTGCTGAAGGAGACTAATGCTTAGAAGAAATAATCTGTATAGGGTGCTAAATGGTATAATGCTTATACCCAATTAGGGGTACATATGCTGACCATTGCTATCACACAAACATTTTTATTAGTACAAACTTGCTGAAGATGTACTTATACAGTGAATCACATAAATATTAAAACTTCAATACAGTGTTTCTCATAAATATCATGCCACTTCAGAGTGTCTACAATATATAAATATATAGGCAAATGAGATATATATACCCTCATGTGTTACCTTTAGTATAATGGCAGAGAGTGGAGACCACACCTCCAACGCTTCAGCCTGATGCTTTTCTCATACATGCCAATTTGTTTAGTATTAGTGGGAGTTACTCCCGTGCAGCAGTTGCTGCCTTCTTAAATCTGCTTTTCTGCAGAAGAAAATGTGATGAAGAATGAAGTATGCATGCATCTGTGTCTTTCAGTGTACAGTACATTATGCATCTTACCCTTGGAAACAAATGATTATGGTTTATGGAATTACTTTGCTGCTTTCGCAAAGCTTTATGTATGCCTTTTAGCTTGTAGTAAGTCTGTTAATATAATTAGTGTATCAATTTCTTAGTTTGGAATGTTCTTAAGTTGTGCAGTTATATGTATCCAGGAAACTTAGTTTGTTTACGACCTTTTTGATTAACAATACAGTGAGTAACCTGCGTATTGTTATTGGATATACTGTTGGCAATAGTGTTTCTCTCATCTCTTTTAAGAATTAAAAGTGAAGCTACTAATAATTTTAGGGGTGCAACGAAATGAAAATTCTGGGCCGAAACCTAAAATTCAGGGTGCCCTTGGCCGAAAACCGAAACTGAAAATGACTTTTTTTTTTTTTTTCCCAAAATGATTTTTAAAAAGTTTTTTTTTTTTCCATAGAATTTTTTTAATGTTAGACTTTTTAATGAATTTAATTAATCTAATATGAAAAACTTCCCTTCTCTTTTAGTGGTCCCCCTGCTTAATTTTCCTCTCTCCCCCCTCTAGTGTTCCTCTCCCCTCTGTCTTTTTTAGTGTTCTTTCCCCCCTCCTCTCCAGTTCCATAGTGTTCTTTTCTCCCCTCCCCTGTCCCAGTGTTTTCCCCCCATCCCATAGTGTTCTTCCGCCCCCTCCTGTCCCATAGTGTTCTTCCCCCACCTCTCCTGTCCCACAGTGTTCTCCCCCCTCTTTCCTGTCCATGGTTCTTCCCCCCTCTCCTGTCCGTGGTGTTCTCCCCCTTCCCTGTCCGTGGTGTTCTCCCCCCTTCCTTGTCCGTGGTGTTCTCCCCTTCCTGTCCGTGGTGTTCTCCCCTTCCTGTCCCATGGTGTTCTCCCCCTTCCCTGTCCGTGGTGGTTTCTCCCCCCCCCTTCCTGTCCCGGTAGTGTTTCTCCCCCTTTCCCTGTCCGTCAGTGTTCTCTCCCCCCCTTCCCTGTCCATTTCAGTGTTCTCCCCTTTACCTGTCCGTGGTGTTCTCCCCCTTCCTGTCCCGTGGTGTTTCTCCCCCCCCTTCCCTGTCAGTGAGTGTTCTCCCCCTTCCCTTTTCCGTGGTGTACTCCCCCCTTCCCTTTCCGTGAGTGTTCTCCCCTTCTCTGTCAGTAGTGTTCTTCCCATGTCCTATGGTATTTTCCCCCCCTCCCTGTCCTATGGTATTCTCCCCTGTCCTATAGTATTCTTTCAGCCCCTGCCCCATATTATTTCCCCCTCCCCTGCCAATTATTGTTCTTTCCCCCCTAAACTGTCCCATATTGTTCGTTCCCCCCTAAACTGTCCCATAGTGTTTTTTCCCCCTCTGTCCCAAAAAAATTATTTTAAAAAAAATTAAATATATATATATTTTATTATTCTTTATTTATTTTAAATTTTGTCAAATTTGACCAGTTTTCGTCCGAAACGGGATAGGCCCATTTTCGGCCGAAATTTCGGTGCACCCCTAAATAATATTACTATTGCTTTTATCACTTGCTAAAATAACTTCTATAGTTATCATACTTTATCTTTTCTTTATTTGTTTTGCATGATATATTGTACTAAGCTCATGCAAGTACATGTATATCCTTACATGGAGTCTGACAGAACAGAGTAAATGCATCATCAAAAGCTATCTTCTAACCTGGTGATAGAACAGACTCTTAACTGGGGCCTGAGTGGCCTGGCTTGTTAATCAATAACCTTGTTAACAATCTGCCAATGTTTAGCTGGTTATTTAATCCTAGGGCTCCTTTGAGCACCGTGACCACTATAGCTTATTGTAATGGTCATAGGTGATATCCCTTGTTCTTTTTTTGTCCAACCAATTTGCAGCAGTCTCACAAAACCTGAGCTAGCCCGCTTACTCTTTTTTTTTTTTTTTTGTAAATATGATTTTTTTATGTTTTGCAGATTAAGGAAATAGGTAACAGTGATACTCGCAGGTATCTATTGGCATATGAAATACAGTAACAAATGCACAACATGTGCGAATATCAATCATAGAAAATGCGAACATGTGTTTTAGATAAGCGAATCATATTAAACTCAGATTGTGGATGGACTCGCAGGTCCCTTGTCATATTAGTTACGGCTTGTACAACATGAGTGATAATTGTTATTAGGCATTGTGAAGATTGATTTGAAATAATGTGGTCAATTAGCTTTTGGGCTTGCAGGTCCCGGGTGTTGTTATTTGGCTTTGACAAGTTTTATTACAGTTGGGATGCAGAAGAGAAGAGAAAGGGTCGGCGAGGGTTGGGTGAAAGTTGCGTGTATATTAGCTTGGTTTGCTTTTTGAACATACATATAGGATCACATTTGTGTGTGTTAACTTTTTGCCTAAGAGTTATACATTGGGTACTCATGCAGTTGTAGTTAGCATGGTGGGTCGGTAGAGAGTTATGGGGACTATCTGTGGTGTCCACAGAGGGGAGTGGTGAGTGTACTTTGCTTCTGTCCTTCCTTCCCTCCCTTTTCTGTGATCTATGTATGTGTAGAGTCCCGTTTGGTCCGTGTTCCTATCCATTCTCTTGTGTTATATTTGTTGTGTTACCCTCTTTGTCATGTATTAGGTTTGGTCGTGTCGTATAGCCTTAATGTATCCGCGTTTTCTTGTGTGACTTCTTGCTTTCTATTGGTTATCTAAAGTGGTCTATTGCGGGGGCTAGTCCCTCATAGGGGTGTAGCTCTTTCTGGCTTCTCTGTTTTCCGCTTGGGCACGCGTAATGAGTGTTTCTGGAACAGTCCGTGTCGCTTTTTCGTCTTGTGACCCTTTTGTCCCTAGTCCATCTCTGTTCCTCTCGGCTTCTATTGCCTCGGGTATCTTTTTTTATAGGGGGGTGATGTGTGGGGTTCCCTTAGAGTGGATGAGCGAGAAGGGAGAGGGGAGGGAAACGGAGGGGGGGGGTGTATGGTTTAAGGTGGACACTGGGATGCGCGGGGGCCCCCAGGTATCGCGGGTCACGGTGTGATTTTGCTAGGTTCTGGTTTGTGCTTGGTATGTGTACCACGGTCTCCAGAGCTCGACATGCTTAGTGCTAACCCGCTTACTCTTAACCACATTGATAATGCAGAAGTAGAGTTCTCCATTGTCGCAGGTTATTTTTTGAGACCCATTTGTATATGTTTGCATTCGATAATGTGGAAGTAAATATTCAGTATTAATATTTTTGACAGAGGAGAGGACGGCTATGGGTGCAGGAGAGAGCTGCTGACCATGGACTTATGGCAAAATAATCACTACAATGAACTTTAGTTGTTGTGGTGGTTTAAATACTCTGCTTACCCTTCTTCAGTTCATTGAATATGCCCCCTAAGCAGCATGACACTTACTCAAGCCTTATTTAAGTTCTTCCTTTTTTGTGTTTTAATACAAAGCATACATTTCAACTCTTTATATTGTATGCAACTGTAAATGATCTCTTCCTCTTGCCTATGGGAATAATGAACACGTGATTATCTCTTAAATTATATTAAAATTGTTGTGCACGTACTTGTGTATGACCATGTATATATAAATCTGTCTCGATTTCGTATATTTTAAGAGACCTAGACGCTTTTATGCATTTATACCGTACTGAAAATGTAGGCTTGTTTACAGCACAGTAATGTTGTTTTTCTTTAGGTCACTGAGCAATGTAGGCTTATCACTTATAATGGATCAAGAAATAGCTTCAATCTCCCCAGTTACAAAGTGTCAAACCAATGTGCTAAAATTGCCCATCAACGCTTCTCAGGTTTTCGCCAACCAGAAAGAACCTTTGGCAAAAAAACAAAGACTCGACGACTTCATTAAGGACAGTCTTCCAGGGGATTTCTTAAGAAGACCATGTTCTCCGTCCTATCAAAATGATTTGGAGCGCACAGTAACTGCTGTCACCGAGCTGTCTCCACTGTTGCCACTTAATAACACTAGTTGTGTGTTGCTTCTACATGCCAGAAGGAAAAATCAACCTGACTGTTTACTAAGAAGTGAGAAGCTGATTGTACCATGTGGTAAAATCTCTCTAAGCCTGGAAGATATTTTAAAAGGGAACTATACAGTAAATTTATTTGAACACTGTCAAGGTAAATTCACAAGATTCAGTAGGGTACATCTCTAAATTATTCAATGCAGATGAAATAAAAAAAGGAATAGAGTTTAAAAGTTAAGGACTGCCAAACAAAACTTTCTTACATAAACGTATTCATTGTACTATGATGTAATTCCATTCATTATTAGGGCACTGAATCTTAGATTTTGCACAAAACCTCTATTTGAATAAGGGAGAACATTATCAAATAGAATCAGAAATCTGTCATTTAAGAAAAAGCAGACCTAGTGCAATAATAAGCAAAAGTGTTCTCTGAAATTATGTCCCTGTTCCCATTTCATGCTGTGTCTGTGATTTCCCTGTGCTGTACCTGGCTATCCGTGTCAGTGTTGCATGCTGTCACACACACACAAAAAGATTATTCTATTCGTTTTTGCCCTTTTACAATGGTGGCAGTCTCCTGCATCAATAGACTTAGACAGCTGTATAATACCTTGCTTACATGTGTTGGCTTAGACACAGTCCAACACGTATACCAACACTAGTGGATTGACTCAAATAGCCAACAGTAATGGACAGCATTAGGAAAGCGTTTAGATTATTATTTTTTGGGGTGGAGGGGGGACTCTGTTCTAAATTAATCAATAAAAATTGCAGTATGCAAATCCCAGTTTAATGGAAAAATTACATTCGGTGTTGAACTTGAGTCTATGCAGAGTCCTCTTCAACACTTGACTTACTCTAAATCTGTTGACCCTTTGTAAGAAGGCAAAGCAGAGGCGGCTCTCTAATTAGGCGATTTAGGCGGCCGCCTAAGGTATCGCGGCCGCCTAAATCGCCTGAGGGCAGACTTGACATATCGGGTCCTTTAGGTGTGTGTGCAGCATACCGCGGTCGTGGGGTCGCAACCCTGCGACCAGGTGCCCGCCGCCATGTGTTGCGGCCCCGACCTGCCCCGAGTAAGCGCCGGGGGGGGGGGGGCACGGATCAATTTTTGCACCGGGGCCCCATGGGTCATGTGTACGCCACTACTTCGGGGGCCTCATGTATGAGTTTCGCTTAAGGCCTTGCCAAGTCTAGAGCCGCCACTGAGGCAAAGGCAAACCCTTCTAAAACATTTTGATTCCTTACAGTTGGGGGAGACCAGGTCACTCCTGCCACCATAACCACTGCAGTGCACTGTATGTTATGGCTAAATTCCTTTAAGTAATTTCTGGGAGTTCCTTTGAAACTCGTTTTTTCTGGGCTTTCTCTTGAATATTGCAATGGCTAATTGGTTCTACAATTTCCTAAAAGTATTTTCCTTTACTGAATGTAATAATGTCATACTTTTGATACCTCTTTATGTAGGTATATTCCCTTTTGTAATGTATATATTTTATAATCTCCATATACTAAAACCTGTTTTTATTGTAGAGATATCAGGCAGGTATGCGACTGTCATTAGTTATCCACATACCCACTAAAAATCAGTTTTAATAATCATGTTGCCTCAGTGTTTTTGGACAGACTGTGTGGGAACAGTGTGACACAAATTGGGGCTCTACCACAGACTGCCTGCTCCCCATTGATATGGCTATGGTAGAAGGGGCAGTCTATAGTGTTAATAATTAAAGTAAATAAATATATGTGTGTGTGTGTGTGTATATTTATTTACCATAGCGTGATACATAATGCAGCTATATCTTTTTGCTAGAGAATTTTATATATATATATATATATATATATATATATTTATATTTTTGTATTTTATTTTCCCCAGCAGTACTTTATATGGGTTAATAACTGTCTCATTTCTTTGCTGCATAAGTTTTTAAAAAAAATGTGGTTTTGGTCATTTTCAGTACTGCTCTCTGGTTCTAAATGGTGAACCAATACTCTGCATGAATGAGGGCATAAAGTGAAAAAAAAAAAGACCTTGCTACAAAAACTAGAAAATAAAACATTTGTAATTGTTTCTGTTCCCTGACTAAGCAGAAAATGCTGCAAGCATTTTTATAGTAAAAGGAAATAGTTGAGTAATGTTGGGGGGGACACACACACACATAATTACATGATTTTGCTATTTCATGACGAAAAGTCATTATTTTATGAAAGAAAAGGAGGCGAGTATTGCTTAACCCTTTCTTTACTGTCCACCAATAGCACCAAAAACACAAATAAAATAAAAAATAGAACATATACAGTGAGACACCAGCCAATTCCCATCCAAGTCCCAGTATAACAGCAGTCACTGCCTCTAAAGCTTCCTCTTTCTTTGGAGATGCGACACATCACAAGGAGAGACATAAAACAGGAACCAACAGAAAATCCCAACATCCGGAAAACACGGTAACAAAATCCAGTGAATGCTAGTCCATGGAACTTCTCAACCAGTAACAAACTTCAAGACGGTAACGGAATCCAGCCATCTTAAGCTAAACACACCGGGAAGAAGTGAGGACCACCGAACAACAGCGAATCAAGCTGTGAAAACACAAAGAACAGGAGCCCTACGGTTAAATCGGTACTAAAACCAAATTGCAAATGCCAATAAACATGAATCCCACAAATAGCTGGTCGTTATTACAAACCGTTCAAACCCACCATACAAAAACATGAAAAAAATCGAACCGGGACATACGTGAACATAAAACTAAATAAATACAGTGCATACAACATAATACCTACTGCACCCTGGAATCCCTATATGAAAGAAAAAGTCATCAGAGAGGGATAAAACAAGTTAACCCCTTCAGGACTGAGGACGGTTCAGGACTGTCATCAGCATTTTAGCGTTGCCGACCGCTGACGGTCTTGAACCGTCCTAACGGTGTAATGTACTTACCCGATCGCAGTCGTTCCCCTGGCGGCAATCGGCGGTGCTCCCGGTGTGGGGAGACTGCCTGCAGCCCAGACAGTCTCCCCATGGCGGATTAGGACCCCTGTGGCTATGTGATCGATCAACAGAGCGATCACATGGTCACAATAGGTGTCCATGTGTCTGCCTGCATGGGGACTGCCTGTGCTGACAGGCAGTCTCCCTGCTAGTGTAAAATAAAACTGTTAATGTTAATAAATAAAAAAAATTATATATGTGTGTATATATACCTCCAAAAATGTGTGTGTGTGTGTGTGTGTGTTTGTATGTATGTATATATATATATATATACCTCCAGAACTGCTGAACGCTGTTGGAGAAAGTCTCACTGTGCATCTGTCTTTCTCCACTATAAATTTATGCTGAGCTCATACAGCTTGGCTCTTTCCTCTGCAAAAGTTAATTACTTCAATACCCTCATAACCACGCTCTCCCGCGAACCCAAACGACTATTTCACACATTTAACCCTCTTCTTCGCCCTGCTGTTCCTCCTCCACCTACTAACTTGACCACCTCAGACTTTGCAACTCACTTCACTGACAAGATCTCTACAATCAGAGAAGAGATATCTCATCTTTCTTCTTCCCTTTATAATTCTTCCCCTAACTTCACTTCCTCTGCTGTTCTATGTTCATTCGCACCCGCTACATTGGAAGAAGTTTCTGCTCTGCTCCAGTCCTACCGCCCCACCACCTGCTCCCTAGATCCAATTCCATCGCATCTCATCCATACACTGTCTCTTTCTCCACCTCTCGCTAAAATTCTCAATCTCTCTCTCTCTCCTCTGGTATATTTCCATTGTCCTTCAAACATGCAACTGTAACCCCAATTCTAAAGAAGCCCAATCTTGACCCTAACTCCCCATCCAACTATCGTCCTATCTCGCTACTGCCTTTTGCATCCAAGATCCTTGAAAAAATTGTGTATGCGAGATTGACAGACTTCCTCGAGTCCAACTCTCTGCTAGACCCGCTTCAGTCTGGTTTCCGCGCTAAGCACTCTGGAAACGGCACTGACCAAAGTATCCAATGATCTACTCGCTGTAAAATCTTGTGGTCACTACTCTATCCTAATTCTCCTTGACCTGTCTGCGGCTTTTGACACTGTTGATCATCAACAGCTTCTTCTCATCCTCCTCAATATCAGTCTACAAGATACTGCTCTCTCCTGTTGCTCCTCCTACCTCTCCCAGCGCTCTTTCAGTGTTTCTTTCTCTGGCTCTGCTTCTTCTCACCAACTCCTCTCTGTTGGTGTCCCCCAAGGTTCAGTCCTTGGTCCCCTACTGTTCTCCATCTATGCCTCCCTTGGTAAACTCATTAGCTCCTTTGGCTTCCAATATAATTTTTATGCAGATGACACCCAAATCTACCTGTCCTCTCCTGATCTCTCCCCGTCCCTCTTGACTAGTGTCTTTGACTGCCTCACTGCTGTTTCTAACTGGATGGCTGCCCACTTCTTTAAACTAAATTTGACCAAAACTGAAATTCTGGTCTTTCCTCCCTCAAGTGTTGTTACTCCTGTGTCTGTCTCCCTCCAAGTCAACGGTGCTACCATCAGCTCCACCACACAGGCTCGCTGCCTAGGTGTTCTCTTTGACTCCGACCTCTCCTTCAAGCCTCATGTTCAATCTATCGCCAAATCCTGTCATTTCCATCTAAAAACATTGCGCGCATCCGCCCCTACTTAACGCCAGATGCGACTAAGGTCCATTCCACTGTCCTTTCTCGCCTTGACTACTGTAATCCGCTTCTCAGTGGTCTTACGTGCTCCCAACTAGCGCCGTTACAGTCCATAATGAATGCGGCGGCAAGGCTCATCTTCCTGTCCGCACGCACCTCCCATGCCTCACCCTTCTGTCAATCCCTACATTGGCTTCCTATAAAATATAGAGCTCAATTTAAAATTCTGGTTCTTGCTTTCAAATCTCTACATAATGCTGCTCCCACCTATCTATCCTCCCTTATACACAAGTATGTCCCGTCTAGGCCCTTACGATCTGCTGAAGACTTACGTCTATCTTCTGTCCGTACTCCCACCTCTGATGCTCGCCTTCAAGATTTCTCGAGGGCTGCACCGTTCCTGTGGAACTCACTTCCCTCCTCCGTTAGATGCTCACCCAGTCTCCACTCCTTCAAAAAAATCATTAAAAATCCACTTCTTCATAAAAGCGTATCAATTAAACTGTTAATAGCTCCGGACTGATTCCTCTTCTGCAACTGTCACTAGTCTAATACTATCCTTTCCTTTTTGTGTCATTTTACCCCACTCCTTCTAGCATGTAAGCTCATTGAGCAGAGCCCTCAACCCCTCTGTTCCTGTGTGTCCAACTTGTCTGGTAACAACTAGATGTCTGTTCGTCCACCCATTGTAAAGCTCTGCGGAATTTGACGGTGCTCTATAAATATCATAATAATAATATATATATATATATATATATATATATATATATATATTTGATATGTAGACATATATTATACCTATATAATATATGTCTATATATCATATATATCATACTAAGTATATTTTTATATTAATTTGTACATATATTAATATAAAAATACTTATAATTCGTTATATAATAACTATATATAGTGTGTGTGTGTGTGTGTGTGTATATATATATATATATATATGTAATTATAAAATACAAATAAGTAATTTAAATTACATAAAAACATGTAAAAATAATAAAAATTTTTTTTAAAATCTATAAAATTTTATTCTAACTGTATTTTGATATTAATATATATTTATATCAAAATACACTTAGAATGAAATTGTATATATAAATAAAAATTACGAAATATACATATGTCCATATACAAAATTACATAATTATATAAATATACACGTAGACTTCAAATATATAAATATGCATGTATATTTAAATTCTACATGTGTGTTTATGTCAAATTTTTACATAATTGTCATTTTATTGATTGCAATTTGAGGGACCTGCCTGCCAACCCAGGATGAAAGTCCAGATAATTTAATTTGCTAGCATTTTACTGATGATATAATTGTTGTGATACATTTTCCTGTTTCGAAACACTAATATTTCAGCAAAGTCTCCCGAGTATAACAGTACCCCCCCATGTACAGGTTTTATAGTGTTTTTGAAAGTTACAGGGTCAAATATATGGGTCAAATATTTTTACATAGAAAATGGCCAGGTTGGTTACGTTGGCTTTGAGAGCGTATGGTAGCCCAGGAATGAGAATTTCCCCCATGATGGCATACCATTTGCAAAAGATGATGACCCAAGGTATTGCAAATGGGGTATGTCCAGTCTTTTTTTAGTAGCCACTTAGTCACGAACACTGGCCAAAATTGGCGTTCAATTTAGATTTTTACTTTTTTCACACACAAATATGAATCCTAAATTTTGCCAGTGTTTGCGACTAAGTGGCTACTAAAAAGGACTGGACGTACCCCATATTGAATACCCTGGGTTGTCTACTTTAAAAAAAATATGTACATGTGTTATTCAGAGATTTATGACAGAAAATAGTGTTACAATGTCACTATTGATAAATTTTAAAAATGTATGTTTTGAAACGAAACCGCAATATCCTACTTGTACCTATAGCCCTATAACTTGCAAAAAAGCATGTAAACACTGGATATTTTTAAACTCAGGACAACATTTTTAATCTATTTAACAGTTTTTTTTCATTCGCTTTTGTTGATGAGTAAAAGATTTTTCAAGTAAAAGTAAGTCTTTTTTTTTTCAATTTTTCATCATATTTTTTTATTTTTTTTTTCAATTAAATTACATGAGATTATATAAATAATGGTATGTAAAGAAAGCCCTTTTTGTCCTGATAAAAACAATATATAATTTGTATAGAAACAGTAAATGAGAGAGCAGAAAATTACAGCTAAACATAAACACCACAAAAGTGTAAAAAGAGGCCTGGTCGCAAATGTACAACATCGCAAAAACAGTCCAGTTACTAAGTGGTTAAACAAACTCAGGGTGGGACAATACTCACCTCCATGTCGTTCATAAAATCATAACTTTTCGTCATGAAATGGCAAAATCATGTAAGTTTATGTGAAGACACGGAGGCTCATATTGCAAGTCTAAAGCTCACCAACAACCGCTGAAAAAAACGTAAGGGACCAGCCAAAAATAAAATTCGCGAAACGTGGATTCATGAGACCAGTCCGCCATCCTCATCAAGTCTTCCAGACGCGCACCCAAAGCCACCATGGACGTGGCTGATGCACTCCGGGAAGAGTGGCGCCAAAAACGTACGTGTCCACACCAGCCTGTACCATCAACCACTTCACCCAGCAAGCCAAGGTAGTACTTAAAACAGGAGAAAACAGTTGGCGAATGGAGAAAAATACTTGCGGAGACTATACACATAACGATGCGCAGTGGTCCGAAGCTCATATTCGCGTAAACAAGCAATAGAACACAACGCCAGAGAAGCAGGAAAGGCCGGATAAGATACCGACCAAATAGCAGTCTTAGTATGTCTGGAGATGTTAAAGGTCACCCCGTCCGGAGTGAAGGACCGTGCATCGTAGTCCAGGGTACGGAGCTCCGAAATCCGCTTGCACGAAATGAGGCAAAAGAGGGAGACCAACTTGACTGACAATTGTTAGGTCCGTGTTAGGAGGCCAGAAACTGAAAAGAGACAACACACAGGAGACATCCCAAGTGGAGGAGTAACGAGGCCTAGGAGGGCGCCACAGTTGGGATCCCAAAGCAATCGGCACACTAAGTGGTGTTGGCCCACGGGACAACATTCAAAAATGCCATGAGCCGAAGAAATGGCCGTCTTGTACAAATTACTTGTGCGATACGCATGGCCAAATTTAGACAAAAGGCCCAAGTCTGTTGCAAAACAGCCGAACAGAAGGCGCAAAAAACGGGCGCAAAACAACCAGGAAGATAGAGAAAACAAGGAACAATAAGAAAAATTAAAGGAGCCAAAGGAAGACAAACCCCAAGAGCCTCCCCATTCCCCCCAAAGGACAGGAGCAACAAGGCAAAGCCAAAAGAGAGGAGAGAAGCACATGCAAGAAAACCCCAGAGGAGGGTCTGGAACCCTGGGCTCAAGGTAAATAACATTAACCAAAAACCATATAAAGTAGAATAATAAAGTAGAATAACAAAATAGAATCAACTATGAAAATAACCAAAGCATATAAAAGGCAATTAAAGACAGATAATGCTAAGAGTAAAAATTCTGGTACTTATCTTGAATGTGGAGCTGTAAAGAAAGAGGAAGCTTTAGAGGCGGTGCTTGCTGTTATACTGGGACTTGGAAGGAGATGGTTGGTGTCTCACTGTATATGTTCAGCTTTTTTCTATTTGTGTTCTTTGCTGCCACAGTAAAGAAAGCGTTAAGCAATATGAGCCTCCGTGTCTTGACATAAAATACTGTGAAAGTTCCATTATTGTTATAATTCTCCTTTTTTTAATTTTTGTTTTTCTCCTGATGTCTTCTAGTCGGTTGCAGCCTGGAAGATGTTTTTGCAGTTTTATCCGCATTTCAGAAATGTTCGTTTCATCTCTTATCTCCTGACTACACATTGAAATCAGTACAAATCTGGCTAATTGGACAGATGCAAGGGGAACCAGTAGAGCACATCCCTGATATCATATGCAGCCGTAAACCGGGAAACAATCAGGGCACGCTCTTCATATGGAATTCTAAGAATCCATTTGAGGGAACACTTACTGTGTTTTACAGGTAAAACACGTGCCTTTTTTTTTTTTTTTTTTTTGCTAGTAGTAGTATTGTTTTAGTTATACCTCCACAAAACAGTGTGATTTTTATCATTAAAATTGCTTAAGTAGTCCACTTTCATGTGACTGATGAAAAGCAGAAAATGCTTATTGTCAACAAATCCTTTATCTAGGGAGTTCCTGTCCACCTAACGCAAAGCTAATATTTCAGCAAGTTGTCCCACAATACCAAATTCTTAAAGAAAAGCTTTAAAGCCATTCTACTAGAATCCTATGTAAGCCAAAGGTGGGATTTCTTAACATTCATTCCGCTAGTAACAAATATTTCCAAACAGGTACTTCTGATATTAACCATATTTTATTAATAAACACCATTAACTTGGCACTGAAGTTAGCAGAGATTCATGTGCATTAGGTTGAGAAGAAGTCTAGTACATGCACTGTTCAGCCACAACATTAAAACCACTGACTGGGGAACTGAATAATATTGATTATATTGTTACGATGGCACCTATCAAAGTGTGGGATGTATTAGGCAGCAAGTGAACAATCTAGTTCATGTGTTGGAAGCAGGAAAAATGGGAAAGTTAAAAATCTGAGTGACTTTGACAAGGGCCAAATAGTGATAGGATCTTCAAAATGGCAAGTCTTGTGGTGTGTTCCCGACCAACAGTGGTGCACGGAAGGACAACTGGTGAACTGGCATCAAGGTTATGCACTAGTGTAGCTCACATTGCTGAAAAACCTAATGCTGACCATAATGTCAGAACACACAGTGCATTGTGTGCTGCGTATGAGGCTGCATTGACACAGATCAGGTTGCGCGGTCTGATGAATCACGTTTCCTATTGGACCAGGTGGATGGCTGGGTACTTGTGCGTTGATGGCAACAGGATGCACTATAGGAAGAAGGCAGGCTGGCGGAGGACGTGTTATGCTCTGGGCAAGGTTCAGCTTGGAAATCTTGTGTCCTGGCATTCATGAGCATGTTACTTTGACAAATCCAATACATGGAGGCTCCACCTCACAATTGCTAATGTCTTGCTTCCAGATACGATAGACGTTCAGAGGTTTTGGGGAGTCCATGCCTTAACACATCAGAGCTGTTTTAGACGAAGATTTACACAATATTAGGCAGGTGGTTTTAATGTTGTGGCTGATCAGTGTATAGTCTTCCATCTTTACCTTTGTCAAATATACACAGATTCTAAATAAGGTGTAAAGAAAGACAGGCAGCAAAACCTAGAAGTATGAGGTTCCCTCACAGACCATCAAAAAAGAAGTAGTAGTACAATAAAACAGTTGTGCAAACAAACAACTGATTTATTGTACTTCTACATAAGGTGTGACTTAAACTTTAACATTCTGCACATGTTTCATCAGAGTTAGGAACATAAGTTGTGCTGCATTGCCAAGCTCCATATCAAGACTCCTGCATGTGCGTTTTTGGTGAGTGCTTCCACTGATGTGGTTATTAGCCCTCGACATAGTCAGAGCCTAGTGTTATGTAGCCTAAAATCTGCTCCAACATAACACTTATTTCCCTTTTCTAAAAAAGTTTCAGGCTCTGTTATAGCAGATTTTGCAGATGTTATACTCTATCTTCCGTCTCTAATAAACCATACAGGATAGAGAGATGTCTGACACTGCATTCTAGGCAATGAAAAGACAGGTTTACATATACCAAAGGCTTGTATAGTAAATTTTCATCAGTGAAGTTGACATATTTTTTTTCAGTGGGGCTTTTCAATCCTTGTATCATCATTATCTTATATTACCACTAGGTGGAGAAGTGATATATAGATATTAGGCTACTCCTCTCCAGTTTAATAATCATAACATGTACTGATGTGAATCTAAAAGGATTGATCACGTTTGATGAGAAATGCTTGAAGTAACTGTAATTGTCTTCAAAGACATACAATATAGAAACATATTGCTAAACCTTTAATTGCAAAGTTAATAAATTGATTGTGCCTCACCTATGCATGTTGTATTTTTGTATTTAATTTATTTTTATTGATATTGCTATGTAGAGACAGGTACCTAAAGGGACACAATTCTATATTACCATTCTGATTTCTGTCCAACCTGGATGGCAGTGATAGGATAAAAGCAATGAGGGGCAGTACATGGTTTTTATAAATGTACATTTGAGAGAAATGTGTTTGCTTTGAAGCCTCAGTTTTAATTTATTTTTAAAGCTTTAGTCAAAACTTTTTATCAATATAGTGTTTATCTCTTTCTCTATCTAAAATATTTATTTTATAAATTTAGGCCTGGCTGACATAGGACTTAATTTGTAAGTCCTGTATATATCCAGGTATCTATATATACATTTTTAAAAGGTTTGCTTATTAGCTGTACTTTTATTTATTTTTTTATTTATTTTTTTAGGAATGATTCAACATTATTGCAGTGTCTTCACAGCCTCAGACGCGTTCTTCCTCCAACTTGTGCAATAAACACTACAGTTCTTGGGGGCAAAGATTGTCTAACTGAGAGCTTGGCACAATCTCTTGAAGAAGAGTTACTTGCCCTTAGGAGCTCCGTCTCCTCTGCAGAAAGTAAAGTTGAAAAAGAATTGAGCCAGAGGTGTAAAATGAAGAAAAATAATGGTACAACAGATTCTTCTTCTGACACAAAGGAGCGAGTACAAAAGTACAGAGAGGAGCTCCAGATTGAGCAGATGCAAAGTGACCTGGATACTCCCCTAGCTGCAGATGGGGATCTATACAGTAAAAGCATGCTGAATGCAGTGCAACTTCAAATGAATTCCGACAGCCTTGCATGTAGGCTTGCTAACTTGTAATTTTGAATATTGAATAAATTACACATTAAAGTGGAAACTATTTTTGCCACCTATACCGTTTTGTATAGGTATAAAAACTATAACTATTTTTGCCACCTATACTAATAGTATAGTTAATATGGTATTTCAAGTAAAAAAATAAAAATCTTACTGGCCTACTAAATTGAATTTACACGCATATTACAGTCTATGGATATGTTTAAAAATTTTATCCCTGATTTGTGTAGGACTGCATATGTTAGATCGTGTGTCCCTTTACCCATTTTGGTGGCTTTTTCAAACAAACAACAAAATAATAATTTTTAATGTAGTTTTTTGTGTGGCCCTGTGTGTGTGCGAGTAAATTCTTGTCCTTAGTCGCATGTTTTATAATGCCTTCAGAACCCTTTAATGGCATTATATGGTATGTACTCTCACACTCTCCCTCCCTTCCTCCTTACAAAGGACAAGGTTAGAGGAGTAATCTCAACATTCTGTTCCTGGGACCAGCAGACAAAGGCATTCAAAATATTATAAGTAAATGAAGTCTAGTACTTACAGAAATGTAGATAGTTTTAATAACCGTGTCTGGGACACCTTCTTTCACTAAAAACTCCCGCTCAGTCTCCAGGCCATCAACACTAGCATGTGCAGCTCTGGGTGTTTCAAGGAACCGTGAATTGGTAGGTCTGGTTGGAATGGCAACTCCCTCCCAACTCATCCGTTTCGCCATAGGGAACCTGGGCCAACATGGCCAGAGAGGGAGTCTTGCAATGACCTACACTGTTTTTTCTAAATTTTCTTTAGAACTGGATAAATTGGAGTAAAAATGTATGCCTCTGGGTCAGAACATCCTGATCCTGGGCTCTCTGGTTGTAATGTCTGCAGAAAAATGCCCTGGCCTAATTGTTCTGGCAGGTGAGTATTGTTTTGCGAGTCCCCCATCTCTGAGTCAGTTATGAATACTTCTGGGCATTACTGCCACTCGACTTTGGTCATTGCTACTCGATTCAGGTAGTTTGCCTCAGTGTTCTCAAACCTTGAGAGTTTCTTTGTGCCCAGATCATTATGGGTTTCAATACTCTCAGCAATAAGTGGCTGTGTGTTCCACCCTGATGATTGATATAGGACACAGCCACTCTGTTGTCCGAGCTAATTCAAATCCACCTTCTCTTTAAGGAATGCGGAAATTGTAGAAGAGGTCACATAGCCCCAAGATGTTGCTTGGAAGAACTGCATCTCTCCTTGTCCATATATCTTGAGCGACTAGGTCCAGACAGTGAGCTCCCCATCTTCAAGAATTTAAGTCTGTAGTAACCACTATCCAATGTGATTTTATCATCAGGAAACCCTGAGATTCATTTATTCTCGTTAGCCACCCAGTATGGTGTAGCTTTACCATGGGTGATTATTCTTGCAAAAACTCCCTATGTGGAATCCTGAGATGCCTTTCTCTGACTAGGCCAATTGTTGATGCTAGGACACCCAGCAGCTGTATATATGCCCTTGATGTTACTAGGTGTAACTGTAGAAATTGGTTGAAAAAACTCAATTGCCTAAGATTTGTTTCCCTTGACATGGAAATGGTGTTTTGGCTGGTATTGAGCTCTGCACCCTGGAATTCATCTTATGAGCTGTTATGAGACTGCTCTTATACACCAGCCATAACAATGTAGTTCTGAAAGAAGTTTGTATCTCTGTTTTGTATCCTTCTGGCGATCCGCTGCTACTAGCAGTAGATCATCCAGGTGGTAAAACAAATTGATACCCTGGACTCTTATTACCACCAGTACTTTGAAAAGGTCCTGGGGTGGTAATGAGGCCAAATGGTAGGACCTGAAACTGGAAATGATTCTTTTCAATCACAGTTTTTTTTTTTTCCCCCTTTTCATCCAATAGGTTTTCTACATACTCCCTTAATGCTATTTTCTTGAGTTTGTCGTAGGAATCCGTGTTGACAAAAATAAATTTGTTCTTGGCCTTGAAATAAATTCCAGTATGCTCTCTTTCTCTCTGCACTATGGAAAATACACAGGTGTCCTGGATATAATGAGCCCAGGTGTTGCTGAAGGGAGAAAGTCTAGTTCCTGTTTTTGGTAGATAGTCAGAAATTCTTCACTGAAGTAAGAAAGGACTGATTCCTTGGCCTATTAGAGGATTGGAAGGATGACTTTCCACCTCGCCACTAGTTGCCCCTAACTGTATTCTCTACCAGGCCGTGTATCCAGGTAGTATGGGTTTCTAGCAGGTCATCTATCTGATCGTGATGTGCTTGGTTTTTTGGATCTCTTATCTTGGGGTAAAAAGACATTGCGGCCCATGCAGCTTTCTTGATAGAGTCCTGTAAGGTCTTTCCAAACAGTAGTTCCCCCTCAAAGGGAATAGAGCATAAGTTAGACTTGGACGAGGAGGAGTCTCACCAGTAAGACTCTTCTGGCAGCAACTGAAAAGGCCATGGTACATGAAAATATTCTTGTCATGTCTGCAAAATAATTCTGTGGCTATATGCAGATCCAAATCGAATCACAGACATTTGGCCTTTTGACTCCTCTCTTTCCACATGTGCATCCAGCTCTTTCATCCAGCTTTTCATAGCTCTGGCGTCAGGGTTACTGCTGGATGACAACCTGCTCCAGCTGCTGTGTATATCTTGGACAGGTCTGACTGCAACTTGCGGTCCATGTATTCACGAAGAGAAGCAGAGATGTCTAGTGGTAACTTCATCTTCTGTACTAGCCTAGAAATAGGTGCATCCACCTTAGGAAATAATGGTCCACACTTTGTAAGTGTCCTCTTCCAAAGAGTAGAGTCTTGGCCAACTTACCATTGAAGGGAACACATCTCTCTAGACATAGTTTGTTTGTTTTTTTCAATTCCAAAGTGACCAACTACCACATGGGTCACTTTGGATAACGATAACTTCTGCCTGTTGAGGTCAGCAAAGTGCTTATCAAATCTATCCACCTTAGGTCAATCTTCAGGTATCTCTAGCATCTTCCACACCATCATGATTAGCCACTCCACAAATTTGGTATCCAGGGATTCCTAGAGCATCTCCACCTCTTTCTCACTCAAATCTACCTGATCTACAATCTCAAAATAATCTGTTGGCCTCGTGATGTCTAAGTCTGAGGAGTATTGCCTCTGTCTGGATCTTTTTTCTGAACATTTTCTTTCCGATAAGGCTCCAAAGATGTCCTGTGAGACCTCCTTCTGATCTAGGCCAGTATGTCACAGCTACCTTCTGGAGGCAATCCATACATAGCTGCTTTCTTTCTGCTGTCTTTCCTTCACAGCCTGAACAGGTGATAGATTATTTTCCCTTTTCTTTCTAGGTGGAGAGGATACCATCCCTTTTTCAGGAAAAACTTTTAAATAGAAAATTACTTTTCACCCACTTATATTTTGCATATTTATGTACACCAAGCATGTCAAACTCGTGCCCCGCAATGAATATTTTTGCGGCCCGCGAGCTTGACATGCTTACTAAAGCAGAGTAGGCACCTGCTCTCCCCACATTGCAGGTGCCTACTGTGCTCATTTACCCGGCCGGGGGAGAGGTCTCTGGCAGCAGCGAGGGAGCTCAGTCTTCTTGCTCCCTCGCGCGTGCTGTCTGAAGTGAAGCCGGGTGCCGGAATATGACGTCATATTCCGGTACCCGGCATCACAAAACTGCGCGCGCGGGAGCAGTGAGGAGCAAGAAGACTGAGCTCCCAAGAGAAGATCAGGGAGAGCTCCCACACCAGCTCCCAAAGGTAGGGAGCAATGAATAAAATGATGTGAGTTTGTGTGTCTGTCACTGTGTGTGTGTGTGTAGCTGTCACTGTGTGCGTGTGTGACTCACTGTGTGTGTGTCTGTCAGAGTGTGTTGGTCAATGTTGCGATGGCTGTGGCTGGACAGTGGAGAACCTGGCAGGGCACGCAACACCACATTCTGACGTGACGTTAACGTGCTCCACCTTCACAGGATAGTGCCGTTGTTGGTATACCGGAGGCTGGACTCCGGAGTCGCATACTGGCAGCGGCAATGTGAGTGGAGTCTGCTTGTTGGCTAATAATAATTTTTTTTTTTTTTTAACCCCTTAAGGACACATGACATGTGTGACATGTCATGATTCCCTTTTATTCCAGAAGTTTGGTCCTTAAGGGGTTAAACAAGGGCTGGGGTTTACTAGAGGGGGGTGCTGGGATTTAGTACAGGGGTGGGGGATTTTGAATTAGTACAGAGGGGGGGACTGGGATTTAGTACAGGGGGGGACTTTGAATTAGTCCAGAGGGGGGGGGACTGGTATTTAGTACAGAGGCTGGACTGGGGTTTAGTAGAGGGGGATGCTGTTTTTTTTTTATACTGTACTTTTTTAAACAAACCCATGTTTCTATGAAAATTTAAGGTTTGTTTGTTTTTTGCGGGCCCACGTAACCTTAAACCTTGTTTATGTGGCCCATGCTAGCCTTTGAGTTTGACATTAAACAAGGGCTGGGGTTTACTAGAGGGGGGTGCTGGGATTTAGTACAGGGGTGGGGGATTTTGAATTAGTACAGAGGGGGGGACTGGGATTTAGTACAGGGGGGGACTTTGAATTAGTCCACTGGTATTTAGTACAGAGGCTGGACTGGGGTTTAGTAGAGGGGGATGCTGTTTTTTTTTTATACTGTACTTTTTTAAACAAACCCATGTTTCTATGAAAATTTAAGGTTTGTTTGTTTTTTGCGGGCCCACGTAACCTTAAACCTTGTTTATGTGGCCCATGCTAGCTTTTGAGTTTGACATGCTTGATTACACACAATGAACACCTTTAATTTTAAGTTCTCCAAATATGCGTGATTAACTTATTAAACCATAGATAGTTCACCTTGCAATAATTATTGCATTATTATGTATCTCTATTTCTCATAGTATGCTCGTTATCTCAGCCAAGTTTGTTTCTTAAGCAACAGAATTATTACCTGAACTCCAAATTATAGCAAATTAAAATCCAAATTTAAATATTCTGACTAAGGTAGCCATTGTGTGCCAAAACCGGTGTTACATAATTTTTCCCTCATTAACTATTGTTGCCTCAGTTTTGACATTTTTATATTTAACTTGCAATAGTTTGGAATTTAGTGAACATTAAAGTTACCAAATAGGGGGCACCATTTACTAAATAATTAAGATGTCTAAGCAAAAGCTAATAGTATTTTGGAAAAATCAATGATCCTGACCCAGGACCATCAGTATACAATGAATAGGTTTTACATAAGTTATAACTTAATATAAAATTTAAAGATTACATTAATTATTTGCAGTGTCTCTGTCAAAACTTAAGATCATGTCCTTTAGATAAAATTCAGGTTGTGAAATATAATTAAATTCTATACCCAAAAATAATGGTATAGATTATTTCATTTTTAGAGAGTATTTTTTGAGTAGCTTTGAGTAACTCTAGAATTGACTGGAGTTTCCTGAATCGCTATTGCCTTAAACTGTAATAAGTGTTCTGTAGTCTTCTTTAATCCCCTTTTTTAAATCCTGTATAAAGTTGTATTTTTATTACTGAAAACCTTTTTTGCAATAAATGTGAATAACTTACACTTTTGTTTTTTTGAGCATGTGCAAGCTTCTCTTCAGTAGATTGTATTGGAAAAATGCAACTATACATTACTTGGTAGGTGTCTCAACACTTTGTGTCCTGAATGGGAAAAATACTGTTGTTCACGTTAGGGAGAATTTGAATTTTTAAGTGAATTCCAAATTTAAAGTCAAAGTAGCCAAACTAAAATCATAATAGACTTGGATAATTGTTGGCCTTAAAGCAATGTGTGTGATTCTGTATTTGTGTGTGTCTGTGAGTGCTTGTCTCTGTTTTTTGTAAATGCTCTGGGTGTGCATGCCAGGTGGGCCGCCGTAAAGCAAGTTTTGTAAAGGGCATAGCAATTTCTTAAAACAGTCCTTTAGTATATACACACATAAATAAAGTATGGTACACTCAACCTCTACTCAGCTTTGAAGTTCATTGAATTTTTATAAACACTTGACTTTTGTAAACATATATAAATATATATCTCAATATGTGTGTGTTCCAAAATATGAAAAGATGAAAATACAAAGGAATGAAAATAAAAATTTTGCAAGAAGCTTACTCACTGACTTTACCAGATCCAATATCTAAAATGTCCTGTTCAAATACTGTAATATAAAAATAGGCAGGCATAAATAAATTTAGTTCACTATATATCTATTATAAATCTGTGTTATAAAATTAGAAATAAGTATTTACTATTAATAAGATTTACTGCAATGTCTCTCTCGACATCCTTTGAACATTATTTCAATTTACAATTTCAAGTCACAGCTGGGAAACCAAGCCATGGTGTTCAGGGAAAAATGTTTATTAAATATTTTGCTAAAAGCAATTACATAACCATGTCTCTAATGTCTAGATTTTCTCTAAGCAGCCTTCTAGGGGCTGGAATAAAATCCTAGATTGATTTTAATATAGCATGCTCAGAATTTATTTTTAATGTATTCTACTGTGTACAAGTGATAGATGAATCATTCTGATACCTTGAGGGCAGTATTCTCTGAGCAAATAATGTTGAAACAGCATAAATTCAGAAGACATCGATAGATTAAAATCTAAACAGATGTAGTCCCTCAGATTACTTTTTTTTGTGTGAGCTGTTGGTCTTAATCTTTTATGTGCTAGAGGGATCTTGAATCTGTTGCAAATATTCATTGACATTTAAGGGCAGAAGGTTCACAGAAGCACAAAATAGGTTAAATCAGTAACTGCAATTAAGTTGGAGATCTCTTTTTAAACTATTGGTTTAAAGGGACACTTCAGGCTGGAGAAGGCCACCAATGTAATGCATTATTTAGATATTTAATTCAAAATAAAAACTATAGTTTAAGTTCATGCATTTGCTGTAAATGCTCAGAATCCTGGAGCTTCCGTTGTTTTCACTGGGACATGAAAATATTCCAAGGGTTTATATAGATAGAACTAATAACACCAGCTACACAATGAATGTTTGGCACTGTTCATCTGACCCACATGACTTGTGGGATTCCGTACTATTCCCCTCTTTTAGCTCACATTGTGTCTGATGTCAATCAATAACCCACTTTGTGTTTTTATGGTGCTAATTATGTTACATTTACACAGTGCAGCCATTTGCATTCCTTAGTGCAGTTATTTTTTTTTAATGTTGCCGTTAGCAGTGGCAAATATTGTTATTAAGGCATGGCTTTTTCGTCAATTTGTCCAAATAACGAATGGGGAGCCGAACGAACAAACGAATGGGCACCAACAGAAATTCTTCCATGTGCCATTCTTTTGTTCATTCATAATTCACATTCAGGCCTTTTGTATTATACTGTCTATCATTCAAAAGGCCAAATGCTTCATCCGAAAGCCATTTCGTTGACTGATAGGTTTCCCCCACCTATTATTACTTAGGGACCCCACCCGCCGCCAATGAGTGGGGTTTGAGGATGAACTATATGTTTATCCCCCATTATTACTTAGGGCCCTCACCTGCCAGCAATGGGTGGGAGCTGGGGGGAACAATAGGTTCCACCCCATTATTATTTAGGTTTTGATTTTTTTGACTCGTGCCTATATGTTTATTCTGAATTCTGGTACCCTGAATCAGAGGCGGCTCTCTAATTAGGCGGTTTAGGCGGCCGTCTAAGGCCTCACGGCCGCCTAAACTGCCTGTGGGCAGACTGTGTCAGGTCCTCGGTCAGTGACCGAGGACCTGACACCAGGAGGGGGCCCAGCGGCTTGCCCGGTGTGCCGCCGGGTGCGAAGCCCCTCCTGGCTGCCCGGCCAGACACCGGTCTGCAGCTCCGCAGTGAGCAGAGCTGCAGACCATGTGTCTCGCGAAAACCAGCCAATCAGAGCATTGCCGCGGATTACCATGGCAACGCTCTGATGGTCTCGGGAGATTACATGGAGCTGCAGACTGGAAGCAATGGCCACCAGACCACCAGGGAGTAAAGGTAGGCTCTCTCTCACCACCCTCAGCCTCACCACCCCCCAGCACTCTCAGCCTCCCCCCACCCTTAGCCTCACCACCACCCTCAGAATACCAACCTCAGCCTCACCTCCCCACTCAGCATCACCAACCCCCACCACCCTCAGCCTCACCACCCCACCATACTCAGCCTCACACATTCACACACACAAGGATACTCTCTGTCAGACACTCTCAGGCACATACACAGGTAGACAGTGCCTCAATGTGTATATGTGACACTTTTGTTAGTGGGCCTCATGTTTGAGTTTCGCCTAAGGCCTCATAAAGTCTAGAGCTGCCTCTGCCCTGAATGAGTTTACCAGTCATTGGGTGTTGGTAACTTTTCACCTTGATGGGATTATTTGCTCCATATCCAACTGCTCCTAAGGATCAATAAACCAGCTTACCATCTTTTCAACTTTTCTGTGCATTAGGCTCTGCTCTGATAGGTACCTTAATAACTTGAGATCCATTCATGGTTTTATGAATGGAGATTTAGGCATGATTGTGGTTCTGACTCCTTCACAGTAACATGTGAAACAGCCTATTAAGGAAGTTGAAAGTGTTAGCACTCCATACAAGTAATTGGATGGGCAGTAGGAAGTATAAGCTTCTAATTCCTACCAGTAATGGCGTGGTTTCCTAGCTGTAAATACTCATCCATATTGTTTGTAGTGTAGCATAATGTTATATGTAGTTTTACATTCTATAATGGCCTCAATGTAATATTTTTTGGATAAGCTTTTCAAATGATTAAATATTTGTGTATAAATTATATGTTATAATAAATAAATAGTATCAATACATATAAAAATATTTTTCAAAATATTAAATCATTTAAAAAAAATGGATCCAAAAATACTAAATCAAAGCCAATATCATAAAGATCACCATTCAAATTGTATTAATTATTAATACTTTTTGTACCTCTTCATAGGCATGGACTGAGCAAAAAAAAAAATAATTAGAAACATTTTGTGCTAATAATTTTTTTTTTTTGCTATTTAATACAATCTCCCTTTATATTTGGTAGAATGTTTTCTATAAAAACAGATAAAATAAAAACATTTTACATAAAGGTGCTAGAGAAAAAAAAAAAAACATGCGTGTTTCACAAAGTCCAAACCCTGTATTGTTTCTAATGTACCGGTAGTTAAAAACTTCCAGAAGATTACTAGCCAAAAGACAGCTCTCCTTTTCTTATTTAACTAATCCCATGATGCTTTGCTAGTCCTCAGCTTGTTGGCTACGTCATTTATATTTCATATGTAAAACATAATTCAAGAACTGCCACTTTCAGGATCCTTACGTAATGCTGTATTGGTTCTGGCTTCTGATATGCCACATGAAATATAATGAGCACAGCACAGGTACAAAAAAAAAAAAAAACCTCTTTGTAGATATATCAAGGAAATGCATTGGTGAGCATTTATAAAATATAAATAATAATGGGAAACAGTCATCCAATTAGTCTGCAGTTGAGATGACTTTAATAGGACAGACAGGAGCAAAGTGAGTAAAAGGAGAAATCTACAGTCTCTCTAATTTCTTAACGGATAGAATCTGCTCGTCTAAATTGGATATTTCAGAAGATGTGCATATCCAGTTCAGGGGGAATAGGGTAACATTATTTGCTGAGGATGCGGAGTCTGAAAAACTCCCTCCGGCTTTGATTAAATATAATACAATCACATACTAGAAGGACTCGCAAAATGAGAAGGATGATCGGAAAGATTCATCTTCACATATTTTGTAACGTATGGCAGAATGCGTAACCTTCTTAAATCATCAGAAGAGCTAATAAAAGAGTTTAACTGCTAGAAAGTGATCAGACTTGCTTAATTTTAATATATCCTTCTCGTTAGTGTTATTCACTAAAGTGAGATTTGTTGGGAATTTAAAGTGAATTCAAATGAATTTCAAATTTAAGGCCAAGGTAATAGAATTGGAAGCATTGCTGACTTTGAGAATATTTTCACGTTTAGCTATTTATTCCCTTTGAGTTCTGACAATATCCACTTTAGTACATAACCCTGCAAATTTGTCTTCCCTATGTATAGCATTAAAAATACGAACACTATAAAATTTACTTAGGAATACAGACACGTGTTTCCTGCTAATAATATAGTAAACAGTACAAAGTTATTTTAGAAATGAATGAAGGTTAAGCCCAACTGGAAGGCTATAGAAATAGCACTTTTTGAAAAAAAAAGTATGTGTGGGTTTAGACGTTCTATATAGACCCCTCTCACAAATGAATGAAGATTGCTAAAAGAAAAATAAGCTGTCCATAGCTTCATAAACTTATTCCATATTGAGGAAACTTCTATAGTTTTAGGTCTCTCTCCACGTTAACATACCTGATCCAACTTGTGCGTTAGCATTTGGAACACTCTATTGTCCAAATAAAAAAAAAATAATAATAATTAAAAATCACTGTTTAGTATATATATACCCTGTGACATTACGGCCCTTGCGTCTCTTGCCATTTCAGGCCTAGTATCGCGCATTGGATTCTTTGCATTAGCCTGTACTTTTCCCACTAGCGAACGCAGCGTCTCTCCTACCTGGCTATTTAGTTGAAAGTGATAAGGTTCTGGTGTCTCTGTTACCAAAGTTGTACCAGGACCTTGTATCACCTGCTAAACTCGTCTGGTGACCTTCTACCCTGAGCACTAGGACTCTGATACCTGAGTTGCTAATCCTCCATCAAAGCAGGATACACTGCACAATTACTCCAGGTACATAACTAAAAACTGCTATTGAATCTCCTATGAGCAGTCGCACTATAGCAGACCGTAGATAGTTACATCTCAGAAAGAGTAATTACAGTAATTACATTAGGGAAATGGTCAGAGCCAGCTCTTGCAACAGCATAGGTCTCCTTGACCGGACGAGTTTAAGCTTACAATAGGCAGGATGTGACACTGTTGACTTAGTCCCAGATACAGTTAAGTCCCTACCTGTGGAGTCCAGAGGGGCTTACCAACCTCCTATTATAAAAAGCTGTAATCGCCCCTAGCTCCACACATCCTATCAGTAGAAAACCATTTGCCGAACCCAATGCTTAGAGCATCAACCACAGTAATCCCCAAGCCTCGGAAGGACTTGATGAGTTGCGCCTCTGATAGG